CGCGTTTGGGTACATTTGAATAGTATTGACGAGTAGTTTGTCTTTCATTGGTAACCAGGATCTGATGATGGAGCTCCATCCTCAGCCGTCCATGGACATATGCAAAGGGTTGCTGATGCGTTTTCTCCTTATAATAAAGTGTGCTCCAGCTACCTCACTCACCAGGCAAATCACAGAAGTACCTTACGCCGATTTTCTGTGAGGTCTATGAGGCTATTCTGTGAGGTTCCTATGACTACTCTGTAATGAAACGACTCAACCCCATCGAGTTTCGGCTCGTTTGATTCGTCTTGGCGAGTACTTAATTTTTAGGGGGTTCCCATTATCTGATGATGGAGCTGGAAGACAGTCATATGAACTCAGTAAAGAAACGACGCAACCCTATTGTGTCTCGGCTCGTTTGATTCGCTATGACGAGTTCTTTGGTGCTAGATGGTAACCAGGGTCTGATGACCGGGCTGTAATGAGGCCATAGGAACTCAGTAATTAAGGAACACAACTGCATCGAGTTTGATTTGTCTTAATGGGTGGGTTTTTGATGGGTAGTGAGATGTGGTGGTTTAGTGGACGTGAGTATGCGAGACCATCTTTGGGAAATAAAGTTTTTGTGAATGTGGATTCTGTCTTTGATTTAGAAGATTTGGATTAGAAGCGCTGAATATTATGAATGAATGAATGAATAAATATTTTTTTGTTATTTATGAACATTTTTTTAATGTGGACGATGTCATTTTATTTTGTATTTGTGTACGGCTATTTTAGGAGTTTTCATTTGGGTTGATTATACAGCGTGTCGTTACCATCGCGACAATAAATGAACACACCGTCGCATACGGAGAGAGCCTTGTAATACGCCGCCACAGCGTCGTATTACAAGGCTCTCCTTCTAACAGTATGTTTTATCTCTTTTAAATTCATTCAACCTATTCATATGCTTTGTGACCTTTACACATGAACTTTACGTTACGCTTTTATAGGTAAGGGTGTTCCAAATTTGTTTTGGAAAATTTAATAACTCTGTAAATATTGATGTTTAAAGAATTTAAATGTTTAATACAACTTTAAAAAGTTATCCCCTATATGTGTGTTAATTTATTGTCGCGATGATAACGACACGCTGTATATTATTATTAAACCGTGTCCCGATAGTCCCGTCTTAGGCTACTTGTCATTGAAGTGGATCCAGCGTGCGGAGTAGAGGAATAAAGATTATTATAACCAATACGACTACATAAAATCTGGTAACGAAGAAACAAATAAACTAAATTGCAAAAATAAGTAAGCCTACCAATAGCTACTTAAAAAAATACAATACAGGGAGGCTTTTCTAAGTGTATCCATTTTTTTAATCAAATTCTAAACATAAATAATGTTATATAAATAATGACAAATATTTGAATTCACTCGTAATTAATTAATTACATTCATTTGAACTTATCTCAGAAAGTGCGTGATTTATGGGCAACTCATTTATTTTACGCGCGATCATTCATAACTAACAAGCACACAAGTTCGTTTCAAAAGTATACGACGCATTTAGGAATGACTACCTCATTGTCAACAAGTTTGTTTTTAGGGAATAGAATGCCAATTTATTTAAAAAAAAAAGTTTGTTTTTATTTCAATTAACGATTATACTACCGAGTCTGAACCTCCTGTGTGAATTTGGGCACCTTTATAAAAGCCACCTTGTATAATAATATATGATAATAAAAAGCAACGAAATGTTACGAACAAAAAAGAATTTTGCAAATCCGTCTATATCTGAAGAAGGTATGCCCGAACATACCTACATAAAAAAATATAAACATCCGAATTGATAACCTCCTTCTTTAAAACATGTAGAAAAAGTACGAAAAGATGGTCGCCTTCAAATGCTAAATAACAATGTAGAAAAAAGGCGTTAAGATTTTCGTCGCTGTGGCTATCAGCCGTTTAGCTCAGTGGCTAGAGCGTCAGGCCGCGAATGCCGAAGACGTGGGTTCGATTCCCACGGCGGCGACCATCTTTTCGTACTTTTTCTACATGTTTTAATGTTCAATCTTAAGTGCAGAGATTAGCACTATAAAAACTTTAAAAATTTATAACAGCAATGGCGACATCTCTCGTTCGAATTATCGTTGTTAAACGATATTCGAAATTGTTTGTATGCTGGAAAGGATATAACAATAGATGCGCCAAGCATTGCTTCAAATGCTAAATAACAATGTAGAAAAAAGGCGTTAAGATTTTCGTCGGTGTGGCTATCAGCCGTTTAGCTCAGTGGCTAGAGCGTCAGGCCGCGAATGCCGAAGACGTGGGTTCGATTCCCACGGCGGCGACCATCTTTTCGTACTTTTTCTACATGTTTTAATGTTCAATCTTAAGTGCAGAGATTAGCACTATAAAAACTTTAAAAAACCTCCTTCTTTTTGAAGTCGGTTAAAAATAAGTACCTACTTTTTACTTGTATCTATGATTATAAAAATTTAATTATAACTTCTTATCACTTGACCACGACTACGTGACCCCCCCCTGGCACCAAAGCTGGATCCGCCCTTGCGTCTATCGCTACTTGCCAATAATCATAAAAAAATATTAACGTTAAACAAAATCCATAATTTAATATTTTTCAAACAAACTAATTAAGTAAAAAAGAAACAAAATTTGTAACACCTATACAACTCGCGCACAGCGTCGCATTACAAGCCTCTCCTTCTAACAGTATGTTTTGTCTCTTTTAAATTCATTCAACCCATTCATATGCTTTGTGACCTTTACAAATGAACTTTACGTTACGCTTTTATAGGTAAGGGTGTTCTAAAATTCTTTGTTTTGGAAAATTTTATAACTCTGTAAATATTGATGTTTAAAGAATTTAAATTTTTAATACAACTTTAAAAAGTTATCCCCTATATGTGTGTTCATTTATTGTCGCGATGGTAACGACACGCTGTATATGTATGTGTGTATATATATTGTATATGCTTGTGTGTATATTTTGTATATGTATTATGCATTAATATGTTCATTTTATTTTATACATATGTATGGTATTGTGTACTATTATCTGATTTATTAGTGTAGTATTTTTAGTAGGTTTAATAATATGTTATATATGTAGAACCGTGATAGCTCAGTGTCCGGGCGCTCGCCTTTAATTCAATATACTCGAGCAACCTGATCGATCCCCGGTGCCGGCACCAATGAAATTGTTAATTTCAAGTGCTGAATTATCACGTGCTCAGCGGTGAAGGAAAACATTGTGAGGAAAAAGGTGCATATTTTCGAAAATAATAATAAAAAAAATATTTCGAAGATATGTGAAGTACTATACTTTCCCCAACAGTGGGACATGAATAGGCTGATACTTAATATGTAATGTATATATTTTATAATTCTTGTGATTGGTTTTTTTCTTTTTTAAATTGGTAATAAATGCACCTACCTAAACTTTTCTGTACCGCCCCAAGGTTGACTGGGAGATAATGCTGATGGCATTAAGTCCGCCTTTGTACATTAATGTTTGTGCATAAAGATTAAATAAATAAGTAAATAATTTTTGCTTTTGGTGGTAGTCCAAATCACAATTAAACGCAATGGTCTTACTTTTCGCTGGGTTGATCTTAGAACCTAGAGCGTTTTGTGTAAATTGTAGGCAAAAAATAATAGTAATTTTTCTCGTTAGCACCGGATGTTTTTCGATCTATCAAACTCGTTTTAAACGAAAAGCTATAAGTTAAAAACTATAAGCGACCAGAGAACTCTGCTTGTTGATTATTTCATTAGTGATTTCTCGACCGAATAAAAATGTTTGTAAGGTCAAAAAACACCCGGCGCTAATGGAAAATTTATAAATTTATTGTGCACCTAGACCACAAATTTTTAGATTTTATATAAATAAATATTTATCTTTTTTATTAACTACACACGACAAGTAAAATATTTATAACGAGTTTTTTGATTATCTTTTCACAAAACGAAAAAGCTTGGTAATGTTACACAAATAATGTACTGTTTATTGTTTAAAATAAATGAAATATACAACAACGGCAAAAATACAGCGTATCGTTAACAACACCAACCGCGACAATAAATGAACATGTATTAAACATTTACATTCTTTTAACATCAATATTTACAGTTATTAAATTTTCCAAAACAAACATTTTTAGAACACCCTTACGTATAAAACTGGAACGTAAAGTTCATTTGTAAAGGTCACAAAACATATGAATGAATTTAAAAGAGATAAAACATACTGTTAGGAGAGATTTGTAAAGCGACGCTGAGGCAACGAATGAGTCTCTGAATGTAGGAATCTATCAGTTCAATCAGTTGTAGTTATACTATAGGATGTTACAAATTTTGTTTCTTTTTTTATTTATCAGTTTGTTTGAAAAATATGTTTTAAATTATAGATTTTTTTTAACGTTTATATTTTTTTATGATTATTGGCAAGTAGCGTTAGACGTGTGTTCATTTAGTGTCGCGGTTTTAACGACACGCTGTATATGTATAACATAAACATATAAACATTATCAAAATTTTGTAAGAGCAAAAGGCATCTCTTCTTAAAAATGTTCATCGTTAAATGTTCTTTGTAAGGTGTTGTATGCCATAAATGATGCACACTAGATGGCGCCAAGCATTGCAAAAATACATTAGAAAGAATGTAGATAAATGTCGACATTTTCGCGGCTGATGTTATCGGCCGCTTAGCTCAGTTGGTACAGCGTCTGGCAAAGCGTCAAGCTCTGGGCGCGAAACCGGAAGACTCAATTACGAATCCCGCAGCGACGACTTTTTTTACATTTATCTAAAATTTCATCTTGAGTTCAGAGACTAGCACTAAAAGTAAACATTAATCCTGAACCTGAATAATTTATTAAATAGAAATACACAATTAAAGTTAAGATTTATTTCAGATAATATTTTATTAAACATCTTTACAGTCTGTTTTAAAACGGCGAAAGCGGTACATGATAAGAGACAGACTGATACAAAATTGAATAAAATTAAAGATAAAGTCCTTCCGGTGTTCCTTCCTTCTTACGATACAATACACTTTCCTTTGACTTTTTGAAATCTTCGTTAGTGACTTTCATACGTCGTTCACGAAGCGCCATTAAGCCTGCTTCCGTGCATATTGCCTAAAAGGAACAACAAGCTGTTTAATTTATGTAAAAAAAACATTAGGACCAGTGCTTTGGGCGCATAGCGGTACTACTATATTTCGGTTATAAATTCCTACGAGTTTCATTTCTTAGACACTTGTCCCTTATCTAAAAACTATAACGTCATATCCTCATATCGTCATAGTTTTATTAAAGAATTTATTTTTTCGTTATTTTTTTTAGAAATAATAATTTTTACAATCACTATATGTCCAATGTTTATTTTCTAATGGAAGACCAGCTTGATGTGGAAATATTTTGCTTTCGCGTTTCGTCTGGTGACTGAGGTTACCCCAGAGCCTCTTTTTAAAATTTATCAGCACATCTGAAAGCTGTCAGGTGTTGTAGAAGTCCATGGGCCATACAACTCATTTAACATTAGGTGAACTGCCACTAACTTGACAATTTTTCACATAAAAAGTCGCGAGCATCAATAGTGCAATGCCAAATTAAAAATAAACTTCACTTTAGACTCATGATAGTTCAGTATCCAGGCGCTCGCTTTTATTCAAAATATTTTATCAACCTGAATTTAAATTGTTAATTTTAAGTACTGATATGTGCTCAGTGCAGAAGGAAAACATATTTTCGAAATAATAACAAAAAAAAATTACGATAATATGTGAAATCTGCACATGCGTGGTGGGGTCACCTGGTAATGCATGCTAATATACTCTTCATAGGATGGGCTTTGCCCAGCAGTGGGGCACATATGAACTGTTACTTTACTCTTTACTTTAAAAGTAAACTGTGTACAGATTAGGTGAACAAAATAATAGATTTCAAAAATATGCATTTTGCATATGGAATAGCCAAATCTTGAATAGATACTCAGTGTTTTGTTGCCTTATGCATTCTAGCAAGTTGAACAGGGAGAGTCCTAAATTAGTGCCCTATTTATTACACAGATTAATTTAATTCAAAGATATTTATAAATTTACTCCCCTTTATAGATAAAAGTTATTTATATACCTGTTAATTTAATTATATATACTATTTTACCTACATATTTCTAAAATGGTTAGCACTATTTTCCTCCATGTGGACATTATTTGTCTGTATTATTTTGACTTGAGGAGGTCTAATTAATATGTTTATAAAATTAAAAATGTTGTAATAAATAAAAATAATAGTGTTGTAACCTTGATATCAGCTCCAGATAGATCATCTTTAGACATAATTAGCTCAGAAAGATTCACATCATCAGCTAAAGTCATTCTCGAAGTATGTATAGTGAAGATTCTTCTTTTTGTTTTTTCATCTGGAAGTGGGAACTCAATCTTACGGTCAATACGACCTGGTCTGATTAAAGCTGGATCTAAAGTTTCTATTCGATTTGTAGCCATGATGACCTAAATAAAAAAGATTAACCCGTGTTACAACTGACACATAAAATTATTTTCAAATGAAGGTTAAAAATCTTACCTTAACATCGCCTCTAGAATCAAAACCATCAAGCTGATTCAATAATTCTAACATTGTTCTCTGAATTTCTCTTTCACCACCAGAGTTAGAATCATAACTGAAAATGTAAATGAAACTATTACAGATGTTACTGCTATTCAAATACATAAAAATGATTTGATTTTCAGACTGTTTAAAATTATACATAATTATTTTTAAAGTAAAAATCGTTCAAGATATAATTATAAAGCTGACTAACCGTTTCGTGCCAACTGCATCTATTTCATCTATGAAAACAATTGATGGTGCATGTTCTTCTGCAACTCTAAACAACTCTCGTACAAGTTTAGGACCATCACCCTATATGAAAGAAAATAACATTATAATAAAGAAGATAAAGAAAAAGATATAAAAAATCACAAATAATTACCAAGTATTTCTGGATGAGCTCAGATCCAACAACACGCAGGAATGTAGCTGATGTTTGGTTAGCCACTGCCTTTGCCAAAAGTGTTTTGCCGGTACCAGGTGGCCCATACAATATGACACCTTTTGGTGGTTTGATACCCATCTCTTCATAATATTCTGGATGTGTCAGCGGTAATTCAACTGATTCCTTGAAAAAATACGAAACAAATGATACAATTATTTCTGGAATAATAGTAAAATGTCCTGTCCATTGAAGCAATAATAATCTAACAGTTCTATGTAGAGAGAAATGAGTACTTTTCTATTAAAATTAATCAATATTTAATTAATAGTTTTTCTAATTTCATCACAACAAATTGATTATTGAGGTTATGAACCTGATGCCCATAAACTAATGACTAATTGGATGAATTGCCAAAAAAAAAAGTTTGTGTGCAACAAATTGCGACAAAGGAGCATGACCCAATATTTTGTCACTATTTTAGTCACAGCAACAAACATCAATGTAAAAAAAATACTCTAAATGTCAATTTAATAAAATAATTTGAATAAATTAATAATTAATAAACCTACAATTTAAAATACTGGTGAAAGGCCACAATATCACAACTACAACTTTCAGTGCAAAAGCATAAATTAAAAAAAAATAATAATCATTAATTTCCTAAATTTCCATAAAAATATACAAAAATACATAGAAGAGTGATGAACAGTCTGAAACTTAGTAGAAAATGTTTGATTATTATCTGTAAGGTATTATTTATTGAACAAATATATTTAAGATAAAATATTAATGAAATTTTTAGTGCAGAACATACCTTGATTTCTTGGATTTGCGTATCTAGACCACCAATATCAGCATATGTCTCTTGTGGGGCTTTCTCCAGTTTCATCACCGACACCATTGGGTCTGTATCATCACCCAGTACACCCACAACAGCATGAACCTAAAGTTATCAGCAATTTTATAATAAAATATTAAAAAGCTTTACAATATTCTTGTGATTTCTTAACAATCCTTAAAGATTGTATGGTCTAAAGTTATAGAAATGGAACACAATCTTTCAACATGATAAGACTAAGTAGCAGCAGTATTCATAATAACATTGAAAAAAATATTATAACCAGTATTTATATAAAAGGATTAATGGAGGGAAATCACTAAAAATGTTTTCTTCAGTTTATGACAAAAATGTTTAAAAAACATTGATATATATATATATATATCCTACCTTATGATTAAGAAGCACAGAACAACCAGGTTCTAATTGGTCCTTATCAACAAAAGACAGAATGCTGACATAATGTTCACTTCCAACTGATGTAGAGACAATGGCATGATTGTCGTCAATGATTTCTTCCAAGTTACCTACTGACATAGGTGTGCCCCTGAGGTCATCAACCTAGAATTAACCATTTAAGCATACTATTAGGAATATTTATAGTTACAAGATAACCATTGTTTATTCTTTTAGGTGATTGAGGGTTACAAAAATATATTTTTCGTATTAATTAAAAAAACTAACCTTTGACCTCTCTTCTTCAATTTTTTCCTCTTGTGGCTTAAGCCTTTCTTGGTTTCGGATAAACTCTTCTTCCATTAGAAGATAATCTTTTATTCGTTCTAATTTCAATAGTTTTAACCTGCACTTAGTATGAGGCGTAACTTGAGGCAATTTTAAAGCAGCATCAGGCCCTTTAGCTTTACGCTTTTTCTTCCCCACCCTGGTTGGGATTGGAGGCTCATACTTCTTCTTTTTGTCTTTATCATCTTTCTTGTCTCCGCCACTTCCCGACTGGTTTTGACCCTAAACCGAAGATAATAATCATTAATGGTTTAATCTTTAGTAAAATTTCAATATAAATAATGAATTACCATTATATCACGCGTTCCAATCGATGTGTAATGTATAAAATATTAGGAAAATTAAAATGGACACAGCATCAAACTGACTGATTACAAAGCGAATTTTCTGCCTTTTTTTTTACCAATGCATAGGGATGTGGTGGGACAGTAAAATCGGTAAAAATACTTTTCTGTATTAGTGTAGTTTGCTATGAGCCTGGCGGCTTTTATAGCTTCGTCGGAAGTGGTCTGTAAGTAAACGAGCTGTGGATTCAGAAGAAAAAATGGAGCTTGTGCACGTCCACTCCATTGCATCTCCCCCTGTTGATGAAAAATGGACAATTCGAAGGACATGATCCATCTCCAAAGGCCCTTTACATAGAGATTTTTGTCCGTGAAACCACTGGCGCCGTCAATTTTGCCTGGCTTGCCCCCTTTAACAAATTATCGGAGCCTGGGCATCGGAACTTGAACGGGAACGCATTGATTCTTTTAAAATTTCCTATCGACGCTAAACCACATGGTGTCCATGTCCTAGACCATAATATTCATTTATTATTATAGGTAATAATTAATATTATTTAAAAAAAATCGAAAAAAATGCGTTTTCTTTCATAAAGCCATTTAAGAAGAAGAAGAAGAAACGTTTATTCACGATCTAAAAACAGATGAATACATACAAAACTTTAAAATAATAATGTAACTACACAGAAACTTAAAATAAATGTAAACATAAAAATAAGCGAACAAAATAACAACAGCAGGTGATGGTCTGTGTAGCAGTATAAGACCGTGAAACGGACGGGACTCGGTAAAAAGTCGAGATACAGTCAGTAGTTCTAATCCCGACACCGTTTTTCAGTCCGGCCCGCACTTCGAGGCAACTCGGACGGCTGTGACAGTGAACTTGCAAAAAATAGTTACAGCGCAGTGTAGCGAAAATTAAAATTATTTTTGTTTGAACCTTTCATCCATATAGACAGTGGTTATCGTTCGTTTGATGAGGTAAGTAAAAATCAAAACTAATGTTTGCTTCTCTTTATACAATTTATGTTCGGTATTGTTTTTAAAGTGTTTTTGGATGTGTAATGCCTATGGAGGGTAGAATAAGGAGGACCGTCTCGTATGGGGGTTTAGTCGAAAAAGTGTCCACTTGTAAACAGCAAATTATTGTTCGAACTCTCACCGAAATAGCGCTAGTGTAGCAAGTGGAAATGATATGAACTTAGCAGTTATAAGCAGAGTGAAGTGTGCTATATAGTGTGTTATATCGTTGAAAAATATAAATTTTTATTTCTTCATTTATATTTTAATATATTGTACTGTTAATATATTGTATTGTTAATAATAAATATTTATTGATGGCCTGTTAAATCCGTTTTGGTGATTTCTACATTTCTACATTACAATAATTATGAAACCTCTATAACCTTTTTTCAGCACGCGATTGTCTAAATGATTGAGAATTTGCTTGTTACAAATTGTTTTTTTATTTCGGTAATTCTTTAATACTATATTCTATTTGCTATTTACAAATAATTGGGGTACTTGAAAACACTGTATAATTTTAATTTTCATTTTTGTCTATATATTACAATAAAATTTAAAAAATTGCGCTGTAACAAAGCGGAAAAGTTTCTTTCCTTTTTTAATTTAGTATCCTACTCTAATAATTTGTGGCACTCAATTTAAAAAATTTCCACTTGCTACTATAGCGCCACCTTAATTTGCTCCCTTTCAACGGATACTTTTTAATACACTGAGATGGTCCTCCTTACTTCTACCCTCCATAGATAATACACCTGCAACCCCATTTTGACGTTTTTTCCAAACGTAGTGATTACATTCTCTTTGGTTTTTTCCTTTTATAATCATCTCGTTTCCATCCGTGTACCATTTCCTACTTCTATCAAATCTCTTCTTTCATGTTCTAATTCTGATATATAAACAGCTTTTTCTATTTTCCTGTTAAATAATCATTTGAAATTATAAATCCTTGTACCTATCCTATCATAGTAATCCTATCTGATCCTTTTCCAATTCCGTGAGTAATGTACTTTTAAATCGTGATAAACGTTTCCCTGCTTTTGTCAGTGGCATATGTGCAAACCGCGTGATGCCAAATTAAAATTAAAAAAAAAAAACCATTTTGACAATTCATGAATTGACATTTGACACTACGACGTGTCGACATTTCAACATAATTCAGTCTGTGCAACGTTTTATTATCTTATTTGAAGATCGGATGAAATTGAACTATATTTTTCTTTCAATCCTTGGAATCCTAAATATTAAAATGACGAAAATAGTGCATGTTGTGTTTAATAATCTTTCAATTTAAATTGCTCAATCCTATCGTACATCCTATAAAAATAATTGAAAACGAGGTCCATTTAGGTGTTTATTATAAGGGTTCAAAATGGTATTGGCAGATTTAGGTCGAAAAATAACTACTGCTCTGCAGTCTTTAAGCAGAGCAACTATCATCAATGAAGAGGTATTCCAGTTTATGCAAGATACATGAACAAATGACATACCCAGAAGATATTTGACATATGTTAAACCTACATTCTTGGTGTTACTTACAGGTTTTAAATTCCATGCTAAAGCAAATTTGTGCAGCGCTCCTAGAGGCTGATGTTAATATACGCTTGGTGAAAAATCTTAGAGAAAATGTTCGTGCTGTTATTGACTTCGACGAAATGGCTGGTGGGCTTAACAAAAGACGTATGATACAATCTGCTGTTTTTAAGGAATTAGTAAAAGTAAGTTTTTGTTACAAATAGCTATTAAGGTACAACAATACATCTTTATTTTAAAATGTTTTATACTTTTTTTTAAATGTTACTAATCTTTGTCTTGTTTTGTCAAATAATTCCATCTTTCATAATTTTTATGTTATTCGAAGCACAAAAAAAGTATTTATTCCATTTAAAAACTGCAATGAAAATTATTGAACCATTTCATTGCATAATCATTGTATGTAATGAAATGATGTGTTATATTTTTCACAGCTGGTTGATCCAGGTGTAAAGCCATATCAACCCATAAAGGGGAAGCCTAACATAATTATGTTTGTAGGCCTTCAAGGCTCTGGTAAAACTACAACTTGTACAAAGCTTGCTTATCATTATCTAAGAAAGAATTGGAAGTCTTGCCTTGTATGTGCCGATACTTTCCGAGCCGGTGCTTATGATCAAGTTAAACAGAATTGTACTAAAGCTAGAATACCATTTTATGGAAGGTATGCTATTTCAAAGTTTAATCTATAATGATATTTTAAGTGATTAATATTTTTGAAACTTGATACAATTTGGGTTGGGACCCAGTTATTTTATTCTTTGGCTTTCAGTTATACCGAAGTTGATCCTGTAGTCATAGCAACTACAGGTGTGGAAATGTTCAAAAAAGAGGGTTTTGAGATGATTATTGTAGATACTAGTGGTCGTCACAAACAGGAAGAGTCATTGTTTGAAGAGATGTTGGCAGTAGCAAATGCTATTGTAAGTGCAAATAAAAAAACAAATGAAAAAATTTAAATAGGCAATTTGTTAATTCAATTTTAAAAATATATTTTAAAAAATTATTTCTGAATTTCTGAAGCTTCTATTTAAGTCAATCAATTTTCAAAACAAATTAAACAACCAATTTTCACTAAACATGAGTTATTGGAAAATAATTTTGTTTTTACATGTATGCGCAAGAAGTAATATGTCTTTAGCCTAACAAAATAAAAATAACTAAAATTTTATCACATGTATAACTCATTTTTTGTAAAAAAAAAATTACATCTGGAATAAAACGTGAATGTCAAAAAGATGTTATTGGTCGCCATGATAACACCATGAATTTGGTGTTGTGCATCATAAAAATTCACTCTCATCATTTTCCCCAAATGCACCCAAAGAAGTATAACTATAAAAATCTTAAAACATTCAATAGATTCATAATTATTTTAAAACAAAATAATTGTTTGAAAATAACACACCCGGATTTTTCATTTTCTAAATGTAATTAATTTAAATGTTATTTGCTTAGAAACCAGACAACATAATTTTCGTAATGGATGCTACAATAGGGCAAGCTTGTGAGGCTCAAGCTAGAGCTTTTAAAGACAAAGTTGACATTGGTTCTGTTATAATAACAAAATTGGATGGACATGCCAAAGGTGGTGGTGCCCTTTCTGCGTATGTATGAATTTTTTTTTCTCATATACTTATGAAATTTATGTATTTCAATCAGTGCACTGCCACAATGCATGTTACAGTATAACTTTTTGTATATTTAAATATGTCTTGTTTTCCCTTTTTTTAAACTTCTAAGGCTTAGGTATTTTATGTCATTGTAGTGTTATAAAATGTATGCCTTTGAATTAAGTTTTTTACTTTTGTTAACAGTGTTGCAGCAACACAAAGTCCTATCATATTTATTGGCACAGGTGAACACATTGATGATTTGGAACCATTTAAGACAAAACCATTCATTAACAAACTGTTGGGTATGGGAGATATTGAAGGGCTATTGGATAAGGTTAACGAGCTGAAGCTTGATGATAATGATGAATTGTTAGAAAAATTGAAACATGGTCAATTTACATTACGAGCTATGTATGAGCAATTTCAGAACATTATGAAAATGGGACCCTTCTCACAAATCATGGTATTATTTTTATTTCATTAAAAATTTTAAAACTTGATGGTTTACAAAACAAAATACCCTACTATCTGTGTTTTCTTTATATTTTTGTTTTATTTTTAGGGTATGATACCAGGTTTATCTCAAGATCTTATGTCAAAAGGCAGCGAACAAGAATCTATGGCGAAACTTAAGCGTCTCATGACAATTATGGATTCAATGAATGAAGGAGAGCTGGACCACCGTGATGGTGCCAAACTTTTTTCTAAACAACCAACAAGGATCACAAGAGTAGCTCAAGGTGCTGGTGTAACTGAAAGAGATGTTAAAGACTTGATTGCGCAATATACTAAGTTTGCAGCAGTAGTAAAAAAGATGGGTGGAATTAAAGGGTTGTTTAAAGGAGGCGATATGGCAAAGAATGTTAACCAAACACAAATGGCAAAACTTAATCAACAAATGGCCAAAATGATGGACCCACGCATACTCCAACAGATGGGTGGCATGTCAGGACTTCACAATGTAATGAGGCAACTCCAACAAGGTTCAAGTGGGATGAACAGCTTAATGGGCGGAAAATGACATTAACTTTATCAAATTATTAATTCCAGTAATAATCTGTTCCCAACAAAGTCCATAGTATGTCAAAAAATGTTTATTAAATATTCAATTTATCTGTAAAGTTGTGTTCTTTATACCATAGACCCATATTTTTCAAAGCTTTTGTATTATTAAATGTGACGTGAGAATGTCGCCGACGCTTTATCAATGCAGTAAAACCCAATACATTGGTTATTAAAAGTTATATCTGTGAGCGCTAATCTCAGAAACGGCGAAACTGATTTGGGTGTAACTTTCACAAATGAATTGTAGTAAGCTTTTCTTAACATTTAGTTTTATTTAAATCGGTCCATAAATAAAAAAAAGTTGATAGACAACTTCAGGAATCATCAAATTGAAGAATTGTGCGATAAAGTGCTATCTATTTGCTACAGTTGAAATGGATGCAAATTTTTACTTAAATAAGTTTAACGTTAATTTATTTAAGTAAAATACTTAAATAAATTAACGTTAAACTTTAATTGATGACTGTGGAAATCAAAATGATAGTGTACTTTAATTTTCTTTCAAATACTATACTTTTAAATTGTTTGTGCTATCTTTTTCATCGTACCTATCTAAACCTTACAATAGATTTTAGACGATTTATTTTGATCCGATATATCGATAGAAAATATTGAATGTCGAAATCGTATCAAAAATGATATTTTTTCAAATTCGAATCCGGGACAGAGTCCTGACATTTAAATATTTAATACTTGGCTTACGTTTTTTTTTTTGAGACCTAAAAAGAAAATATCGACATATTTTCTCTTCAATATATCGAGGCTAATATTGATTTGTTTATAAATATATCGATATATTTATTTACTTTCGGCATCCCTTCATTCGATATACCTGCAACATTCTATACCCGGCCTCAAAGGTACGGGTATCGCCGTATACCCGGTGCTAAAACCCAGTATCAAAATACCTATAGGTATTAGTTATGTTCAGGCCTTCTTTTGGAGACGCGGTCGAATCAAATGAATTGAACCTTTGGTTGGAATTGGAACATTTAAATGTTTTTTTAGCAATCAGTTTTTTTTTAATTGAGATTTAATCAGTCTAAATTAAGCTCCATCCAAAAGGTATTATCAAAAAAAAGTTATTCAAAATAAATTTTACTGTTTACTGTAACCTTATTACGCAATTATTTATTTAACTTATGGTCATAGAAACAAAGAATAAATTTATCTCAAGGAATTATTTGGTATAAAATGCCTAAATCATACGTTTCAATTCGGGCATGGTCGGGAAGAGCCGCCGTAAGCGTTCGGGGAACTTCGTACCTATTCGGCCGGCGGGTTGTCGCGAGCGTATATACCGCCACCGTCGGACGAGGCGGCCATACCTATCGGGTATGGATCGGGCCTCTGCCATACATACGTCATACCCGGTGTGCGGGCGGGTTGTCGCGAGCGTATATACCGCGACCGTCGGACGAGGCGGCCATACCTATCGGGTATGGAACGGGTCCCTGCCGTACATACCCAGTGTGCGTACTGGTTTGTTCATACTGGGTATTTATACCTGTGCCAGTATAAACGCCTCATCCCTAATAGATAAGACATATATACTGAAACTGCGTCACGCGTAGTGTCATGACCATTGACAACAAATCAACAAACTATATGTGAAGTGAAACAAAAACAAAAGTGCATGCAACAGAGTAAAGTAATCCGGAATGGAAAAAAATAGAAATAATGGCTGTAATAAAATATTGAGAAAAGCGTCCTAACTTAGTATTTAGTTGTCAACTTTTTCTGTAAACGTACCTACATTCATAATACAAAAATGTCTTGTAATACATGCTCACGTTCCTTTTCTTTGTTTCTTCCTGAAGTAAGTTGTATACATTTAGAAGTTAATCAGCACACCTCACAAGATTAAATAATTTTACTATATTAACGCCCACTATTTTACTTTTAGAAAGGTTGTCCTAGTTGCGGTTTTAGTTATTGTTCAAAATGTTTAAACAAAAAAGTATTTGTGGCGAAGTTAAACACTGAAAAAAAGGTAAGTGTGATTTTATGATTAAAAATAAACTTTTAAATAATTGTGGGTATAATTTTTTTTACATTTTTTTCACAGGTTTGTGCTAAATGTTCAAGAAATAAATCAGATGAAGCAAATACTATACAACCCCCAGATGTTTTTTATAGGTAAGTTAACGAGTTACGTTACTTATTTGCATATATAAACAGAACCATACTGGGTTTGAAAGTACCTTTTTAGTTTTGTTCTTCAAAAATAGGTAATTTTTAAATAAGACAATGTAAGCCTAGGCTAGAAACCTACCTAGAAAACAAGGTATATTATTAAAAACCATGTAAAGGTTTTATGTATCAAGCCCACAATTAAGATAGGATAGATTTTATCAATCATCTACTAGTTATATGGTTTTGGATATATATTTAAATATGTATAGTTTGAACTAAAAAAAAAAATAGGTCTGTCATTAGTCAAAATGCAGTCACCAATCAACACCAAAATTACTTTAAACAATTTTTGTATAATTATATCCATAATCAAATAATAAGTTCAGTAATTTTAATAATTGATTTGTCTTAAAAACTAAATAACCAAACTATGCAAAATAACTTTAAAATTTAATTTTTTCTAAAAATGCTGTGGTACTCGACAATGATAGAAAATGAGTAAAAAAAATTTAAGGGTTTATTCAAAATAAAGATTAAAACGCCATCTTGGATTTACCATGATTACCAATGTATTAAATTGTATATCAGATTCAGAACTAAAGGTGCGTACCAAATTTCAGATCAATTCGGAAGGGGGTCAAATTTCAATTACTAGATTTGACCCAAACAGGTGAAGCTAAATAAAACCGTTTAATTATATATAAAGATATGACACTAGCATACTGAAATTGAGGTTTTCAAATTACACCAATTGGTGTAATTCTATTGACTGCTATTTCTTTCCGTATCATATGTTCTATATCATCTGTCACTTTCAGTGAAATATGTCAACATAAAGCAGATCAATTTTTATACGCCACACAGTATGGACATGCATCATCTATATTATTAAACATCATTGGTAAAAAAAGATTACATGCAAGTTGTAATACTCAAATGAAACTCACAAAATATTTAGGTAACTTCAAATATTTATTTTGGGGTAGGTCATATTATTAATAAGACCAATATATGTTTATTCAATAACATTAATTATACATTGAGGTAGGTACTTGACAATAATTATGTAGTAATCTTATTATCTAAACTATTTTACATACATAATATGATAAGTGAAAAGCAATTATTAGACAATAAGTGTTAGTATTGATTTCGATTTGGGAAAAGAAAGAAAAGACGGTCCCTCTTTTTCTCTCTTTCCCCCATAGGTATATTCTGTCTGTCCCTTGACCATGGATTTTGTGAAGTGTTCAAAGTCGAGAATTTATAATCAAAATAAAATGCGATAAAATCCATTAAATGGAATTTTTAATCATGCATTTGCAATGCCCAGTGTCCGGGCGCTCGCTTTTAAATCAATTATACTTGAGCAATTGCAAAACCAATGCAATTGCTAATTTTAAGTGCTGAATTCTTATCACGTTCTCAGCAGTGAAGCAAAATATCGTGAGGAAACCTGCATATTTTCGAAATAATAATAAAAAAAAATATTTCGAAGACCTGTGAAGTCCGCCAATCCGCAGTGCGGCCGCGTGGTGGACTATGCCGTGAACCTTCTGAACACAGGAGGCCTTTGCCCAGCAGTGGGACATGTATAGGCTGATACATTTTTAGTATTGGCATAAATACAACAACTAAAAAATCATCCAAACAAACTTATGGGTGCAATAGTGCAGCTCGTGCATCTTGTCCATGAAATGCAGCTACTCCATGAAATAACGAGCGCAAAGTCGAGCGATACGTCGCGCCAACAGCTCGAGCACTGCTATGTTGATTGATTTATTAGCTTTTTTTCTTTTATCTACCTTTTTGAAAATAAAGAAATTTTTTACATACATGATTTATTACTCAGAAAATAAAGCTCTTATTGTAGGTGTAAAACTTAGTGATCATGTTTTTATTTTGTAATTGAACATTTTGTAATTGACATGAGTATTTACTATTCAAACCTAGAGACACATTCAGTTAATATAATGAGTTTAATCAATTTTAGAGAGTATCATTTGATCATAGATATGTACTTTGATGACCAAAATATTTGAACCATTAAATCTTATCTAATAACATATGTTTAACCATTATTCATTTGAAAAACCAAAGATGCAGAAAAAATGTATGTATACATGAAAAAATCATCCTCCTAGGGAAGTTGGGTGAAGAGGAATGTTTTATGATGTTTAATTAGTGCCTTCATTAATTTGACTACAATTTATATGTATTATTTGATGTTTTTATCAGACATTTAGCAAAAATCAATGATTCTCCGAGTACCTCCAAGGAGACTTTAGATTTTGAAAAAGTCATTCGAGAAAGGCTTCAAAAACTTAAAGAGGATAATCTCGTAAAGGTTAAGGTATCTGATGATGAATTAAATGATCGTCTTCAAAACTTAAAAGGGAAAGTGCCACACACTTCTGATGTAGAATTATATACAAGATTAGCAAAAGTGAAAGGTGTTCCAATAGACATACTGAATAAGAAGGTATGTTTGGCTATGATATTGGCTATAATTGATTTAGGGCATTTATTTTTCTTTTGAAGGTATTTTGAAGGTTGTAACTGTGGTAGGGCCACCGAGCAGCCTCGGCTGTTGCACGATGGGCTAAAATATGTCCACACGGAATTAAAAAAATTATTTAAAATTTCTAAATTTCATGATTATTGCTAGCAGTCTTCACTTTCGTTTTTTTTTTCAGTTTTCTTTTCTTCAATACATTGACACATGGCTTACATATAACAACATGTATTTCAGTAATTGGTATTTTTCTTTATTTAAAGAAATGTTTTTTTAACCTATGTTGTAGCCTGTGTTACCACCTCCTGATTTAAGAACTGAACAAGAACAAGCGGATGATTTGTTGAAACAATATATGGAGCAATCACAAATAGATACAAACTATACTGATGGATTTGAGGATTCAATTAACAATATTGAGACAAGATTACAAAAGCTTAAATGTGGCCACACCTCTACTACAACTAGCATTTCCCAACATTCAGTTGAAAATATTGAGTCAGAAGATGAAGAAACAGTAGTGAACAAAATTATTGAAAAGGTAGATTAAAATCAGCTATGTTTAGGAAAAATATTATTTTTACATATGTAGCAAATTTAAATATTAATGGCGTATATTATTTCTTTCTTAATAGCTCGTTTTTATTATATGCAGGTAAAAGCTGATGCTTCTCTACAAGATATTTCTCCTAATACCAATGATGAGTTACCATTCTGTGAATTATGTAATGAAGATGCACATGTACGTTGTAAAGGCTGTAAGTATTTGTTTTGTATGAGATGTTTTAATGAACATAAAGATGATGATGATGACTGCAATACCTTTGAAATTTATGAACCGTTGAAAAAAGTATAGCATTGAGTGTTATAATAAACTATATAAGAGAATTAAAGAGTTAAGAAATGTGTATATACCTAAATATACACATTTATTATATAAAGAGTAAAGAATGAAATGTTATAAATGAAATTTATAATAAATTATTATATTTATTTATAATAAATTATTACAATTCAATGATTATGCTGTTTTATTTTGATGAGTAAACTCTTCAACAATGTTTGGTATAAATTGAACTAAGTCCTCAGATAAGAGTTTATATTCACTTTCAATCCAAATATCTTTCAGCTTTCCTATAATAGGCCCATACATTTTTCCAGGGGGTACACCATTTTTTTTAAGAATTTTACCATCAATAGGAAATCGAGGTATTTCCCAATTATCAAAGTGCTTCAGAAGAGCTTCATCACCTCTGTACTTTAAAATCTCACGGGTATATTCTACAACATCCTTCTGTTTCATTTTACTTTGCAGAACCAATTTTTCATATGGGCTGAAAACATTAAGAAACTTTAATAATGAAAAATTAAATGTAGCAATCAATATAAAGAGCTCTGTAAACTGAATTCTTACAGTAAAGGCCTTTTAGCTTCTTTATCTTCCCTATGTTCCACAAGAAAGTAAGCCATGTCCCGTTCATATCCAGAAAATTTAAGACGGCTATGAAGTACAGTAACAGCATCAATATCATTCAAAAGAGCAGCTAAATAACTTATTGGATGCAAGCCTAAATACTGGCTTCGTTTTAAAACTTTGTCTAGTTCTTCTACATTTGGATCTGGTAAACCTGATAAAGAAATTATTAATAACAAAAAAAAAATGATTTTGTTTAAATAGACTAGTCTGTTGAATTAAAAATATAGGAATAATTTTAAATAATTTATACTAAATACAAACCCATATATTTTCCAATATTAACACTTAACATAGTTTTTAATAAGTCTCCAGCAAAATTTCCTTGTAGTGTCTTTTTCAGCTCCATCCATATTCTCTCTCCTGATATATTTTCTAAACCCTGAGCATTATTCTTGATAACCTCAAGAGTCTGGACATCGTGATTGTTAGGATTTTCAGCTATTCTACCATAAAACCTAAAGTAGCGCATTATTCTGAGATAATCTTCTTTGATTCTGATATCTGCATCTCCAACAAAAGCTACTTTTCTCTTCATTAAATCATCATATCCATAGAAATAATCATAAACGGAGCCATCAAAACCTTAAAATAAAAGTCATTAAAAACACATAATTTTAGATTTAAAAAGAAATGTGCCAGGATTTTCTATGACTTGTTGATACCTAAAAACATAGAATTTATTGTAAGGTCTCTTCGATTTGCATCCAGTTTCCAATCTTTCGTAAACTCAACTTCAGCATGTCTTCCATCTGTTATAATGTCAACTCTTAATGTAGTTATTTCAAAATTTTCTTTGTCATTGATTCTTGGTGTGATAGTGCCATGCTTTTCGCCGCTCATGTTAATCATCCTAATGTTTTCTTTGCTAAACATTTCTTTTAACTCTTCAGGTGTTGCTGTGGTAGCAAAGTCAAGGTCTTTTGGCTGTATTCCCATTAACAAATCTCTAGAATGATAAATAAGATTTTATGTTTAAACAAACAAAAAAAAATCCCTATAAGCATTCATAAAAATTGGGTTTAAAACCAACCTTACAGCTCCACCTGCTATTCGTATTTCATAATTATATTTTTCAAATAATTTTCGGAGATCTTGAACTTCTTTAGTGAATAAATTCTTAAATTCAGGTGTATCAAGTTTGGTGACAATCGGATCTTCCCGATGTTTTAGTTCCATGTCAGTTTTTGACCGCAATCTTGGTGACCGTACTTTTTTTAATTGACAATAATTCTATAATTGAAAGAGTAAAATGTAATTAACCTCATAAGTGATGCATTCACAAGTAGCTATACAAGCATTATATTTGCCAGCCTGTTTACCTGGAAATGTATTAATCGAAGTATTTTAGTAGCTCCAGAATACAATGTGTTCATAATGAAACTCAATAGACATAGTATTAAGGCAGATTTTATAAAAAATACGTTGAATTTGACAAATTCAAATGTAAGTGATATTTTAATTCCCATAAATAATAATTAAAAATGTAACTTTGGTTTTCCATATGTTTCTTTGTATTATTTCTTTCTTTATGTTTAATCAATATGGAAAAACACGACCACAAACATATAGATTTTGTGTAATCATTGATTTATATAACTTACAGAGAAACAAAAGAGTATATTATCATTATAGTCATCTGTCTCCTCGTAAGACAGCGCCATCTCTTAATGAGGGACCGAACTAAAAGTTCGGATGTATAAACGTAGACCAAATAACCATTTTGTTTTTTCCGTTGAGAGCTGTATTCAACTACAGTTTTCTATATAGTGTATATGAAATTAATTTAATTTATATTTGATAACATTGTATAGAGAACTGTAATTGGATTCAAGCTTGCTAGATGTTATTTTTGGATAAAGTAAATAAATCAAATACAGAAATATGTTTTGCGAACTTTATTTCGTTTTTTATAATATTCATTCGCTATTTTTTTTATAATCTTTATTATGAATGATTTCGAGGCTGGTGCCGTTTAGTAAATTATTTACGTTAAATTATTTTTGGCTATCCTAAATCAGTAAATTTCCTCCAATCGATTGAATCCATGTTTTTAATCTGTCACTATCATTTACAGGTGAGGAAAAGAATGCAAAATTGCGTTGCAGTCTTTACCTGTAAATACAATATTAATGTTTAGCCGTAACGTATAACAAAATAAAATGATGAATAAATTTTTTTTTTCCTCAATTTACGAAGAAAAAATTTACAATGGAAGTTTTTTAGGAGAAATTTTTTGGGAATATATTTAGGAATAAAATATTATTCACATTTATGAAAAAAAAAAAAAAAAAAAAAAAAAAAGACCACAATTTTAAACACGAAATATAATATTATTGGCAGCATTGTATATTGTATATAACAGTGACTAGTGTTGGTTGCAATGGCTTATATAGTATTTTAAATTTTTCCGCGATAAACTCTTGCCATCGGATATGTTCAAAAATATGCAGCTAAGTGGGAAAAAGACAATGAATAAGGCATATTTCAGATCTTTTATGATTGAATGAGGCTTATTCCCATTGTTTATTGTCTGATTCTTAAAAATAATGAAAATGATTATAACGTTACAATAAAATGTATTTAATTTGTATAAATATTTTTCAAGTCAATGGAAAATGTTCAAGGTCAATATTAATTTTAAAATAAAACAGTTTTAATTACCTAGATAGTTAATTTTTTCCGATAATTATTCTACCTTGTTAGATAATTAAAAGAAAATGGTGACTTTTTCATTTAGGAAGTTTTTTTTATAACAGTGCATTTTAGGAGGTTTATGAATTTCTTTAGGAGTTTTTTTTTCAACAGTTGGTATCACTGATTAACATCGGTGTTTTGGGAAATGTTTTCTTGGACGATGCAAAGCTTTTTTGCTTGAAGGGATGGAGTGCACGCGCCTGCTGGATAGCTTCTAACACTATAGTATATTGGATAAGTCTGGTCATGTAAGAAGTACCGCTGTTAAATGTAGGTGTCACATTTTCAATTATAATTAAGTCATAACTGTTAAAAAAGTAAACATGGCTCCCTGTTTCTAGGCTCGTGTAAAATTTTTAAATTAGGTAAAGTAGTGTTGCACAACTATCGGTAGTATGACGATCGATAGTTGACCTCGAAAACTATTCAGGATATCGATTGTACTATCGATAATATCGTCTAAGTCAATACTGTCGATACTACCAATGGCTCTCCAAGTGCCAATACTATTGATAACAGCAATACTATCGATAGTAATGCACACGATAGTATCGATAGTATTGCAATTTCAATTAGTTTTTGATAAAACGTATCGATACTATCGATAGCCAGTAAAAGGCTGTTGTAGTAAAAAATCATCGATATTATCTATAGTTTTTGGTAGACTAATGATTTTTGCAATATTATTGATACCATCGCATGCATTACTATCGATAGTATTGCTGTTATCAATAGTAATGGCACTTGTAGAGCCATCAATACTATCAGTAGTATCGACAGTATTGACACGTGACAATACTATCGATAGACTACCGATACTATTGCTTTTACCTTAACTATCGATAGATAATTGATTATCTATCGATAGCAGACTATCGATATGCAACACTAAGACAAAGTCCAGTATGACAAAATAACACACTATGTACCTAGTATAAGATTTTAATTAATGTGAAATGTGAATTTGCTGCCACTTTAGTTAGGTTGGTTATATATCCTTTGTGAAATGTTCCAAGGATTGTATGATACAAGAGATTACTCATAATAGATAAGTCTACTTTATAGGAATGCAAAAAACAGATGTAAAGGTTTAACATAAGAATTTAATTTTAGATGCAAACATAATCATTTAAAAATTTTCTTTATTTTTTTACTTATTTTAATTCTGTACAGTTTAAAATATTTCATTTAATTGAAACACTAGTTTAGTTGTTATTAGATGTGTTACGAAGTATTATAATTAGATATTATTATTAAGATGGTAGGCCAAGTATTCCATCAGCTGTTATTAAAAACTTGGTAGATGATATAGGCAAATCAGGTGCAAACATTACACATAGTTCCCGAACATGTGTAATGTACTGCAAATACTGTACATGGTTTTGTAAAAATGCATTATATTGAAAATCAGTATCTAATCTCTTTTTTAGCCAAAGTCTATATGTCACCATATTTGACCAGGCCAATCCAAGTGATGGCAGCACATTCAATAATCCATCTATTGACGCTGTCACTTGGTTTATACAAATAATTGCCAAATTATATTTTTGTGCCAGGGAAATCAACCTGATTGCAGTTTCTCTAATATCTTCTGCCCGTTTAATATAGTTTTCACTTTCAACTCTGAAGGTGGCAGCAATAGAATCAATCACAATAGTAGAAACTGAGTATTTCTCCAGTAGCTTTGGTAAGCGAACTCTAATGCAAGATAAAAGCTCATGAGATTCAGTAAGATGTTCAACAAAGATATGTTTTCCGTTGTCGTTGTCACATTGTCCAGAGGTACTTTTGATTTGATTCAATCGTTTTACTGGAAAAAGGTCTTCAGTGCAAATATAAACACTGTATTTAGGGAAACTATTTATGGCAGTTATTATCGCAACTTGAGTTTTACCTGTTCCACTTTCACCATATATCTCTGTTATAGTGCCTGTTGTAAACCCACCACGTAGTAAATTATCAATACACTCACAACCTGTCGCAATTTTCTTAACTATTTGTAATTTTAACAGTTTATCACAAGTGAAACTTGGTGGTCTTAAGTAGTTAGCGACAACGTTTTTTATAAATGAAATATCATCGATTGTCAGATTTGTATTTTTTTTTATATCCAAAACTGAAAGCATTAATAATTGGCGCGGGTTTGCTATACCAGCTTTATCTATTTTTTCGTATATATTAGGTTGCAATAAAGATTTTAAAATATTCATTATTATATCCAACAATTAGATAAAGTTTACCTACAACCGTTTTTTTTTTTTGAAGAAAACTGTTTTTGTTGTCAAGTTGTTATTATTATTACTTTAATAAATACATTAATTAGATGACACGGGCTATCAAGAGTAACAACTGTCAGTTTCAGTATATATCAGTGCTACCAAGTGTTGAAAAAAAAAAACTCCTAAGGAAAATCAAAAACCTCATAAAATCCACTGTTTTCGAAAAAACTTTAGGAAGAAAACTCCTAAGTTGGCATCCGTGGTATATATTTATATATATATGTCTTATCTATGGCCAGTGTGTCCCCACAGGGTTGGATTTAGGTTCGGTAAAAAAGAATTTAAAAGGATAATAATTGACAAAAAAAATATAGTACTGTAATTATAAAAATTATAGTAGTAAACTGAGTAACAAAACTAAGAGATAGATTTTATATTCAAATCAGAGAAACTCGGCTTGGCACCGACTCCAAAAATTGTTAAATTATTTTAGAGAATGGGTAGATTAGGTTACATAAGTTAGATTTTCAAGATTAACATAGATAATAATTCTAAATGTAATATAATCAGATTTAGTATTATTATAAACCTTTTAGTGCTAATAGTCGGTTCTTTTTTTGGTTAAAATATTTTATTGTTTTACTTTGTGATTTAATTTTCATCATCATCATCATCATCATCATCAGCCGCAAGACATCTACTGTTGCACATGGCCTCCCCCTTAGAACGCCACAACGAATGACACTTTGCCATTTGCATCCACCGGTTGCCCGCGACTCTTACGATGTCGTCGATCTACCTAGAGGGAGGTCTTCCAACGCTACGTCTTCCGGTTCGTGGTCGCCATTCGAGAACCTTTATTCCCCATCAGTCATCACTCATCTAGTTATTCGAGCGATGTAGTCTGCCTACTGCCACTTCAAGATCTCAAGTAGACGCTTACAATGCACACAGCATATTAATTGTTTGAATATACGATGTCATCTTGTGTGATTCTGCAAAACAATGCATATTTATGCGATGCAGCAATCGCGGTTGATTTGCGGCCATTATTTAAAGAGTTCTGGTGTCTTTCTCCAAAACTCATCATCAGATCTATATGAAATTTATATGGGACCTTTTCGGAATAAAACCCCTTCGAACAAAAACAATTATGGAAATAAATCTTTTACAGTGACAGCTTTGCGTTTGTGGAATTCTTTGCCACTACACCTTCGACAAGCTGAGTCTCTTGCTTCTTTTAAAAACCTAGTGAAAGCTCATTACTTGGAACTATGAATTCATGCTTTCCTTTTGTCTTTCCTATTTTTCCCCGAAACTTTAGCCTATTTCATTGATGTTTATATGCCTTCATCATGTGTGTAACAAACACTGATTCATGTACACCTTTGCTCTCTTCTTTATGTCCCATAACAAAAATTCTTTTCGTAATGGTTTTCTGAAAGAAATCACTTTTAGAGCGATAAGATCGCCTAATGTAGTTCCTTTTACATTCATGTGTAAGTCGTACTTTTTATGTTTTGGGTGTACAATAATAAATAAATTTAAGTTGTTAATTCTAAGCATATAAATTATGTTAAAGAAATATTTTCTATTAAAAAAAAAAAAGCAATGCTTTATAGACTATAATGTAAATGTCAAACTTTCCGGAAATAAAAAAAAAAAAACAAATCAATAAACATAATTATTAATTATTATTTACCATGAATAATGGTTTTATTTGTTGATTATGTTGATAGAAATCTCGTATCACCTAAAATGTGGTCATACTATTTTTTAATATTTTTGATTTCATAAAATTTATTTGATTTTCAAGTTACACAGAATAGAATTAGAAAAAGTTAAAAGTTATTTTCTTCTTGTGTAAAAATTATGATACATTAGTTACATAATTAATAGATCTGGTGATGTCAAGATTTTAAGCTTCAAACATGTTTGTAGCCCGTAATTTGTATAATTATTCGTATTGTTTGATAACGATACACTTTCACCCCACTGCCTTGATTCGAGTTGCGCGAACACAAATCAATGACACTCCGTTGGGCACGGTCTTAGCGAGAGCTGGTTTTACCACTGTGTATAATAAGAGGAAAATGGTAAGTAAATATTACACCAACATTCTTTACGAATTACTAATAGTAATATGTATTCCATGACATTATGGACTGTCTATCCTATCTGCTATATCAACACTGTATCGAATTTCAATATTTTTTGCTAGAAGGTACATTTAAAAATTTCCATTATTGTTGATAAAAATATACACAAATTTAAAAAAAGCTAGCTTACTTAAGTTTATTTGCAAATATTGTCATTAGGTTGATACACTAAGTGCTGAAGAGCGTGATGGGCTTCTAAAGCCCTTAATTCAGGATGGATGGAAGATTCAAAGCAACCGTGATGCAATAGAAAAGGAATTTAATTTCAAGGACTTCAATGAAGCATTTGGTTTTATGACAAGGGTGGCATTGTTGGCAGAAAAAATGGATCATCACCCAGAATGGTTTAATGTGTACAATAAAGTAAAGGTAAATCAATTTTTTGTTTTCTATTACAATTTTCATTTAATTCATGAAGAAAATACTACTAAAATTATACTTTCCTTAGAATTGATTTTATATGACACTTAAACATAAAATGCAATTTTAAATTTCACATGTATGAATCAATAATTGATAAAAAATATTTTTGAATAAGTATCATCAATTTTTAGACCTTTGAAATATAATTTAAAATTTTATAGGAAAATTGGTACTGTTAACATTATGTATTTTTATTATACAGCGTTACCATCGCGGCAATAAATGAACACACATCTAACGCTACTTGCCTATAATCATAAAAAATATTCACATTAAAAAAGTAACAAAATTTGTAACATCCTATACAAGTACAACTGACTGATTCATACATTCAAAGTCTTTCATTTGTTGCCACAGTGTCGCATTACAAGCCTCTCCTTCTAACAGTATGTTTTGTCTCTTTTCAATTCATTCAACCCGCTTGCTGTTATGCTTTGTGACCTTTACAAATGAACTTTACGTTACAGTTTTATACATAAGGGTTTTCCAAAATTGTTTGTTTTGGAAAATTTAATAACTCTGTAAATATTGATGTTTAACGAATGTAAATGTTTAATACAATTTTACAAATTTTACAATTTTACAAAGTTATCCTCTATATGTGCGTTCATTTATTGTCGCCATTGTAAAGACACGCTGTATATCTGAATACTAAACATTATCTGTTGATATTTTAACAACAACTTTTTTGTTTAGGTTACATTATCATCGCATGATGTAAATGGACTTAGTAAGAGAGATGTTCGAATGGCCACATTTATGGACAAACTAGTTAAATAAGTAACTAAAATAATGTTTATAAAACAAGTGATATTTGAAACACTTCTTTATTATGTATATATTATTCAAATTTTATTCAGCTTATTTTAGCTTTAAGAAATCCAAAAACTTATTTTGTAAATTTATTTTGAATAAACAATTGTAAATTATCATATGATACAATAAAGGTATTATTTCGGACAATTTTGTATTGTAAATCATGATTTTCTTATATAACATGGGCATATATGTTTATCATTGAGTGGTTTAGTTTCAAAGAAGGCGGTTGTTGGGTAAGCTCCTTCAATCATTTTTTTGAGCTGTAAAGCATGCTGTAGATCCCTTGTCTCACATACAATTTTAACCTGTAAAATAAATAATTAAGTATACTATTGTAGTAATAATAAAGAAAATGAGCTATAGCCTGTTTTATATTGGGTTGGCAACTAAGTAATTGCAGATTTGTTAAATGAAAGAATTTTTTTACTTGGAATGAAATTTTCTATAATGTATTTTCCATTTTGTATGATGACCCATCTCTCTGACAACTTGAAAATTCCACGCTCATAGAAAGTCAGATGAGTTAAGTAAGATTTTACAGTGTTATTATCATTGAAAGTTTTACCATGACGGGAATTGTCCATGGATCGAAATAGGTGGTAATCCCCATCGGATTATCGCGAGATCAGATCTGAGATTCTTCCGAAATCAGATTCGGAAATATTAAGCAAAATATAGCAAAAATGTTCGTTTCAGTTATACATAAACTGGCCATACGTCCCGTTTTAAACGGGACTGTCCCTTTTCTTGGACATTTGTCCCTTTGCCCCCGAAAAAATCTTCGGGACGCAAAATTGCCCTTTTTTCCGAAACCGCGCGAAATTTTAAAACCACGCTCGTCAGACTTGATCATCAGTTATATTTCGAAAGTTTGCAATTTTTGGTCGGAGCCAGAAGTTATTACTTTATTTTGAGCTCATTCAGAAGAATTATCAGTTGAAGTTTACCTATACCCATTTTGCCTATAAAAAGATAAACAAAAAGTTTATTGTTGTGGTTTTTCCTTACTTACCTATAATGCTCGATCTATATTGGAATCCCTATAATTATCAATCTAAAAATCACCGCAATCGTAACCCAAAATTATAACTTAGCAAAATGACAAAAAAACTACAAGAACTGTAACTAATGCCAACAATCTCTAAATGCCGTAATTAAGCATATAGTATGCTATAGCATACTATAGTAATGTTATTCTACTTTTTAGATAGGAACTGAGGATGCCAAGAACCTTATTCATGCCATTTATTTTATAATTGTTTAATTATAATTTAAACTACATTATTACTTACTAATTATTAGAATGTCAGTTACCTCAACATGGTGTATTTCTTCCTCAACCCATATACGGTCCATGAACTGGCGTACTAAATTATATCCGCCGTCTGCAATAAGTTTCAGTAGTTGAGCCATTTGTGCCGACTCCGCCTTGATGCCAACCTATGGAAATGTTGTGTAATATAATAATAATAATATATGTAATAATAATGATCGTCGGGGCACACCTGGAGCTGACGCTGGGTGTCTCAGCATGCGAACCGTCAGCGGTGAGGAGTTGAACAGGCGGGCTCTCACCGATAAAAATACTACAGCCGAAACAACAGACACACCTACACAGAATACTATACATGAAACGGCGAGAAGTGCTTTGCAGGAAATGCGTCCTGCAACCACTCTCGCTGGCAGACAACGGCAACGGATGAAATGGAGTGATGAAATTAACAAACAACTACTCCGTTGCTACTACACAGTCACACATTGCGAAACTGATCTCACTGGATATCGCCCAGAACTTTACAATAAATTCATCTCTATCTACCCCGACCTACATAACATCGTTTCACAACAACGATTAGCAGACCAAATACGGGTTATACACCGCAATAACAGAATTTCTCTCACAGAGAGAGAAATAATTAAGACAGAAATACAAAATATTTTGAATGATCCTATTTCAATATCCAATCAAACCAGTCACTTAACCACAACAGACACAAATCGTCAATCTTACCAGACAAATACAGACATTCAAGAAACGAATCTAACCCAACCAACTAGAGAAACCGTTACTCGTTAAACCGTATACTTCAAATATTAGGTATCCAAATGCCAATTACACAAACAACAGGAACATCCATATTACATACATCTACACTATTATCACACGTACAAAATGTTACGACGCAAACACAAGCATTAGACACTGAACCAGAAAACCATGATATTGATACTCTACAAAAGTGTAATCATCTATTTAATGAACATTTGAACAAATATGTAGGAACTGATCCCCTTACACGACCTGTACTGCCAAAACTATTCATTACGCGTAAGTCAAAAAAAAAACAGTTAACATGCTGAATCAACTGATAAATAACGAACTAATAAATATTACACAACCATCCATAGAACAAATACATGACATAATTTACTGCGCAGCATTAACGGCAACATCAATACACAATAATACAGAAAAGCGTAACAACAATAAAAGTATCGAAAAAGAAACGATTAAAAGAAGTATCAATAACCCAGCATGGGAGAGACGAATGGAAGTTAAGATTGCAGCCCTCAGAAAAGATATAGGAAGATTAAATCAGTATATTAAGGAGAAACTATCAATCAAAAACAAAAAAAAAAAAGAGTAAAATTTATAAAAATACACAAGAAGCAATAGACAGCCTTGACAATAAAACCCAAAAAATGCAAGCATTGGCGAAAAGACTACGAAGATATAAAAAATCTAACCAAAGACACAGAGACAATATAATGTTTAGCAATAACCAGAAAGCATTTTATAGAAATTTCAGTGAAAAGCCAACAATAAAAGAACCACCTAGCATAACAGAAGTACAAACATTCTGGCGAAATATATGGTCAAAACCTGTGGAACATAATAGTGAAGCAGAATGGATTAAGGAAGAACTTGAAGCAACAAAACATTTTGATCCTATGCCAGAAATTACAATACACAAAATAGATATAGAAATAGCAATCAAAAGGACGCTAAATTGGAAAACACCTGGACCGGATAAAATTCAAAATTACTGGTTAAAATATTTTTCATCAACTCACGAATACATAGCCAATGCTTTTAATACTATCATTCAAGATCCACGCAGTTTACCCAAGTTTCTTATCATGGGAAACACTTATCTAATACCAAAGGATGAGGATACGGTAAACCCAGCTAAATACCGCCCAATCACATGCCTACCAACACTTTACAAATTACTCACATCTATCATCTGACATAAAATCAACTCGCATCTTATTCAAAACAATATTATAGCTGAAGAGCAGAAAGGCTGTAGAAAAGGTTCAAGAGGCTGTAAAGAACAATTAGTAATAGATACAGAAATACATAATCAAGTTAAACAAACACACAGAAATCTACACTTCGCGTATATCGACTATCAAAAGACATTTGATAGTGGTCCTCATTCTTGGTTAGCACAGGTTCTAAACATATATAAAATAGACAGCAAATTAATAGAATTTCTGCACCACACCATGCAAAGATGGACAACTATACTTAATATTAATACACCGACGGGAACGATTCGTTCTAGTCCTATAAAGATAGCACGTGGTATATTTCAAGGGGACTCATTAAGTCCACTATGGTTTTGTCTGGCGTTAAATCCATTATCCCGCATATTAAATAGAAGTAAACAGGGCTATGTATTAAACAAAGATACAGATACAAAAATTACACATCTCCTTTACATGGACGATATAAAATTATATGCAGCTAGCAAACTACAAATAAATAATCTTTTAAAGGCCACAGAACAATTTAGTACAGATATTAAAATGAACTTTGGAATTGATAAATGCAAAATAAGCAGTATAATAAAAGGAAAACACTACGACACTGATCCATATATATTACAAACACAACGTAACTTACAAATAGATAATATGGAATTAACAGATACATACAAATATTTAGGATATTCACAAAGTCCAGGTTTAGACCATAATAAGATAAAAGAAGAGTTAACTAAAAAATACATGGACAGGCTCAATAAAATACTAAAGACAGAATTGACGGGAAGGAATACAATTACAGCTATTAATACATATGCAGTGCCAGTTTTAACATATTCTTTCGGAATCTTAAAGTGGACAGCTACAGACTTGGATAGACTAAATAGACTCACACGAACTACTTCTAATAAACATAACATACACCACATCCATTCGGCAATAGAACGGTTTAACTTAGGGAGAAGATTAGGAGGGAGGGGCGTAGTCGATATAAAAAATCTTCACAATAAACAGATATACAATATTCGCACATACATACACAGAAAAGCAAATAACAGTCCCTTACACAGAGCTCTCACACTAATATCCACTTCAGGCACACCTTTAAAATTAAATGACAGTAATATGGTTATTGAACAAATTGCCACAGATGAACAAAAAATTAATAATTGGAAACAGAAATCTCTTCATGGAAAATACCCTAATCAACTATATCAAGAATATATAGATAAAGAAGCATCAAACGCATGGCTCAGTAAGGGAAGTATATACAAAGAAACAGAAGGTTTTATGATTGCAATTCAAGATCAAATTATAAACACCAAAAATTATCAGAAGTACATTATTAAGAATCCAGCAGTAGTATCGGATAAATGCAGGTTATGTAACATTAATCAAGAGACAATAGACCACATTACAGGAGGCTGCTCATTTATCGTACCCATCATTGTTTCATCCACAGGACTAGTTCCAAACTCTTTAATTACATCGCTTAAAGAACTAGGTTTACACAAAAATATATACATTCAACTACAGAAATCGGTCATTATCGACACATGCTCAATAGTCCGGCGATTCCTTACATCCACCACTCAAACACCTACAACACTACATAATGAACCGACCCACTTGGCATAGCCCGTGATAGGTTCACACCACCAGCGATGTGCTGGGATTAAAAAATATAGTTCGAATATAATAGTAATAATATAATAATAATATGAAATACCGGCGGAGGATGCGGGCGGTTTCTCTCCCTTTCGCCCTAACCCTCGGCCGTCTGGTCTCCCCTGCCGAGGGTTTACGTCTGGTTGGGTCCTATTTATATATGTATTATATACAACATTTATATGTATATGTTTATTTTTATCCATAATATTTATTTTATATATGCAATATGTATCTATTTTTTTATTTTTATTTATAAACCCAACCAGACGAGAAAACAAATGAATATCCCCCCCATATGAAATACAATCTAAACGAATACCACATAGGAACTTAAATCAATTGGATTAACAATGAACCTAGTAAGGGCTTGGCGGCAGGCAGTTGGTTCACCTGATATTTAAATTTTTATAATTTGTGCTAATATCGCACTTGATAAACCATTAAAATCTGTAGAAAAATGCACTTAAAGTTTCGCAGCAGCGGGAATCTAACACACGTCTTCTGGATTTGCGCCCCGACACTAATCACTAAGCTAAATAGCTGATTGTAACACCTCTCGAAAATCTCAACGTATTTTATTTACATTGTTTTTTTCTTATTTCTAGCCATGAGTGCATCTACGGTTATGTCGTTCAACAATGAAATGAAAATTTTTATAGTGCTTATTTCTGCACTTAAGATGAAACATATGTTGATAAAATCGTAATCTGTTAAGTGTGAAAACAGTTTTTAAAGCGCTTTGTTTAAACACACCTCTCGAAAATCTATCGGTGTTGAATTAAAGTGCAAAGATATTCAACCTTGGACTAAAAACCAAACTGCCGTAACCAAGCACGTCTAATTAATCGGACATTAAAAGCAGTGATGGCGTGTTTAGATGATTGTTTAACTGTCCTCTTGTTTCATCCATAACATTTCTGATAAACTTATGTTTTACTGTTGTCAAATTGCATAGCATATTTAACTATATACTATTGCTTTGTTTCTTTATCTACGCTCTAACAATAATTACATTTGTACCGACTCAAATGTATTGATTTGCTTTCGTTCAATTTTTTTTCATTTGAATTATTATTGCATTGACCTATAAGCAGAGGCGGATTAAACGTTGAGAGCGCTGTAGGCAAGCATCTCATCGGCGCCCCTACATTAAAGCTATAAGGTACGACTGTAAACCCCAAAATCATAAAATTCCCTATATAATAATTTCTGACTTTACATGCCAGTCGAACTCTTTAGTGAAAATAACAAGTTTTAAATATTTTTTCTCGAAATCTATAAGCTACCAGAGAATTCTGCTTGTCGATTATTTCATTAGTGATTTTTATCTACCGAATAATTTTTTTTGTTAGGTCTAAAAACACTCACGCTAATGGAAAGAAATACCATATCTTGATTAAACCATTCTGTGCAATAATTATATTCTTGTGTTTCGTTATTGATATCCCAATTGATTGGGTCACAAGCTGGTCATAAACAGTTTATTTTGCGACTGTTTCAAAACTTCTACTACTGATGGAGTAAGCGGCGGAGGCTCGGACAAATTTTGTGGCTGTTTATGACTAGTAGGAATTTCGTTTTGCAAAGGATCTACTCACTTTGGATTGCCTTTATTGATCCAGAATCATCACTTTTTAATTTTGAAAAAAACGTCTCAATATTTTTCGTTTGATTTATTACATTATAATGTTTTTCTCCTTTGCCTTCCTTTTATATTCTGCACCATTATTTCTTAATTTACTCATTCTTTAAGTAATAAACATACACTTGATGGACTAATTAAATACACACATAACACCGCAGCGAGATCGTAAGCAATAAAAGCGCCAGAATCGAACAGAACTCGACTTTGACGCCTCCAACTACAAGTCAAAGATCGTGTATCGGAACAACGCCAAACCAATGGGAACCTCTCTACTAGAAGACATCGATCCATCGCACACCGCCTACTGGCGGTTCGCCCGTAGTTTGAAAGCAAAGCTCTACGAATCCCTACCACCATTAGTAATACCTAATAGCGCTTCATTAGCCCTACATGACTCTGAAAAAGCCGAAATCCTTGCGGACAACCTAGAGCAGCAATGTACGCAATCGCGCGAACACGTCGATACAGCCCACCTAACGGAGGTAGATCGCGTAATTGAACTTAGGGCTGTGCTACCAAAGGTAGGCGAACCTTTAACCTCAGTGACCCCCGAAGAGCCGGACAAACAAGAGCTGGTCCCGACCAATTATATCGCCTAACGGCTCATTTTCTGAAAGGCCTCAATCACCCCAAACACTTAAGCACGGTAGCTCTTTTCTTCGATGTGACAAAAGCATTCGACAAGGTCTGGCACAACGGCTTGCTTTACAAGCTGTTCGTACTCAACGTGCCAGACAGACTCGTGCACACCATCCGGGCGTTCCTGTTGAATCGCTCCTTTCTTTACGCTTTTACGCTCTATACGAGCGATATAAAAGAACCACGCGTCAATTTCGGGCTTTTCACGGATAACACGGCATTCTTTTACACAGATAAAAATCTTAATCGGCTCATTAATTGTCTCCAAAGCGCTGCCGACCGCCTCGGGATTGATTCCGCAAATGGAGAATAGAATTAAATCCCGACAAGAGTGTGACGATTCACTTCACACGAAGTACTTACCCGTCACACCTTTATAAAGACCCTCGCCAATGCAGAAAACTATGGCAAATATCTCTTTACGGACAACCACTCTCCTGGGAGAAAAAGGCTAAATATTTAGGGTCACTTTCGACATTCACATAGCAAATTAACGATATTAGAAACAGAGCCGCGTTCGTCTTCGACCGACTCTATCACCTAACCAAATGCCCTTAAGGTAATTATTATTATACGGGTTGGCTTTTCTAAAGGTGCCCAAATTCACACAGGAGGTTCAGACTCGGTAGTATAATCTTTTCAAGTATAATCATTCTTCAAAAAAGAGCTGTCCGAGCAATCTACAATATCGGAGCCCGGAATTCACTCAGAGATCTTTTCAAAGAGGTTAATATACTCACTGTTGCTTCTCAATACATTTATTGTAATGTTTTGTATATAACCTTAATTATTACCTAAAGAATAGTGACAGACATAAAATAAACACTAGAAATAAGGACAAACTTACTACGCCATTGTTTCGTCTACAAAAAGTAAATAAGTCTTTCATGGGGCAGGGTGTGCGCATGTATAATAAAATCCCACAGTCGATATTAAGTCTGCCGCTAAACCAATTTAAATGTAAAATTAAAAATCAACTAATGATTAAAGCATATTATACCATTTCGGAATATCTTGACGACGCCAATGTGTGGAGTTGATACTGTTGATACTCACGTAGGCTAGAATAAGACTATTGTACCCGTTTATTATATTGTAAATTGATAATTTTGAAAAGGAGCAACTGTTGAGTTTCTTGCCGGTCTCTTCTCAACAGAAACTGCTTTCCGAACCGGTGGTACCTTACGAACCTATACACATAATCTTTGATGTAAAATTTGACGATTCATAAGAGCGCGCAAGCGTCTATTTGAATAAATATATTTTTGATTTTGATTTTGATTTTTATTGAAATAAAATCAAACTTTTTTCAAAAAAATTGCCTTTCTATTCCCTAAAAAAAACTTGTTGACAATGTAGTCATTTATAAATGCGTCGTATACTTTTGAAACGCACTTTTTGAGATAAGTTCAAATTATGTATTTAATTAATTACGAGTGATTTTAAAGATTTACCTATTATATAACATTATTTATGTCTAGAATTTAATAAAAAATGGATACACTTAAAAATACAGGGATGTATAAGGCCTGCGTAAGACCTATTATGTCCTACACCCTTGACCTACACCCACACAAACCCTACTCGCTTGTACAAGTTGCAAATAGTACAAAATAAGTTCATCCGCCGCGCAACCAGTGCGCAGTGGTATCAACGCAACGTCGACCTGCACGGTGACTGCAGACTCCCGACAATTCGCGAACATTTTAAAGATCTCACCAAACGGTTCTTCGATAGAGTCGAACATCATCCCAACCCTCTGGTGGTAAGCGGAGCGTATTACCGACCCGACACTAACGCGAACGTCAATAAACGTCGCCCGCGCAACATCCTCATCGATCCGGTCAAGGAAGGGGACTCAAGTACGTCGGACCCACCGTCGGGGTCCCGCCAATAAACACAACGCGTGCACTCGGTACACCCGCGTTCCTAAACTAAACTAAACAAGCACAGCAACGGCCATCGGGTTAACGGTTCGCACCGAATCTTGATGGCCTGTAGGCGACATGCCGTAATTATCGCTCGCATGAGCACATGTGCCGCCCTAACCACTGAGGAGGGCCTCAAACCCGTGGGTTCTGGCTAGCCCACTGGTTCTGCGTTCGATGAATCTTTAATAGTCTAAGGATTGAAAGCGTAACCTCATTATAGAAAATACAAAAATTAAAAGTTCGCGTAACCAAGACAAAAAAGAAAAAAGTTGAAAGTCGTGTCACTCTTCACACGTTTGTTCGCGCCTGACCGCTTAGCTCCCGCCACCACACCGCACCTTCGTTACCGCAATTTTAGAAGCAGGGACGTCCGATTCCGATACTCACAAGTCGCGATCGACGCGACGTGCATTGTAGTCGTATCTTTCCTACTTCAATTAGAGATCATGTACCATGACAAGATTTTTTTTAGTCAGTCCCATCCGTTAAGTTTATCTTTTGCTATAAATTGAAGCAAATTGAGGTTCTAAGCAAAAATAATAGTTTTTATTATGTAAGTAAGTGGCTTAATTACTGGCGCAATAATATTTATTTTACAATTCCGCCGCCGCGCGCCCCTTTGTATCCTCGCGCCTATAGGCACATGCCTAGTTTGCCTTAAGGATAATCCGCCTCTGCCTATAAGGAACGTAAAATTGCAAACGAAGGTTACCTTAAATTTCACCAAACGACCTTCAGCTGCTAGCCCCCTTTCTATAGAACGGTTTAATAGAATAGCGTCTATATTGCCTCCGCTTAAAATGCATACGACACTGCTCATAAAAAGAAAAATGCAATAATTAAATATTTTGTCCTATAGTAAAAATAACAGTAATGTAGATTTCTACTTAGAAATTAAAATAGGAGTTATCTTTTACTTTCTTTTCTAATATTCGGTGTTATAGATGCGCCATTTACAGAATAAAATCAAATTCAATATAATTTCTTTCAATCTCGGGTTATTTCAAAGTATTGTGATTTTCATAATATAACCGATTCACACGCCGATTCAGTTATACCAATCAAGTTATCCAAATAAAGTTGACGTATAAATCTTCAAAAATTGTTGACGCGTTTGGCTTCTAGAGCGTCACAAAGCAACAATCATACGTACATAGTCTGATAAACGCAAACCCTTTTTTACACTCCTGTGCATCGCGCAGTCAGGTAAAAAAGGGTTGTGTTGTTGTCTCCCATACTTATATACATATAATGGCGATATCCAGATTATTGTAAAAAATAATAACTTTTTAGACTTCAATTCAGGCACCAGACTACTTAGGATCGCCGCCATAGTACAAGCACCAGCGCCTTCTACTACAAATCGCTCCTTTTCTATCAAATGCAATACAGCACGGGCTATCCAGTCCTCCGCTACAAGCATCTGAAATAAATTGTTTGCATTTATTGAGTAAAGTGTAGTAACAGTCTTAGTTTAATTCAATTGTAGTTATTATTAAACAGATCTTTAGAACAAGTTAAACCATTTAGAGCTATCGTTGTACTAATCTTTAATTTTTTTTTGACTGGATCTACCACTGTTGGTCGTGGGTCACTTGTGAGTTGTGAGGCCTTTACAGTAACACCGGGCTTGAGGTAGCCGGGCGCCGAGGGCGCCTAGCTCGTACTTCCATTATGGGTGACTCAGCTCGAGGGCTCTCGAGGGAACCTCGGCCCGGGCCGTCACGCTATTATTAGTAGTACTGGTCTGGTAGGCCGCCAAGCTCGCAGGGCTCTTTGGTGTGCGCTCCATGGAGTAACTAGGCTTAAGGTCTCAGGCTAGGATGATATCTATAGCTCTCATTAGTACCACTGCGGAAAGAATTGGCGTTGGGAGAAGTGGCGGAAAAACTCTAGCAACGCTTTCATCATTAACGTGGCGGAACCTAGTTAGTATATATTTGCCGCACTCTCCGGCGAGTGCGGTGTGTTTTAGTGTTTTCGAAGTTGTTTTATTCTATCCATGGAGATTGTCGTCTCATCGTCGGGGAAGTCGAGAACGTGTCGAAGTCTACACCAATTGCGGCGGATTGTACGTAGCGGTAGGGGTCTGTAGATCAAGGCACCTACGACTAGCGGACGCGACGTACTTCAGTAATTGGGCGATTATGGGCAGCTCTAAATCTATATGTAAGCCGATGTTGCCCACGAACCACGGGCCTGTAGCCGGTGTATTTGCCCCGGAGCAATGAGCACGAAAACTGGATTCGCGTACGTCATTATATGGCGTACAACTGCCTCGTATATATAAAGTCACGTTGTTCCGAAGGCACATCGTTAAAATTATGTGCAAAATAATTATATATATTTACCATTTTGTCAATTAGCTGGTGTGCTATATGGAAGGAGTTTGCTCCGACGTAGGGCATAGCAATCCCTTCTGCGAGAGAATTGTTCATGGGCTTAGTAACAGCACTCCCATTTTCCAGCGACTCATAAAATGTTGGCATCATTTCTGATTGAACGCCCTATTAAAATATTTCGATTATGAGAATACTTATCAACTATTTCGTTAGCGCACTAAAAAAAATCATTCGACACTGATATTCTTATCCTTTAAACGAGCAGTTCTGGTATATATATATATATATATATATATATATATATATATATATATATATATATATATATATATACACAGCGTGTCGTTACCATCGCGACAATAAATGAACACACGTCTAACGCGACATGCCAATAATCATAAAAAAATATTAACGTTAAACAAAATCCAAAAAAAAATATTTTTCAAACAAACTAATTAAATAAAAAAGACACAAAATTTGTAATATCCTATACAACTCGCGCCACAGCGTCGCATTACAAGCCTCTCCTTCTAACAGTATGTTTTGTCTCTTTTAAATCCATTCAACCCATTCATATGCTTTGTGACCTTTACAAATGAACTTTACGTTACGCTTTTATAGGTAAGGGTGTTCTAAAATTCTTTGTTTTGAAAAATTTTATAACTCTGTAAATATTGATGTTTAAAGAATTTAAATGTTTAATACAAGTTTAAAAAGTTATCCCCTATATGTGTTTTCATTTATTGTCGCGATGGTAACGACACGCTATATATATATATAATCGGAATCTCGGTATATATATATATAATCGGAATCTCGGAATCGGCTCCAGTTTTTTTCATGAAATTTAGTATGTGCGTAGTTTCGGGAGCGAAAAATCGATCTAGCTAGGTTTCATTTTTAGAAAATGTCCTTTTATGCCTGTTTTCAGGGAATGAAAAATATCATTCGAATATGACAGTAAATTTCGCCGCAAAATAAAATAGCTCGGTCGGTAATCGGGCGGCCCCAAAACAGACGGCCGTGGTACGTATCACGATCATTTATACACTTATTTTTTTACTTTTATTTCTATACCAGATCATTTTCTTTATTTTTTATTTGTTTTATTTCCAAAATACATTATTTACCAAAAAAAAAAACGAGCAAAGCTCGGTCCTCCAGGTACTACCTAATAAAAACGTAAAAAAATGGTCTATTTATTTTAAATTAACACACAACTGCAGGCAACAAGCGCTTTTGTGACTAAAAATCACAACAAAAATGTATTTGTTATTAACAAAAACCTCCCTAACTATATATTATGAGGAGTTCTCTGGTGTATCTCCAGGGCCACATGGGAGCTATGCCGAACCCAATGTGAAAAATAAATTTAAAATTGGTTCATAAATTATGGAGTTCTGAGGTAACAAACATAAAAAAGACGCAATCGAATTGAGAAACTCCACCTTATTTTAAGTGGGATGAAAACAAAGATGATGCCCTTACCTATCTCAGTGATCTGTATTTTTTCCACGGACTTCAAAAAGGGGAGGTTCTAAATACGATTGTATTTTTTTTATGTTTGTTACCTCAGAATTTTCACCTTTGTGAACCGATTTGGATGATTGTTTCTTTATTTGATAGCTGGTGTTTCGCATGTGGTCCTAAATTAATTTTATTGGTTTTAAATCTTGGGCTCCGGAGATACTAAGGGAACTCCCGAAAATCAATTATAAAATGAATACAGAACGATATATTTGAAGTCGGTTTTGTTTTTCTTTAAAAAAATGGACTTGTTACATCTATAACTTACGTATACAAGACAATCGGGCTTTGCGTGTTTTATGACGGTGGCGACCGCTGCCAAGAGGCCGCCGGTCCCGACCGGCACTATCACGGCATCGATATTCGGCACCTGTTCCAATATCTCGAGGGCAACACCTCCGTAGCCAGTTAGAACGTCCGGGTGGTCGCGACTATCGAAAACAAAATTTATTTTTTTCTTAACCCAATTGTTTAACTACACTTAAGACATAGACATAAACTTTGTTTTGACAAAAAATATATCCGGTCGAATTGAGAAACATCCTCCTTTTTTGAAGTTGGTTAAAAACAAACAGCACTTACCATCTAAATTATAGAAACGTACATAAATAATTAAAAAATATAATCAAAGCACATAGTTTAAAAATAAAGTTAGAAAAATACTTGTTATTTACACAAATATAAAATAAAAAAGATATTATTAAAGAAGCAAAATTAAATTAGGCTAATAATAATGATAAATAATTTTAAGGACAAAAAAAAATGAAGCGAAGATGTAATAAGAGACTTGCTTGAATGTGGTCCGTTGCGCTGTTCTTCATGAATATTTGTATCGTACTGTCACAAAAGGATTTAATACACACCCATTAATGTAAGTCAGCCCTTTCTCTCTTGCGATGCGCCGGGCGTATTTCTGGGAATCGGGCAACTCGTTGCCCTCCACGATAACTTTGGCTCCATAGTTTTTACACATCTGCACCTTTATTATAGGCACTCCTTTTGGCATCACAACAATGACGGGTATGTTCAAGATGCGACCATAATAGCATAGTCCCATCGCCTGATTACCCAGCGAAGCCAAAACTACCCCGATCTTTTTCTTATTAAGGGGCAATTTCTGTAGAGCGTTTAATGCTCCTCGCTCCTTAAAACTGAATGAATAAAATTAAAAGTAAAATAAACCAAAATTACTTTATTGTTATAGAAAATTAGGAGAGAGCGGAACTAAAGGGGTACACCGGTAGTACCTGCCTATATACAATTAACTTTTCCTGATAGTGCGTTAATTTTTTTTACGATTATTTTTTTATGTCGGTGGAAAGCCACCAATCAGTATATCTAAGAAACTTTCCATTCTGATTCAAAACATTGATTATTTTGAAACAGTAGACATTTAAAGAATCTTGCACATTTTATTACGCATTTGTAAATAAAAAAAACAATCCTTCCATAGTCCCGCTCTATACTGTGTATACATTATTATCATTACAGTCATTTTGTACGTACCTTCCAGTTTTTAGAACAAATTCCAACTTATGATATATGTTTATACCGAAATCCTTACTACTTTGCGAGTGCTGTTTAAAGAAGAAATGTATAAAATAATACAAGTAAAATAAAGAATATTTTTTCTGTGATCTTACTGCATAGACTATCATTTATAATTATATTTATTAAATGAAATATGTTCATCTTAAAATTATTACTTTTCTTAGAGGTTTTATTATTTAATTGGAAATTGAAATTGGGCATGTCGTATAGTAAAAGATCTTCAAATTCTACATTCAGAGATATTTGGTATCACTGCATGTATTATGGGTAGGTAGTGTGGGCAGTGTGATGTTAGTACGTACATCCGTAATTATATGTAGATGTCCGGATCCTTTTAAAGTGGAGGCAGATTTTGACTACCATAAGAATGATTTAATAATTTTATGTTCAATGTTAATAAAGTAAAGGTCGCTTACATAACATGGCGTTTGATTTATGAATGCTTTGCTTTGGTTAAATGCGCTCACTATCTCTTCGTATTTGATTTGTCTCGGATTGTCTGGGTCGCAGAGCTCATCATAGTCCTCCTGTATCCAAAGCGATAATTTTAGTGAAATATCTTTAAAACTTACGTTCAAAGGTTAAGCATAACCTGCATCCAGAAATTACCAAATTTATCATATATATCCCGTAACTTATAGGTACCGTTAAACCAACGATATACTGCGTGGTGTTTAAAATTGGTCCGCTTTACATTATATGACATACTTATATAAGTGAATGTGACAGATGATTCAGAACGTATGATGTGGAAAGAGATAGCTGTCTATAGAATTGCAATCTAATTATGCAAATTGATGTAATTTGAGTGCCTCAGTTTCGGTGAGCTAGCGTCATGTGTACCTCGTATTTGTGTAAAATATCATCGGATTCTTCTTTTTTGGTATCGGGGGGAAATTTTCAAAAGATACCATTTCACCTTACATGACGGGGTTATGTGGGGTTCGTACCCAACAAAATCCTCTCGGTGGTCACCTTCTGTGCGTTTGGAAGGACTCCGGGATCTCCTACGGAATGCACCTGTGTCCCTCAGTACTGCGCATGATCACGCCTTGGAGAAGGCTAAGCCGGGAAGGCGTTTCCCTAACCATCTTGAAACAGGTCGACTACTTCGTAGTACTGCCAGTCCGTGTCCCCTTTTAGTCGCCCTTTACGACAGGTAGGGGATACCTTAGCCCTATTCTATGAGCCCGAGATACAGGGCTGATCATTGTTTGGGGTAGATAACATATTACAGCATGGTATACTCCTTTCCCAAGTTATTTAAACTCAATAATATATTTTAGATCATACAAAAGGAGATCATACAACTGTAGGATCACGCAACAGACCTCGCTGTTGCAGGAATGGGATGGGCCATCTGGGTAAATACCACGACCTCACAGATGACGGGCGTGACGTGAAAGTATTATACTTCTGAGTTCCGAGTGAGGTAGCTGGGACCCACTGAATTATAAGGTGGCAACCCATCTGCAACCGTACGGTAGGGATGGCGAAAGCGAAGAAATAATACGATATATCCGGACCGAATTTGATGTTTATAAAAACATCAAATTCGGTCCGAAGTATCGAAGAGAAAATGTCAATTTGTCGGATATAGCACTCGAAACCTTTGTCCACAAAAGGTGTCAAATATTAAATATTTGACACCTACGGACTCAAATCTTTCGCAAATCTTTTATCAATTTGAAATTATATTATATATTTAATTTTATATTTATTTAAATATTTAATTACTGCCCATCGCAGTGTAGGACGAACCCCCGTTGGATGTTGACTAAGTGATCATCATTATCATCACCAGTCGCAAGACGTCCACTGTTGAACATAGGGCCTCCCTCATAGAGAGCCACAACGAACGACACACCGGCTAATAATCTAATAATCAAAACTCATTGACCGTCAGAAACGTCGAATAAGGAGATATGATTTGCTTAAACTTATTTAGTTTAAATGTGTACCATATACTAACATTTCGTCTTGATGACATCCTCAAAATTTTATTATGAATTTAAATGTATTAGTAGCTTCATTCACGAAAAATTTTCTTGTTGACCGACTTGTTACCTTAATAATTTTTAATGTCAGTTATAATTCATTGCATTTGTGACAATTCTGTCATGCACCTGACCTTCGTGGATATTAATTTGTTTATTATTGTTGGTGTAAAAAAATAATAACCTATTTCATCTACTAGTGAAAATAGCTACCATTAAACATCATTATTATAAAATAAAATAAATCAAGGCCTTTTTGTTCGTTTGTAATTGTGTAAGGTAGTCATTAAAAAAATTAAAAACATAGGTAACATATAATAATATACTCATATATAACAGTTAAAACAACAATCCAGGCCATTTTAAAAGATAAGTTCGATGCACGAGGCTGCAAAACACAAGTCCCACATTACATTGTCGTACGCGCACGTCTCAATGCCATCATTTTAATAAAGTACAAGATGTCCATAATAAGTGAGTAATGTACATCACATAAGACCGGCGTGAAGTGGAAGTGTCATACTTCTGCGTTTCGTCTGGTGATTGAGGTAGCCGGGGCCACTTTATTGAAAGGTGGCAACGCATCTGTAACCCTACGGGTGTTGAAATTGTCCATGGGCGACGGTTATCACTTAACATCGGGTAAACCGCCAGTTCGCTGGCCACCTTCTGATAAAAAAAAATTTGTATTTCAAAAAATTTGGTTGTAAATTTGGTCTGTATTTCAAAAAATCTGGTTGTAAAAACCATTAGGGGCACGGAAGTAACCAATTATTATCGGTATAATATACCAATATAAGTTTAGTGCCCTGGGGGTCCCGTACATCGAAATTTTTTAAAGGTTTACATCCTAGGCCGTCGCGTCTGGTGACAAGAGAGCTGGTTCTTTTCTCGCTCAATGAGCGAATAAGCATCACTATTCAGCGAGGAAATGCAGCCAGCGTTCTTGGCATAATGCCAAGTGGATTAGGTTTATTAGTTATATTATGTAATTTAGATGGATTTCATTTGTTAATGTTCGATAGATAAAAAAATAGTGCGTTTCTGTACACGGCACTTAGCCAGGGTTCAAACCAATGCATTTCGGATTACGCGTCCAGACTCTTTAGTTACTGAACTGTGAGTCAAAGTCTTCACCGCGCATTATGTCAACTACTCTGTTTTGATTGCATTCTAACAAGCGTCATCTATGTGTTTCCTTTATAGCAAACACACTACTTACTCAGATTTTTACAATTAATAAACGAGATATAAGAATACTGAGGAATACTTAATCACGATAAATTTAATATATCTAAAGTTGATGGTAAGAAAACTGTTGAAGCAATTCTGTAATAAACTGAATGTGTATCGTCCTTCCCTGATATAAAACTAACCAACTAATTACAAATCTTCATATTGGGATTCCCGTGACGATGGCTAATTGCTTACGCAAGACTACATTTGTTTAATATTACTATGCACACTCCACACCGAACTACTTTGATGTATAAATGTTGAGGTGACTAAGAACAAACTAAGTAAATTTATGAGAGTTTGATACGAAAGATTTTTTTGTTCTGTTGTTTTCGAGCTAAGGATTTCTTTCTGGTTAGTCAGTTCCCATTTGTTAGTGATATATATTTATTCAATAAAATAATTGTTTTTAATTTGCATGTACCAGAATCCGTGTAGTTCACACAATGAAAAGAATGAAAATATTATTTATTTTGTTTCGTAACCATGGTTTAATTTCGTAACGATTTACAATATTTGCGTAATTTGGAACAACTGTCTGTCTGTTAGCTTTTGGTTACGACATATGTACGTCATTTCTGCATGCAAACTGGATTAGGCGCGAGGCACGGTCCTCGGCGGACGGTGGACTTCTCAGCGTGGGCGCCCATCTCAGGGAAGACGCACTCTTTAAAGTTTTTCTTGATGCTTTCCATGAGTTCTCTCGTGTGTTCCCAACCTCTTGTTTCGGCAATTACTTTCACCTGAAATAGCATACGAGTTATGGCGTTCGTACTCCCAAAGAAACAATATAGTACGCGTGATGGTTATCAAAATAAGCCTTCAGAAATGAGACTATCGACACAACAAGGAAACTTAAAAGTAACATTATTTAAAAATTATTTAAAAAAATATAATAAGTGGCATAGATGGAGGATTTAAAAAATAAAAACAATTCTCCATTTTATTTTTGTGTAAGATAAATAATTACCTCAACGCTGAACACGTCACCCTTGACCCAAGCGCGTTCGGGGATGCAATCGCGAAGCGTGACACCGCACTGGGCCATCACGTTGCACAGGTCGGCCATGCCCCCGGGGCGGTCGCTTACCGTCACCTTGAACTTGACCAACCGCCCCTCGGCCGCCATTCCGCGCTCCAGGGCCCGCGCCAGAATGTTAGTGTCGATATTGCCGCCGGTGAGAATGCACACCACCCTGCGGTTATAAGTCCCTCCACAATTTTCATTTCTTTATTTATTTTATGCTTCGCCGGGCACACCAGGCTCCTCGGTTCCACGCAGCACCGTCGTAAAGTAGAAGTCTTAATAAGTAACAAGGACCGCAACTATAACATCAACGTGCGATGGATGTCCATGATCAGTGAAGTAAACTTCAAGGATTAAAACTTACTTTGTTTTGCCACCTTAGCACATAATCCAAACTAACATAAGATGAGGACGTCCCCTATGGCTTGTTAAATAGAATCACAGACATCTGTTTAAGAGCCAAGTCAGTGATAGAGTCAGTCAAGAATCATTCTTCACATTGAACCACCAAGTGAATAAACTTTTAATAACATTCCATCTTTGTCGTAAGCCAAATTGTCAAGTTTACACACAAAAACATTTACTTAATAAATAGCGTTATGATTATTACATGGATTTCAATGGTTAGGTTATGCGAGTTATTGCGAATTTGTATAGAGCGTGTCGTTACCATCGCGACAATAAATGAACACACGCCTAACGCTACTTGCCAATAATCATAAAAAAATATTAAAGGTAAACAAAATCCATAATTAAAAAAAAATATTTTTCAAACAAACTAATTATGTAAAAAAGAAACAAAATTTGTAACATCCTATACAACTCGCGCCACAGCGTCGTATTACAAGCGTCTCCTTCTAACAGTATGTTTTGTCTCTTAAATTCATTCAACCCATTCATATGCTTTGTGACCTTTACAAATGAACTTTACGTTACAAGTAAGTTGTTCTATGTTTATGTTCTAAGTTGTTATAAGTAAGGGTGTTCTAAAATTCTTTGTTTTGGAAAATTTAATAACTCTGTAAATATTGATGTTTAAAGAATTTTAATGTTTAATACAACTTTAAAAAGGTATCCTCTATATGTGTGTTCATTTATTTTCGTCGATGGTAAAGACGCTGTATACTGGTTACACAAGTATTAAAACATTATAAACATATATACATATGTCGACAAAAAAACAAACAAACAACTTTTGACAAAGGTGTAAAGAGAATGAAAAAAGGTTCTTTGTAGCATAAAAGTAGTATTGGGTGTTTAGAATTTTATTTTACTTTCTAATTATGAGAAAAGATATTCATAGAATGAAAACTTACTTTTTCCCCTTCAAATTGGGAAATAGGCCAGCCATCACAGCAGCGACCCCCACTGCACCCGCACCTTCTACAACAAACCTTTCCTCTTCTACAATGTGCATCACCGCACGAGCAACCCAATCTTCCTTTACTGCAACCTATAATAAATGTATATATTTCATTTCAATTTGAATCTTTTTACATAATATAACTGCAACCTTATAACTGCAATTTATATCTAATATTCGTACCAATTTGTCAACAATGCCCTTTAAGGTATGAAATGTGTTAACTCCAACTTTATTGACACCTAATCCGTCAGCGATCGTTGTGTCTATTGGAAAATAAATTCGCTCATTTTTGCGGAATGTCTCCACCATACTGCATGTTTTATCCGTCTCCACTCCCTAAAATTGGTTGCATATAAATTATCGAGTTAATCCTATAATTAGAATTAAAAATAACACACTCAATTTGATAAAGTAAAATAAAAATAATTGGAGGTCCACAGAATACGTTAGAATAGAATACTACTCTTGGTCAAAGGACAATTAGGCATATCGTATCTAGGTGTGGATTAATTTCGAACCTCGAACTTTATATTTTTAAAACATTACATTTTTACATTTCCTAGATATGTACGGCAAGGTTTCTCATAATAAATTTCTTCGCAGCCAAGCACCTGATAAATTAGCAATTTAATTTGCAATTAACAATAAAATTAGTACTGGTCTGGAATCTGACTTGGTTCTTCGAGCGTAGGTACTGAATCATATGCTAGGGCACTCGGTTACCAATGTACCATGCATCCAAATTCGATTAAATGGAATTGTTTTATCAAATTTAATGAGTATTATATTGGTACCTACTGGTTGAGTATACCAAATAAAACCGCTTACGTAAATTTCGACATTTGGCTTAAGATGCTTAGCGACAACGGCGACTCCAGTTATAAGACTGCCTCCTCCCACCGGTATAATAATTGCATCCACGTCTGGAACTTGGGCCAAAATCTCAAGTCCTGCAGTTCCTTGTCCCTCTACAATATTAGGATGGTCGAACCTAAACGAAAAAAAATCGTTATTTGATGTTTTACGTAAACTATTATTTTCTTCCACTTTCTGATTCTTACCCATTAATGTACATCATTTTTCGTTCCTTTCCGAGAGTCATGGCAAATAATTTTGATTCGCCTATGTTGGCACCGTGTAATTTAGGTTTAACTCCGAAGTTGGTACACTTTGTGATCTTGGTTAGTGGCGCACGAAGTGGCATCACTACTATGCAAGGTATACCTAGGCGTGTGGCATGGTAGCTCAATGCCGATCCATGGTTGCCAGTTGAAGCCGTGATAACTCCGTTCTTCTTTTGCTCATCCGAAAGGAGAAGGAGTGTGTTACATACACCGCGCTCTTTAAAACTGCAGACGAAGATTCATCATTAACATTAATTAAAACAATCATTTGTTTAATTTACTTAACATTTAATATGAAACTATAAACTTTTAAATATAACGAGAAACCCATATAATTATTAATTAGTACCTTCCGGTGTGTTGGAGAAACTCCTGTTTGAAATATAAATCAATTCCAAGCGTTTCCGACATGTGGGCTTTCTGAAATGGAAATAAGGAATGAAGAGGAGCAGACTGGTCGATACATTAGATAATAGGTTTAAAATAATAATAGTTCAGGCTAATACCATGCAAGGTGTATTAACAACACAGCCCACACATCGACGTGAAGCGGCCAAAATATCTTCATACTTTATCTTTTTGGGTGCAGCAGGATCGCAGAACGGATCATATTCTGGATCCTGCGTGAGAAAATTTTATTCCATCATTACCAAACTATTATTGACTGCTAATAGTCTGTCGTAAGGAAGTTTTTATTTAATATTTAAATCTTCTGTACCCTAATATATGAAATAATTTCCATTGCGGTCTTTTGCGGAGAAATTGTGGTGATAAAAAAATACGGGTATTTAAATGAATAAAAATTAATTTTAGTATTTATACTAATACAAATTATATCATCATACCTCAAAAGTATAAGAGACAAAAATGCAAATTAGAAGATAAGGTTTATAATCATTAAATAAAAATATATGCATACCGCAATCACTTTTTCGCTTATGGACCTTTTTCACTAACTCAAGTTTCTAGCTTATAGGGGTACAGAAATAGCCATTATCACTTATAGAGGTTAAATAAAATAGCAGTGAAAAATTGTATTTATATATATTTATATATATATATATATATATATATATATATATATATATATATATTTATATATATATATATATATATATATATATATATAATATACGTCTGTCCGGTCCGCTAGTATATGTATGTTTTACATAACATAAATTTTACTCACAAACGACAAACAATATAATTATTATCTTTACACATCTATTTTAAAAAATCCGTAACTTTTTCTAATTTTAGTCGAGGGTATGTTTGATCCCTTCTAAAAGGCAATTTTCAATATCGACTCCGAAATCCTATCGAAATTTCGACTCCCCTTAATATTACCGTGTATCTAAGAGCACTTAGACTTTACAGGTTTTTGACGTACCTAATAATATTATAACACATGGATCGTTAACGCATAGATTTCATTACATGAATTCGCACCCTGCGTAGAACAACGTGACATCTGCAAAATTGTAATTATTTAGGACGGCCGATTCTAATTATAATTTTTATATTTATCATAAGTTTCTTATACATAGAAGTTGCTATTACAATTTTTGAGGTTTGTAATATGATTAGGTATATAAACAAACAATATACTTTTTGAATAAATAATTATATAAATTTAGGAAATAAGAGGTTTCAAGTGTAATAGTGACTACTAGTGTTTTCCTACGGAAAATGGCAATCACTAATGGTTCACAAGATCACATATACACGTTTATATAACGTTGTTCAACGGAAAATTCCTAAAAATAATAGGTCACACGTTCAATAATAGGTTATAACGTTGTTCTACTAAGAACTCAGAAATTATGTATGACATAAACGCATGTAGCACTGTTTTTAACGAAATATCCATAAAAAAGTGGGTGATTGTGCAATAATTATCAATTGACTCTAATAAAGTATATTATACTCGTCTATTACATTAGTAAGGTTAGTCTAGTCAGTACAAAAAAACAGTGTCTAAACGTACATACGTCCTTGTACTGCGGAGCACAAATCAGATAGAACGTTCTATTCTGAATCTCAATATCTATGTCAGAAGAAAAAGATTAAAATATTATCTGAAAGCGTAGACAATAATTAAGACTATCCGACAAATCAAATTCGTTCTATGTAACCACAGAACGTTATTGTACGCACGGTGCGAATTCGTACTCTTACTCCTGGTTTCTGGAACACTGATCATCGTAGAAATTAACTAATAAGCTAAGTCAATCTATTACGCTAACAATCCTTTTGGCAACTCAAATAACATTTGAAAAGCCTTTTGACGGCTGATTAGTTAACGATGATCACTGTTTCAGGAACTGGGCGTAAGCCTTTTCAATTCAAACTGTGTGCGATATTGGGAAACGTTCTCCTCAAATTGTTCATTTTTAAGAGGTATGGGTAAAACATATCTGTACAATATTTGTAACATTAAAATACAACTTCCACAAAATAGATTTTAGATTATTATTGACTAAAAATTTGTGCTTATTTAGTAAAGTTGTAAAGGTGGAAAGGCGGTAATGTAATCCATGATATTTTATCCGAATTACGTTAAACTAATACTAATTATTGTTAGTCGATTACGACAATCTATACGTACGACGTACATACAGATTGTTGGACAGATATTACAATATTGTTATACACACATAAAATGGGAATGAAATTATTTTGAAAACAAGTTGATGATAAACAGAATATGGTTTCTGTCTCGAAAAAGGACATGGCTAAAATAACATGGCTCTATATAGAAAATACATAAATATTACCATTAACTTTCATAAACTTAGTTTGTATATCAGTGAAAATCTATGAAAAAATCTATATGTCAAAAATAGTATATATATTTATCAAATATCAATGAAATAATATGTAAGTATTTGTTATAAATAGTTGTACTTACATCCATGGCATTACAGATTTCTTTTCATAATTTAATAAGAAAATTAACATTAAAAATTTTGAAGACGTGTAGAAATAAATGGTGAAAAGTGAAAACTTTAATGTGACGTTTTATTTGTCATTTCACTTTACTTTTTAGAAACCAATTACTTGATATCAAAATAAAACAAAATTATAAAATATGTTTTTATAATATGTATATATAGAATTATTTATTCATAAAATATTTATGATCATAATTAAAAATTTTTTGAAAGTTGTCGAGTAGATTTTCATAGAGGAGAGCAGATTCGTTCCTTTCTGAATTTTTAGAAGGCTATCCCTAAATGAACCTCAAGCCGTATTTGGCTTGGTTGGAAAACGGTTGGCTACGACTGATACAATTTAGGAGCCGTGCGCTGCTGCAAACCTCTTGAAGAGCCCGCGTTGGTAGATTGCTAACCATCTAATTGGCATTGATGGAGTTTTAATTTTGTCATCAAGTACGCCGGTTTAATTAGCGTTTGAAAGTAATTCGAACGGTGGGTACCAGCCTAGGTGACATTAGTAATGCAATTGCCTCTATAGCTGCAGTTGTGCAGTGTTGCAGGTGTCCATGGGCGGCGGTGATCACTTACCATCAGGTGAAAAAGAAAGAAGTAGGTACTGCTGACTTCTGTGAGCCAGTGCAATGTAATTAAAGTTGTTGATATTGAAGCAATATTTAAGTAAAAAAAACCTCTATGGCGTAATTAAAGTTGTTTTAAATACCCATTATTTCAGAAATTTATTGATGTTCCCTTATTTCTTTTGTTATCAATCTTTTAGTGACATAGAGTCAAGGATAGATGAAATGTTTATTTTTGTAGTGATGTGCCAAAAATAGCAGATATAATTATTTTCCTAACTTAAAAAAAACCGACTTCAATCAGGAAACTAAAAACATTGAAAAAACCTATAAAATTTGAGGATTGCCCTCGATTTCTCTGGGATGCCATCATCAGATCCGGGTTTCCTTATCATGGTATCAGTCTTGGGATGTCTCCTCGACAACAAATAAAGAATCATCAAAATCGGTTCATAAAGGACGAAGTTATCCGCGAACACACATAAAAAAATAAATATGGTCGAATTGAGAAACCTCATTTTTTTTGAAGTCGGTTAAAAATAATGCATTAAATAAGGTTAAGTGGCGTCGTAACCAAACTCGCGAAGGCAAGTAACGTAATACAAGTAATTATTTTTATACTAAAAAAAGTTTATTTTATATTTTTTATTTAACCCGTTGAACTGTGTGAGAGATTAAATATTTATGGCTGTATTGTTTAGTTAGTTGGGCTATATGTCTCTCAACTCAGTGTGCCTTTTGGCAAAGGCCTTCTCCAGTAGTTTCCATTGCTTCCTGTCTTGAGCAACTCTCCTCCATTTGGGTCCCGCAGTAAGTTACTTCCCAGCGCATTAGTTGTCGTCCTCGATGTCTCTAACCATCTCTTGGATACCAATTTGTTGTAATTTGGCTTTTCTGGCCATTTTTGCTCTTAATTTCACATTGCTAATTTTATATAGCCTTCTTGTTCCTGTCATGCTTCGTTCCATACCTCTCTGGCACTTCGCTAGTTTCTCTCTATGGTATTTTGTAAACTAATTAGAAAATATGGTACAAAATACCATATTTTCTATTTATGTCTTGTCTATTATATATTTTAGAAAACCTTGATCGAGATATCGCCTAAGTGTATGATTATGTTATTAGCAATGTATCTTCATTGCTAATAACATAATCATACACATAGGCGAAGATTCAAAATCAAAATCAAAAATATATATATTCACATCACATAGACGCTTGCGCGTTCTTATGGAAATTAATACGTTCGTAAGTTACCACCGGTTCGGAAAGCAGTTTCTGTTGAGAAGAAATAGGCAAGAAACTCAGCAGTTGCTCTTTTTTAAAACGATTAGTTTACAATATAATAGATCAGGTATGTCTTATTTTAGTCTACGTGAGTATCAACAGTATTAACATTGGCGTCGTCGAATATATTCCGCAATGGTATAATATGCCTTAGCCATAAGTTCACTTTTAATTTTGCGTTTAATTTGATCAAGTGGCACATTTATTTTTATTATAGATTTTATTATACATGATTATGATGAAGGCAGCAACTTCAAGCGAATCGGAATCGAATTAAAGTTGTATGTTTGCCAGTCTTTTTCACAATATTGTTATTATTGATATTTTTGTAAATATTTCTGAATATTATTATCGTATTTTTATTACTTCAGTTACGTACATTCAGAAATTAGAATCCAGACAAACAAGTAGGTCATTCATCATATTGACCAAAAGACATACGTCAGGAAAGATAAGATAATCATTTATTGATAAGATAATCATGAAAACATTCTTTCATAGGCCGCAGTATAGTTACGTAACTCGGGTGGATAGAGGTGTTAAGAAAAACGTCGTATAACATTTAGAGAACTTTTTATTAAGGACTTCAGAACGATTTTATTTTTACTTTTGTATGTTATTCTATGCATCCACGATACGTATTTTTATTGAAAATTTATTATAAATCGTTTATTACTACTATTAGTAAAATTGATCTAAAGTGTTTTTCCGAATTCAATGATCATAGAATGTAAATTTTGCTACCTCCTTATTTTCGTTGAGGAGCCCCTAAAATATGTTACTTTTATTAAACGGGAAGTATCGATTATCATGTTAAAAATTATCATGTGCTTTCATTAATCATTACTTAATAATAAGCACGGTTTTTATAAAGGAATGATCTATCAGTATCAGAAGATAAACGAACGTTTATATTTAAAAAAAACTTTTAGCATCGAGTTTTCTTTTAAAAGCACAAAAACTGTAACATTCATTTAAAGTTTAAAATTGAAAATCTCTTATGATTAAGTTTAAATTTTTTATAATTAATTTTATAAATTAAATACTTAAAAAAATCAACAGTAGTAATGCAATCGAATTGCTTTTTTAGTTTTAAAACTCGATAAGTATTGCACACACTTTCTTTTAAAAAAGAAATTTATAAGTGTGTTTAGAACTGCACCTATATAATAATTTTATATTATCACAAAAGTATTTGTTGTTATGTTGCTAGAATTATAATTAAATAGTCAGTTTTTTTTATAATAGTATTCTTAGACTAGCCGAATTGACGATAAAAATCATAAAATAATGTTGCTAGTGCGAAACATTGTCTAAGGAGTCTGTGCTATTTCTCCGTGGATAATCGTCGAAAATACATTCCCGCGCAAAATCCCATTCTCGATACGTGTTGCCGATGATTGAGCGCAACTCCTCCAGATGTTCTGGACCTCTCGTTTCACACACAACCTTAACCTGTGGAGAAGTGAACAAATATTTGTTTTAAGTCTGAATAATTTTCATTTATCAATTTATCTACACACCCCGATTTGACAGGAGCATTCACCCTTTGTAATTTCTTCGCAATTAAGTATAAATGAAAGGAAAGGTCGGTCACCCGGTTGTAACAAAGTTATGGAATAACTTATAATTGGCAAAATGAAATATATTTACGATGTTTGAGAGTACCAAAATAAAAAATAAATAAATAAAGGAATAGTGATAAGATTGCAGTTAATTAATTATATTTTATAAAAAATTACTACTATTCCCCAGTGCAGCCCCACGTTTGATTAACGCGTGTTAGAGAGAGGGAGCGCGCGGCTGAGAGTCTACCGAAGGCGGTATTATAACTCTTTTTCCCTACATGACAATATTTACCAAATCACACCTTCCGCAAGCCGCGTTAAAGAACTTCGCTCCTACAAAAATTTCGATTACTTTCAAGTACAACGCGTTTGTAACGAGCACGCGAAATTTGAAGATTGTGATGCCACCACTATCTTCAAAAGATTGTGTTGGCATATATACATGAAGAAAAAGTAGGTTTTAATTTTCTTTTAATCCATGGAATGTATTAATAACGCCAATTTTATAGCACCACCTATACTTGTCACAGCAACCCGAAAAACTGTACATGTCTTCTAATTCAATAAATTTCATCTTTCTCCTGCCCTTACTCCATCTAAGCGGGGTTGGCACAACTTGTGAATTGTGGTGTTAATGGTATCGGCTAGGTTTTCAACGACAACAACGACGTCAACCCTTCTTAGGAATAAATCCAGGTAATCGAACTAGATCAGAAAAAGGAATTACGTACAGTTTCTGAAACACTGATCGTAGAAGTTAACTAATCCGCCGTGAAATGTCATTTGCGTTTCCAAAAGGATGGTTATCTCTGAATTAATCAGAATGATCTTCTTAATGTTCTCAACGTAAGCTAGAAAAGTATGGGATAAGAGGACTGACATTGCAATGGATAAAATCATACTTATCATCAAGAAAACAGTGTGTGGAAGTTATAAGCCCTAACAAAAATAATATTTTGACAAAATTTAGATCGCGACTAGTTCTTAAGTACACTGGAGTTCCTCAGGGAAGTGTTCTTGGGCCTTTTTTGTTTGTAATTTATGTAAATGATTTACCGGATTCAACTACATTCCCATGCATTTTATTTGCGGATGACATATCTTTGATCATAAAAAATAATCATGGAAATAAACATTATTACGAAAATGACATTAAATGCGCAATAAATGACGTCATTTCATGGTTACATGACAATAATTTAAAGGTCAATATCGCCAAAACCTGTTATGTTCAATTTTATAGTAATAGTAGAAAGAATCTAGACCTTGACATAAGGTATAATAATGACAAAGTGCAAGAAAACGTACAAAAGAAATTTCTGGGATTCAAACTAGATAGTAATTGTACTTGGATGGCTCATATTGACGAAATTTGTAATAAAATTAATAGATTTGTATATGTTTTAAATAGGTTAAGAAGAACATCATCATGCCAAACCGCACTCATTGCATATCATGGGTATGTTGCAACAATACTAAGATACGGATTGTTAATTTGGGGTAATAGCTCTTATTCAAAAAGAGCTTTTATAGCTCAAAAAAAGTGTGTGAGAGCCTTAACTGGGGCCAAATGGTATGATTCGTGTAAGCCCTTATTTAAGGATTTGAACATACTAACTTTACCAGGCATGTACATATTTGAAGCAAGTGTTCACGTAAAAAAAAGTTTACATATGTACAAAAAAGCATCGGAGGTATATTTACGTAACACACGAAAATCTAGTAGACTAGTTTTAGAACGTGTACCTAAAACTGCCTTTTATCATAATGGCTGTTACGCGATGAGTGTACAGATTTACAATAAACTTCCGGTAAGCATTAAAGAAGAGAAAGAAACTGGTAAATTTAAAACCAAACTCAAAAGCTGGCTAGTATTAAAATGTGTGTATGATTTAAAACAATTTTTAAATGAATAAAATCTTGTTGCCTAAATTTGACTTTACTATATTATTTTAGACTTAATTTTTGTGTAATAATTTGTATACTCTTTTGACATTTTAATCTTTAATATTTGTAATGATTGACATGATGATTGTAATTTTAATTTAATTTAATAATACATAATTAACTTCTTTGCTTGAAATTATTATTGTAATTTTAATTTTTTTTTAATTCATATCTATTTGGTCTAATTTAATGTATGTACATAATGAATTATTTTTAATTAAATAATAATTTTCGCATGCCAGATGTGGTAAACATGTGGACTATGTACAATATGCAACTATGTGTCACCTCTGATGTACCATGTTTTAGCGAATAAATGATATTATTATTATTATTAATGATCAGAATAATCAATTCAAAGAATTTAACCATCCGTTTGCACTTCTTCAATGATCAGTGTTTCAGGAACCAGGCGTATAGGATTTTATTAAATTGTTACATACAAACAAACATTTCGATTTAAAAGCGGGATAAAATATTGACAATTGTTTTGTAATCACAAAACGTTAAATAGTTACCCGAACGCTGAATATGTCTCCGTAGACCCAAGCTCGCTCCTGCATAATGTCCTTTATGGAGACGCCAATTGAGGCGATGAGTTTGCAGAGCTCAGCGATGCCGCCTGGACGGTCGCTGACGGTGACCTTGAATTTGACCAAACGACACTCGGCCGCCAGGCCTCGCTCCAAGCACCTCCCCAGGATAGTGGTGTCAATGTTGCCGCCGGACAAGATGCAGACCACTCTGTAATGAAAAATCCAAACGGTAGCAAAGTAAAGTTACATACATCGACAAAATACTGATATTTATTTTGAGATCATGTAGGCATACTTGGCCCCGCTTTATTTCTTATTTGATTATAACTATATATAAATACATTTATAATATATTTATATTGTTTGCAATCAAATTTGCTACGTAAAATATTAAGTATAACCATATCATAAGTACTACTTATCAAAAAGACTGACATTTTGATAAGTAGTACTTATGAATACAACATTCCAATGAGTTGAACATAAACCATAATTTGGAGCGGGCGTCAGCCCTTTCAACACTCGATTAAGCTGTTTGACAAGGTTGCGAATGTAGGTAAACTGGTGAGTGGTGTTTCATCATTCAGGCACAAGACTTGAAAGTACGACTGTGTATTGAATCTATTCCTTTATATAATTTATGATACGATAACGTTGAATTCCGTTTAAATTACAACACACTTGTTAAAATAACGGAGTGCTGCTAACATTTCATAACAGGAAATATAATTCAAAACTTCTAAATTGTTATTAACTGTTGCTGTAAATTCACGAGCATCTAACCGAAAAATTGGGTAAAATTTTGAAACGAGTCGCCTTCGTGGGTGGGTGGGGGAGGGGGTTTGATGTAGTGAGTCACCCCCTACTTGCCCCCCCCCCCCCCGCCGCTCATTTCATTAAAAATTTTGGTCGAACAAATGGTACGAATATGAAGTCTCCCACTTCCTATATTTATCGTATTGGCAGTACTGTGTATGCAGTTTTATTAAAATTAATAAAATGTGCTTAGTGAAAATAACAAGATATAAATATTTTTTTTTTGTAAACTGAGTGACCGGAGACTTCTGCTTGTTGATTAATTCATTAGTGGTTTTTGTCTATCGTTTTAATTTTTTTTTATTATTCGCATTTTCGAAAACACTCTGAAATTTAAAATTACGTTCCATTTCACGTTTCGTAAGATTTTTAAATTTTAAAAAATAGCTAATAAAATTTTTTACCCGCCTCCGGCAGAAAAAAATGCGTTACAGTGCTTGATACGAACCTCCTTAACCCCCCCAGACTTACAGTGTACTTGAATTCGGGCGACTCATTTCATAACCCAACCCTAAAAATGTATTACTCCGTGACATTTTTTACATTAATCCATAACATTCTGTTTGCAATTCCAAAGAACAGAAGAAGTATTTTTGTCAATTAATACATCTCAATCAAAGTGAATATTGGCTGTAATTAAGTAAATGCATACTTCTTGTTTGCAAGTTCGGGAACGAGTCCAGCCATGATGGCTGCAACACCAACAGCTCCGCCGCCCTCCACTACATATTTCTCTTGTTCGACGAGACGTAATATCGCACGCGCTATCCAATCTTCATTCACGGTGACCTGTTGAATAACAATAATTGTATATGTACATAGTATCGGCACGAATATTCACATTAGAAAAAATATGCGAAAACACTAGGCAGTGGAAATAGTAATTTACTTATAGCGTTTTTTCAAATGTTTTAATTGTGGAACAGGTCAACGAATTTGGAAAAATAAGTATGAATTTGCATTGCATCTATGGCATTAGTGTTCGCGAATATCGAATATACGTTACATCACTAAAATATTAAGTTGGAAAAATAACTAGAAAACCAAAGAATAGTGGATAACTGTTAGAAATGAATTTATATAAAAGTTTAAAAAAATATTTATAAAACTTTTTATGATGACTATATTATAAGTAGATAATTAGCATAAAGCGCCATAAAAAGACAGTGAAAATAACAGTTTTTAAGAAATATGGTATAAAAATAAAGTAAAAGCCGAAAACGGCATATTATAACATTCGTGATATCATTTACATATCTTTGAATGTATGTTATAAATATTTAGTGAGGTTAGGTTTTGAAGTTATGACTCCATGACACGATATGTTATCAGTTATTATAATTAGGAAGATTGTGTTGTGCAATTAAAAAAATAAATATTTTATACATAAATAATATGACAATTAATCGTACAAGTTTAGTTATACAACGATGAGATTGTGATAATTGCTACAATGTAAATTGTTTTAAATTGCCTGCCGATGTGAATGATGATGAAATGGCAAAATATAGCCTATTCATATTATATTTTTAACATTTTAGCTAATGCCTTTTTACGCAGCGTAAGGGTATTCCTTGCACTATTTACCATAAGTAAAGATTCATATATTGAGTTTACGTTATTTCTTTGATCTTGTGCAGAGACCGAATTTAAAAAACATAAACAAGATTTCCTCAATTATTAGAAATACGGTGGTATAAGATGTCTACCATATTTTTTGCAGTATGTGCAAAATAAGTCTTATAGGAAAAAATATCCACGTCTTAGAGTAGTTTCATTTCATTTATTGTCGGCTAGTGTAACAGATTTTGCCTTTCCCTTTTTCAGCGGAAGCCAATTTACTGTACTGGCAAATAGGACTGAGGAATGTCACAAATAGGAACACGGAACTGTGTAATTACTTGTTTATCATGGTATCTTATATTGATATCGCGTTATGAATTTATTTTTTTGTAATTATTGGTGTTATTAGGGCAACCTCTTCAAATGTAAATGTAAAGAGAGGAAAGGAAAATGTTAAACAATGTAAATACACATCGAAATAGCCAGAATAGATAGTAGTAGGTACCTTGGTAGAAGAGGAATGGCGAAAAAAAGAGTTAAAACAATGAATTTTTCATCAACAATGATTACGGTTAGCACTGGACATCGACAACTTGCACATGTGTTGAGATTATATAGAAGATATATAGATTATAAGAAAAGTTACATACCAGTTTGTCGATGAGGGACTTTACAGTGAGGTAAGCGTTATATCCGACGGTGGGCACCGCGAGGCCATCCGCCAGCGTCGATCGGATGACCACACTTTCCGGTTCGCCGCTTTTCATTGCCACCTTCATGCTGGGACATTTCTCCGTTTCCACGCCCTTAAATGATAAAATAGTTACCTACACGCATGTAACATAGCTGCCAAAAACACAATTCTTCACTAGTGCGGACTTCATATACAGGGAAAGTTTTTGAGAAGTGCCCAAATTTACATAGGAGCTTCAGACTCGGTAGTATAATCGTTTATTGAAATAAAAAGCAAAGTTTTTTTTCCAAAAAAAAGCCATTCTATTCCCTAAAAACAGAATGCGTCAACACGTTCTACTAGTGTGCATGTTAGTAGTATACATACAGGATGGCTTTGTTTGGGCACTACATATATTTTTTACTACATATTTTTTTCTACAACATATTTTTTTGGGTACTATTTAAAAAAATCTTCCTGTATATTATATTATTAATAATATTTCGTTAATTATTTGTTACATATACTACGTGTACTATCGTGATAGATACGACACTTATAATTACAATTAACTACGAGTTTTTCATGGGTGTCGTTACCAAGGTTTGGCTTACATTAAGAAATATACATATACGTTTATAATATAGAAGAAAAAACGATTATTGATTGTACGTAAATAATAATTTCGATCACTCTGTATTTATTCAGTATTAAACTTTGCTATCATTTTGTGTCCGTCTCGCATGAGAACATCATTAATTAAACTCACCATTATGAAAAAGATTAAGGGACATTCATAGCAGATAACAGGTCAAATGCCACCCCCGATAATTAATACTAATTATTCAATTATTATGTAATAGTGTCATTACTACATGCTGAAATAAAGACTTTGGTCAGGACGCCTAGATGTAGTACTAAGAACTCATACGTATATAAATGTACATTAAAATTTGAAAAGACTACGACGGAACTGATATCAGTTACAAATGTGTCAGATCTTATTTCATGCTTCGTGTTATGTTTATCGCGCTGCAAGTCTTATGTTTTTTACGGTGGTAGGGCCACGCAGCAGCCTCGGCTGTTGCACGAATGGGCAGGCCCGTCCGGGTAAGCACCACGACCTCACAGAAGACCAGCGTAAAGTGGAAGTATGACAAATACTTTCGCGTTTCGTCTGGTGAGTGAGGTAGCCGGAGCCCAATCTTCAAAAGGTTGTCAACGCATCTGTAACCCTCGGGTGTGGCAGATGTCCATGGGCGGCGGTATTCACTTAACATCAGGTGAACCGTCTGCTCGTTTGACAACTTTTCGCATAAAAAAAAAAGAAGTCCCCGTTCTCTATTAGTTCTGATTTTTCGTAGTTGAGTTTGTAGAAAATGTTTTATTAGACAATTAAGTAATGACTTAAATCAAAAGAAAATTTATCTTATTCTATATCTCTTATATATCTTAAATTTATCATGTTTAATTTGCTACGGTAAATATTTTAATGACAAAAACGAATTTCATAATTTAGCTCTCCTTTTCCCTATCTTCCGCCTTGACGGTTATTTGCCTGTATATTTAAGGATGGTATAAAGTATTCGACGTACTTTCTGCTCCCGTTTCTAACTGTAGTTTCATCTCGAACCGAAGATTATATAAAACTATTCAGTGATTAATTGCAAATTTTTTTAGGCCGTGTCATGGTGAAAATGATTTCGTAGAACATGTTTTTGGTAATATTAATTTATAATACGAAGAGTTGTTATCAATAATATTAACAAGTTGTATTACACAAAATACAAAATAAAAAAGATTAAAGTACATTATTGAAAAAATATATTATTACCCCTCACTAAATGGAGTGACGACCTTTGCAAATGTATGGGAAGTCGATTTATGCTGGTGGCTCAGGATCGTACTTCGTGGCAGTCTGTGGGTGAGGCCTATGTTCAGCAGTGGACTCAAACAGGCTGAAATGATGATGATCATGACGAATTTCGTAAAATTTTGATTTAGGTACTTGTATTGTTGTTATTCGATGTTAGCTTACACATACCTCAAAACTTCGTGAAATAGCGCTTTATGACATTATTCGATTTCAAGTAACAGAAAAAATCACCGTGCGAACCTAGGTCGTTCTATAAAAATGCATTCGTCTGTGCACAAACATGACACGTACATAAATAAGCACGTGCGGCTTCAGATGTTTGATGGCAGTGGCAACTCCAGCGAGCAGACCTCCGCCACCAACTGGAACTAGGAGTGCATCAATGTCGGGCACTTGCTCCATTATTTCCAGGCCGATGGTGCCTTGGCCGGCCATTATGTGTGGATGGTCGTATCTGGCCAAGTGAAATGTTTGCTTTATGAGAAGGTGGCGATCCGACAGGCATTATTTTATGCTGAGAATCAATTAACTTTTTCGGACCTAAATAATGGATTACTTTAGCTATCTGTATCCCAATACGATTAGAAAAGTCGTTAAGGATCTCCAAGGCAAGTACAGTCATATCCTTATTTCAATTTAAGTAACTGGATAATGATGTTTATTACGTGCAATACGTCTTTGATTTACCTTTTTTGTTCTTCATTAATTGATTCGTAATTAATTGTTAGTCGGGTAAAACAACATTTCGTTGTTTTAACAGCCTAAACAATGCATACACCTTTTGAATTTTTTTTAAACATTGCCCTTACTGTAGGCTACCATTATCATTTGTTTAACACTCCTTACATTTTACATACATAATTTTCACGTGGACGAACACTCAGATCCGAAACAACTATATGTGGGTCACACAAATAGTTGTCCCATGTGGGAATCGGACCCACGACCCTTCGCGCCGAAACCAGTGCCTTAGCCACTGCGCCTCGGAGTCATTCCAACCTAACTGGATCATATTATCGAATATCTATAATATCATTAAAAAGTAATGCAAAATTATGCCTCAATCAAATTAAGTACGTGAAATTTTAAACTCACCCGTACCTATAAGAGAGTTCTATCTAGGTTTATTAAGTGCAATGTCTTCGATTTCTTTATTTGTTCTTCAATCATTTTAAGGGTGGTTATTGGTTCGCCATTACCTAATGTTTAGGCGAGTGAAAAAACAATGTTTCGTTGTTTTACCAGCCTAAACAATTCAGCTCACTGAACCATGTCATAATAAACAATAACGCAGAACTATGGGCCAATCAAATGTAGTGAGTGAAATTTTAAACTATGCACTCACCCGTTTATGTAAGAGAGTTCTTTCTCCTTGGCCAACATCATTGCGTGGTACTTCGCTTCTTTCATATCGTCACCGTGGACGATGACGTTGGCTCCGTACGAACGGCATTTCTGTATCTTCATAATGGGAGCGACGTTTGGCATGACCACCGTGACCGGTATTTTCAATAAATTGGCGTGATAGCTGAGACCCTACGAATGTGCATATGGCAAAATGTACCTACCGATAGGTAAAAAAGTATAGTAAGTCATAAAAATAGAGACAGAATATTAAAACTTTTTGGTAAGTTCGAGGTGCATTAGGTTTTTTATAACAGCTTAACTGTGTTTTTGTTTAAGTTTAAGAAATGTGGGAATAGTAGAATTATGGGCGTACCTGAGAATGATTACCCAGGGAAGCGGAGATGACTCCCCGTTCTTTTGCCTCTTTAGACAAAAGCAGCAATGCATTACGAGCACCACGCTCCTTAAAACTGAACAATAATAAAGAATAATATCACTAACTATTACAGCAACAGATCTGTTCATGTGAAATAATTTGTACAGGCTGGTATTCATTCGTATTATAGTAATTTATTCAATACGATTTAACAAAAACTGACAAAATTACTTAACTGTATACTAATTTAAATACTAACTGACATATTTATAGAAACCTTATATTGAACTTAGCTATTTGATCAAGCTTTTCGGAAGCAGTGATGAATGAGGGCTGATTTAGAGGTCTGGAGACCTCTGAGGAGCAACGAAGGTCTGGAGTCCCCTTGGCCCCAAATTATTTTTTATTGATTTCTGTTAATATTTAATGTAATCATGTTTGTACAAGGTAAAAGTAAAACGTGACAAAAAATTAGAAAGAAAAAGTTGTTTACTATTGTTTACTAGTCTGAATTTGAAATTATTTTTTCCGAAGTCTCTATTGTGGGGGCCCCTCGTTTATGGAGGCACCGGGGCTATTACCCCGGTCGCCCTCCTCTAAATCCGGCCCTGAGGATTAAAATAGTCCCAGAAATCAAAAGAACTATAGTATCATAGAGCCAAGAGAGCAATCTATTCAAATTTGAAATTAAAACACGAATAATCGATGTTTTTAAATTGCCATAATTTCATCAAACATAGTTATTTTTTTATTTATTCTTTACGCACAAAAAGATAAGTATAAAAACGAAATAATTGCCATTAGCATTCAACCTGCGGTTGTCAAGAGAAGTTAGTATAAAAAGGGAAGTAATAGTACCACAATTATATAGCCTGGAAAAGGAACTAATCTTAATTGTAATAAGTTAACGAATTTAAATTTGAGACATTTAGATATTCATAACATTTAAAGTTCTTTATAAAAGAAATCTAGATATATATATTAACAATCTAATACTACATGAAATGTTTCAGATGTATAATATATTTTTAAATCAAAATATTTACCTTCCTGTGTGTTGTAGAAAGTCATTTTTCAAATATATATCCATACCATATATTGAAGACATGTGAGATTTCTGGAATGGAATCGTTCTTAATGTAAATCCTATGTAAAAATATATTTTTAATATACTATGTATAAGTTACGAGTAAAATTTTATTTCTATAAGTTTAATACAAACACAGTACTAACTAGTGGAAAAATCACATCGATCGTAACAGAATTCATGCTAAAGTGAAACATTGCATTAATATAAACGTAGTAAACAATAATAAACACTACTTACCACGCAAGGCGTTTTTACAATCCCACTCTGAATTCTAAATGCTGCAGCGGAGACATCCTCAAAATATATCTTCTGAGGATTCTCCTTGTCGCACATAGGGTCAAACTCGATCGTCTGCAACACCATGTTTGATTATATCTTGAAACGTTCCTGCATCATTTACGGTGAGAATATGTCGGACGGCTCCCTCAATCCGTGTCCAACAAAGAACTGATCACATCACGCATAAATCCACACCACATAAATTAGGGGTTAAAGGTGAGGTATCGTATCTGCGGTCGTCAATCAACGGGAGTTCATTAGACAAATATAAATCAACACAAATTGCTTAGTTTGTCCGCATAAATATGAAAATGAAATATATCTAACCGTTTGGGTGTTCCTATATGTCTCCATGGTGGTACAGTTATTTAGTCTTCTGATATACCGTCTGACCGATCACATCAATGTCTGTTTGATAACTGAATGCTTATACTTAGTTTTTATGAATCGCTTCCACACGAAAAGTGGTACTTGATGCACGAATTAAAACAATTGCTACACTTTAAAAGAAATCTCATTGTAATCGACGTAATAGCATGACGCTTTTTAAATTAATCTATTGTCATACTCACATCTCTAATTGAATATAGTTTTATTAAGAACACGCCAAACACTTGCGCTAAATATGTAGTTAATATTTGCAATGTTGATTAGGTCTAATACTACTATATAATTATGAAAAGTTTAAATGTAATTGGAAAAATTTAAAGAAATTTAAAAAAAAAAAGGAAATTTTTGTAACGGCAAGGAGGTTCAGAAAGTTCATTAAAATCAAAGGTTAAAAGAACTTAAATCGGTCACTTCCAAAATAGATTAATAGAGCTCATTTGAAACTTGATAATAGATACAGTATATTGAACCAGGAACAGAGCATCATTCAGAGCTATCAGTAATTACTAATAATAATTTAATTCGTTCTTTGTAAATTGAATATTAAAACGATGTCAAGTTGGCGTTGAATGTTTGTTGAATATTTACAAAAGTAAAAGTAAAAAGCAAAGTAACAGCCTATATACGAGTATGTCCCACTATTGAGCAGACTTCTCCTCTGTGCAGAGGGTATAGTCGAACATGCGACCCCACTGTGAATTGGTGTAGGTACGAGGTCTTCGAAATATTTTTCTTTATTATTTCCATAAGTAGGTTTCTTCTCGATGTTTTTCTTCAGCATTAAGCACATGATGACTCAGCACTTCAGATTGCAATTAACAATTTCATTGGTGCCGGTACTTGAATTCGAACTCAAGTTGCATATGAAAACTGTATTAAATTAAAAGCGAACGCGGACAATAAGTCATCATGGAATGCTGCGAAGAATTCCAAATTGATTTAAAATTCAATTAATAGAAATAAAATTTGTAAAAGGTGTCATTTACCTAAGCACATTTTTGTCTTTTAATGAGCAATTTTAGGATATTTAAATATATTTCATGTATCTAGGAAAAGGCTTTAACAATTTAGATTTTTTAATCTTTTTTACACTGAACTCCAAAGAAAAAGGGTCGGTTAAAAAATCTTCAATATTTTCAAAAGAACCTGAGCTAGCTTTATGAAATAAAGACTAAATTAAATAATATTTAATGCCAAATAAAGTATTATATGTATTTTTTATTCATTATTGACAATTGTATAAAAAACTGAAAATGTAAAATATGATCGTTTTTGTAAAAAAAAAGCATCAGCCTATACATGTCCCACTGCTGGGCAAAGGCCTCCTCTGTACAGAGGCGAGAGGGCATAGTCCACCACGCTGCCCCACTGCAGATTGCCGGATTTCACATATCTTCAAAATATTTTTTTTTATTAATATTACGAAAATATGCAGGTTTCCTCACGATGTTTTCCTTCACCGCTGAGCAAGTGATAATTCAGCACTTGAAATTAACAATTTCATTGGTGCCGGCACCGGGGATCGAACTCAGGTTGCTCGAGTATATTGAATTAGAATTAGTAGAGTATATTATTATTTAGCTTTGAGGTTTTTGTATTTATTAGCAAAAATTAAAATCAATTGTTTGCGTTTGTTTTAATTTAGCATATAGGTTTTGATAAATATGGTGTCTCTGCCCTACAAATTTTATTATACTGAAGTCATCAAGTCGTTAACCTGAACTATAACTACTATATGAAAATAATATATGAAAAACCCCACTTAATGTAGGTTTAAACTTAGGACTACAGAAATTGTTCACCGACCACTTCGCTTGGATCAATAGGCTACGCGATGTCTATATAAAGTGACAAAATTTTGCAAAATTTAAAGGATAAATTAAAATTCCTAATATAAAAAAATATGTAAAAAAAAAAGACGTATTCGTAATTTTTGCAAATTTTTTATGAGCCATTTCTTTAAAACCACAAAAACAAAAAATAAATAATTTTTCGATTATTGATATACAATGTAATTTTCCTTTTTAATTCATTTGACTTTAAGATGATAAATTCGTTTTCCTGTTAATTAAAAAAGATAATTAACAGAAATAAGATTTTACAAAATTGTTGATTGCTTTCTTAAACTTATTTATATTTGTTTGTTTATTATTATTCCTATTATATATAATATATAAAAATTTCGTGTCACGATGTATGGTCTCGATAAACTCCAAAACTACTGAACCAATTTTTATCAAATTTTGTAAGCATTTGTAATTTGGTCCAACTTGGGAGATAGGGTAGTTTTTATCTCAATTATTAACAGATGGTGGTGTAAGATAAATTTATCGGCTGGATTGAGTAAGTATCCGATAGATGGCGCTATACTAAAAGTTGAAACGTATGGACCCGGTAGAATTGGCGCAGACGAAGTTGCGGGGGCCATCTAGTTATAATATAAAAGTAAAAGACAATCATGGTCTAAAAAATGTATAGGTCGTCTGTGTACATTTTCGAAAGCCTCCTACGATACTATCGATAGTATCCTACGGCCCACCACTAATAGGTAATGAATAAAGGTCACGCGGCGCGTCGACGAAACTCATGCGGTGCCCCCAGCACCAAGCGGGGTGACCCGTCCTCCGCTCCCCTCCTTCACCACCCAAAAGGTTTTTGTTTCATGCACCTGATGTTAAGTGAATACCGTCGCCCATAGACATTTGCTACACTTGAGGGTTGCAAATGCGTAGACAACCTTTTGAAAATTGGGCTCCGGCTATCTCACTCACCAGACGAAACGCGAAAGTATTATACTTCCACTTTACCCCGGTCTTCTGTGAGGTTGCGGTACTTACCCGGACGAGCCTGCCCATTCGAGCAACAGCCGAGGTTGCTACGTGGCCCTACCACCGCAAGTAGTAGAAAATCACTGCATACAGCGACTTAACGCAACACTCAATGCTTGTTTGACTTTGGTGACTCCGTGGCGCAGTCGTCAAGGTATTGGCCTCGGCATCGGGGTCGTGGGTTCGATTCCGTCACGAGTAAACTATTTGTGTGATCCACCGATAGTTGTTTCGCATCTGGGTGTTTGTCCACGTGAAATTTATGTATGTAAAAACGTACTTGCAACATTTTAGGATAACATTATCACAGGATAGTATTATCCTAAAGTATTGCAAGGAGGGCAATGTCTTTTTTGTTTAAAAAAAAAACAATGTTCCTTGATGTGCTTCACTTAATTCACGCGGTACCTGTTTCTAGAGCTTTTTCACTTTTCCAATTTGTTTCAAGTTAATTAAAATTGTTTTGCCACTTACACCGAAGCCAGCCGCCAACTTCTTTTATTCGATTCAACGTAGAATAAAAGATGGTCGTGGAAACGACCATCTTTTATTCTTCGTTGTCAACTAGCCTAGGGTCTCCGGACCACGGAATAGAGAAAACAGTGGAAAAGGTTCTCTCAGTCCCTAGTACAGTACCGGACCCGATGTTCAAACTCACACAAATAATACCTGTTGTATTTTTAACTACAAATATATCTTAGCTGCAATCATTATTCAACTAATTTAAACTTAAATATCCATTGCTATTTATTGAAATATACACCTTAAAATATGGGTACTAAGATTTTATTTTATGAATGACATACAATGTATTTGCGACGGTTTTCGTTTTAAACTCTGACAAGAAAAATATCAACTGAGTACTGTCACTCGACATTAGATGTCATGAACGAAATATTCACTCACAAATATCTCTTGGAGTTAAAGACAATAATTTCCTATCGCTACTTCATACAAAGTTTTTTTTTTGGATTTTATTGCCCGGTGTCAAGGATACAAAGTTTGTATTTTTAGTTAGTTTTTAGGGTTGTTTTCATGCTTAAATAAAATTTTACGTTATTTTAGTTAAAACCGTGGTAAATTTTGAGATTCAACACGTTTTTTGCTGTCTATAGAGCGTTGAAATGGGTGTAGTGAATTAAGGAATAATAAAATAATAATAAAAATATGTGAATCAAAAACAATAACATTCAAATAATAACAAGCACGTCCATTAAATACAAATCGCTGCGATTTATGCAGGTCAGTTTTGTCAGTATTTCCCACCGTGGAAATTTGTCGTCGTCATGTACTTTTTCTAAATGATTAGTGCATAATAATGCAATAAAAAGACATGTAGCGGATATCTATATTACGTAAAGGGGTTATAAGTTCCGTCACATGTTTAATAAGACATAATTGACACATGTTTGTTTTTACATTTACTCTTTATATACAAAAAGGGACGTACTAAAACATAGATTCTTAAGCTTATTCGAAATGATCCCTGCGATTTTAAATACAAGCCTTCAACCTGCGCGGCCAGTCATTGAGGTCCATATCAATATCAACGACTGCTTTGACCAAAGATACCTGGAGTGACTCGAAACTAGGATGAGGTTTTGAGCAGGTCCTTTCATCTAAATATTGCCATATTTTATAACCTAAATGATTTAGTTTGGACTGGAGGAAGGCCTATTTTTTCCACTTTTTTTACAAAACTCCAATTAAAATAACTCGAAATAAAACAAATAAAATGCTTATCCTCAAGATGAACATGATTGTTAACAGTAAAATTATAACTATAGTCATTGTTTAAATGTACTGATTATCACATGTTTACTTTTTTTTCTCTAATATACGATTATCACATGTTTACTTAAACCTATCTCAAAGTGTTATCGATATCTACTTTCCGTAAAGCTAATTGTCACTTCACTAATTGATTATCAAAGAACATTTTAAAAATCAGTACTTGTGTAGCATGTTTCTTGGCAAGGCAAAATACACATTAATACGGGTAAAATAATTTATTTACATTATTATTAATTAGGGTAAAATATATTTAAATACAGTAGGTTGCCTTTTGAGTGTAGTTAAAATTAAAATTTTCGATTTTCGGTAAAATTGTTTTATTTTGTAAAATATATGAAAATAGCATTTGCTTGTGATGTAAAAGCTTTTCTTTTAAGACATTTTTTTAGTAATATTTTTGCAGTCATAACTTACGCAATATATTTTTTTAGGACACATTTTTTACACAACATTCTCTAGTCCCAAACTAAGCACTATGGGTACTAGACTAGTAGCTTGTACTATGGGTACTACAAAACTGATAGACATACTTACATACTTTTCTTTTGTAAATAGACACTAGAAAAACACTATGCTTATCATACAATATTTTTCCAGTAGTGGGGATCGAACCCACTGCCTCTGGCGCAGAAGGCAAGTACACTACCGACTACGCCATTCGTGTCGTCAATATAATATAATTTATGATCAGGAGAACATGACTGTGTGACAGGTCCTGCGTCTCCAATCGCGTTAGAACTCATATTGCCTTCAGTTAGTGACACTTTAGCTTAACTCACACACTACACATTAGTGTTGACACTTTGTCAACACTTATGTGTTTTAATACAGTTATCTTAATAACCTTTTAATAACTAATTAAATACAGTTATTACACTGTAGCCGTCGAGTTACGCCCACGTGGCACTTCCACTTGTTTCCTGTTTTCCATACTCCGGACATCCACAGTGTTTGTAGGTCACCAGAACGAAAACTTTGGAATCACAGGATTATGTATGTGGTCTATCTTTATTTAACAACTACGTTTATATATATCTATATATAAAGATATATAGTTATATTATCTTTGGTCTATGGTACTAGTTTTGTCGGATTCCGGCTCAAAGAGTATTTTTATATATCTGATCGGGCTTGTTCGGGAGGCTGGAAGTCGTTACGTTTGCTTTCAAACAGTCCATTTTATTAAATGACATAATTTTCTAAACTTCGTTGACGAATTCAACTAGTAGATTTCAAGAAGGGTTAAAGTTAGATCAATCGTTGCATAACTAGGTAGTTCGTTAATTCAACGCCCATCACTAATGTCATGACATCAAGTGTCAACTGTCATATCCGTTTCACGATATGACAGTTTAAGAGTTTAAGTTTTGGATTGCACGCCGTCAAAATCGCTTAATAATTGCTAAATATTGACAAGGCAAACAGAAACGGAATTTGTATTACAATTATCAATATTATATTGGCTTATTCACCAACCGATTAATTCTTCAAAATGCCATATGCGAATCAACCATCCGTACATATCACAGAATTAACAGATGACAATGTTAAGTTTGTCGTTGAAGATACGGAGCTTAGTGTAGCAAATAGTATGCGACGTGTGTTCATAGCGGAGACTCCGACAATGGCTATTGATTGGGTGCAATTAGAAGCAAATTCAACCGTACTCAGTGACGAGTTCTTGGCTCATCGCATTGGCCTTATTCCTCTCATTTCCGACGACGTTGTTGATAAAATACGCTATTCAAGAGATTGTATGTGCGCTGATTTTTGTACTGAATGCAGTGTTGAGTTCACTTTAGATGTTAAATGCACAGATGATCAAACAAGACATGTGACCACAGCCGATTTGAAATCAAGTGACCCAAGAGTAGTCCCTGTAACTTCTAGACACAGAGATGAGGATCAAACTGATTATGGCGAAATTGACGAGATTCTCATTATCAAATTACGGAAAGGACAAGAGTTGAAGTTAAGGGCATATGCTAAGAAAGGTTTTGGAAAAGAACATGCTAAATGGAACCCGACCGCAGGTGTTTCCTTTGAGTACGACCCAGATAATATTATGAGACACACATTATATCCAAAGCCAGATGAATGGCCAAAAAGTGAACACACTGAGTTGGAAGAAAACCAGTTTGAAGCCGAATTCAATTGGGAGGCAAAACCTAATAAGTTTTTTTACAATGTGGAATCGTCAGGAGCCCTGAAACCAGAAAACATAGTACTTATGGGTATTGTTGTATTAAAAAATAAATTGCTAAATCTTCAAGTACAACTTGCACAAGAAGCACACAATGATGCATTAGCAATCAACTAATTATATTTTTGTAAGCTAGTACTCTTCAATTACATGTTAAGAAAAAAAGATGTTTTATTATTTATCTCTTCTATTGGATTTGAATGACTACAAGTCATTATATCATTTTATATCTATAATATTGATATGTTTTAATAACCATACAGAATCAAAAAATATTTTGAAGAAATGAATTTGTCTGAGAAAAGCGATCCCACAAAAATATTGAATATGAATGAAAATATCCTTTACCACTTTTAATAAAGTGATTATCATAATGTTTTAATTCCCTTCCATGTAATTATAAATATTAAGAAATTTAAACTACCAATAAATACTTATTACATAAATACATCAAGTATATAAACAATGTAGTAGTAGTTCATATAATAGCTTCTAAAAGCATTATTGTCCTTTAAATGTTTCATTGCACTTCTTTATTTTATATTATATAATACAAAAATACAAAAAAAAACCTCATGTGTTTGCAACTTTAACTGGAAAACAATTAAAGTTCCTGAAAATTCAGAACCAGAGTAACCGAAATAGCTCTCTGGACTTGAGAGTGGCAAGGGGTAGGCCCCTTGATGAACTGATGAATGATGGGGAATAAAATTTGCAGCTAAGAACCAGAGGATGTAGAGCCTCCCACTAGGTGGACCAACGTCTTCGTAAGAGTTGTGGGCAACTAGTGGATATAAATAAATATTAAAATAATATAAATATTTTAGAACTCTTATTTACACAACTTTCTCGAGTACTAAAGTAAGCAATGCTTGTACTATGGGTAATAGATAACTGATAAACATACTTTTCTTTTGTAAATAAATACATATTTAAACACTCAGACGCAGGAAATACACTATGTTCATCACATAATATTTTTCCTTTAGTGGGAACCCACACCCTCTGACGCAGGAGGCAGGTACACTACTCAATACGCCAAGTGTCGTTCGTTAAAGCGTTCTAAGTACGACGCCTTTGTTCAACAGTGGACGTCTTCCGGCGGATGATGATGGTGCATGAATTAAAATTCTAAAATTGTTTTAAGATACCAAGTAGGAAAGTTGTGGTAGGGCCATGCAACAGTCTTCGCTGTTGCACGAATGGGGTAGTAACGCGACCTCAGAAGTACGGCGTGAAGTGGAAGTATTATACTTACGTGTTTCGTCTGGCGAGTGAGGTAACCGGAGCCCAATTTATTAAAAGGGGTTTGCAGATTCGTTGCCACCTTATATCACGAGTTTCGCAAATGTCCATGGGCGAAGGTTACCACTGAATATCAGATGAAGCTATGTAATTGAACAAAATACAATGCTAGAATATAAAACATGATATAAAATATAGATATCGAAATTAAAAATAATTATACGATCCCTATTGTATGGATTTTTTTCTTTTTAATTGATATTATCTATCGTAAAAGCTCGAGTATTTATTTATTCTTCTTTTCTTTTTGACATACCTGTAAGTATTTGAAGTATTTTCACTATTCGGACCCGTACATTTTGCTAGAAACGAAAATTCTTGTCTGTATTTCGTCTTGTGTGATATTCAAAATTTTATATACTTAGCATAAAATTATTATAAGAAAAACGATATGGTACGTATTAAATAAACAGTAGATTGCCTTAAATTGAATTGTAATTATTATATTAATAAAAAAACATGACACAATTTTCAGTGCGACACCGATAAAGTTCACATTTTGACCTTTTCTGAAATTAAACAAGCTGCCGAAAGAATAGAAGATGGAATTATACATACACCGCTTTGTGTATGTACCACGTAATATAGCGTTATGCGATATGTACATATTTTTTTAAAATATTTAAGCTATTTACAGGCAAACTACCGTTTCGAATTTTCAGGAAGCTAAAATCAGCAAATGTATGGATTATGAAATCTATCTAAAATGTGAAAATTTACAATACACTGGCAGGTAGGTCAATTATTTAAAATGGAATGCCAACCAAATCGCCATAAACATCTATTAATATTTTCTGTTACATAGCTGTGCGGAACGTGGTGTTCGAAATATGTTTGTGATGCGTCAGGAAGATATAAGTACCTGTGGTGTCATCGTTCCATCCATTGGAAACTTAGCTATAGGCGCTGCTTACCATGGCGATTGCTTAGGTATTCAGGTAATTTTTTTCTGCATTTATTGATATATCCAATAAGTAGGGTGTACTTGCAGTATATTTCAAAGACAAATCAGTTTAACAAATGATATGGCGGGCTTTTAATTAAGCCACCACAGAAAAGAGTGCCGAATGGTGCAGTCATACATCTACGCCCGTATAGAAAATGTAGATTCACATTTATTAATGGTCATCTACTGGTCTAGACCTACAGCTTGTACTACAATATTACTTAATGAAATAAGTAAGTGCTGTATTAAGTAACTGTTGTTAGCAATTAACATGGCAGAATTGGCTTAAGTTTTTATTCGATAAATATGCCAAGTTCATTTTCTGTAATATAATTTACTCGGTACGGTATATGTATAATTCGTTATAATCGAACAGTCTGAATTCTCATACTAGTTCCGACAAAACTGTTCCCAGCCAATGGATAACGGACTATGCCCTTGTTTATTTAAATTGCATGTCTATGGTGTGACTGCTTGGGTAGGGTCTAGAGCTCGTAAACCTAGCCCTTTTTCACCAGGTCTATGATCGATACGGCTTTATGTAGTTTACGTGGAAGCTCAAACATTAATAAAAAAACTCCGAACTCTTTATTTCTTTAATCGTATGCTTATTTATATTCAATTGGAATAAAGAAATAATATACAACGTAAAAAGTGGTTCCAATAGTTCAATCATGTATGGGTGTAATGATTTAAGCGCACGTCCTTGTTTTCGTAAACAAGTCGTTAAATACCTAACTAATACAAAGCCAAAATATTTGTACGGTTGTTGCATGAATGGGCAGGCTCGGTACCACGACTTCACAAAAGACCGGCATAAAGTGCAAGGGTAATACTTTCGCGTTTCGTCTGGTGAATGACCACCTCATGGAGCCCAATTTTCAAAACGTTGTCAACGCATGAGGGTTGCACCCTCGGATGTAGCAGATACTCATGGCCGCCGGTTTTCTCTTAATATAAGGTGAACTGTGTTCGCTTGGCAACTTTTCGCATAAAATGTTTTTTTATAACAAACCAATCCTAATCAGGTAACAGTCGTCCTTCCTGATCGAACACCGCCCGCGCTAGCGCAACGTTGCTCCGAATTGAATGCTGACGTTGTTATCTGTGGTGAAACTCTCGAAGACTCCACAAATTATGCTAAGAAGGTGCACATGGAGACTGGTCAGATACTTTTAAGGTCAGTTAGAAGAAGAAGAAATAATACTGAAATATTCTTCAGAACATTTAAAGATCTCCGAAATGGATGTAGGTTGTTATAGGTACCGGAAAGTTCTTTCAAATTTTTATTTTAGCTGTATAAAAGTGTTGGTCTTATTTTTATTCCTAGATGACATGATCATCGATCGTGTGGCATATGAGAATACTGAGGAAAAATAAAAGAGGATAAATCCAAAGCATTTCATCATCATCATCACTGTATTTTTAAACTACTTTTTTCTTCTGCCCGTATCTCACCTAGGCTAATGGTACTATGCCATATATTATACCGTATGTCAAATAAAGTTATTGAATACCTATATATCTATATTCTAATCATGGTTGATTTTCTACCCTCTGGTAAAGGTTTAAATATTTTACAAAGGTTAAGTATCGGTACGAAGATGTCATATGCCATATTTTTATGGTGTTATAGAAATCGGGGTTCTTACATACATACAAAAAACACATCCCGAATACATAATCTCCTCTTTTTTCGAAGACGGTTAGTAAAAGAAAGCGTTTCTCGGATGCGGATATCCATGGCACATTCCGCGTATAGCCACTGTTTAAAAGTCATCGTCAAACAGTGTTCATAACACCAACTAACGTCTAAACGGAAGAAAATTCAAGGTTCTCCCATGTAGTCCAGATGACCCGCTGGTGATGGCGGGCTTGGGTACCGTTGGCATGGAGATCATCACACAGCTGCCAGAGGCGGACGCGGTGATCGTGCCAGTCGGCAGCGGGGGACTGTTGGCGTCGGTGCTTGTCGCCTGCAACAAGCTGAAGTGCTCTTGTCTTGTATACGTACGTCCTACTCCGTCATACATAATTATACAGTATATTCTTGATTAAAATTTCTTGAAAAGAAATCGACTCTCAAGGTTTTGTTTCATTTTCTGGTCTTTCAATCAATTTAGTCTTTTCTGTATCGCAGGGAGCGGAATGCTCCAAGGTTCCGAAGATGATGAAGGCATGTCAAGCTGGACATCCTATAGGAGTGCCCGTGGTAGCGAATCTCGCTGAGGGGCTTAACACTTGTATAGTAGGCAGAAATGCCTTCGCTACCATTAAGGGACGTCTGGATAGAATGGTAATCACTGTTAAACAAACATTTTAATCAATTATATTACTTATTATATTTTTGAGAACTTGACGAGCTACTTAGAGATATAGAAGGCACGGAAATATATGACAAGGGGTTGAAAATCGTTATCATACCAAGGCTGGTTCAAAATTCATTCGTGTCCATTCTAAGATCTGAAAGTTTCAAGTTGGTGCTTGACACATACTCACACAAAATTTAATTTTTTCCCCAATATTCAAATATTGACCGTTTCAAATATTGATTCTGTTGGAAGTTAAACTGATACCTGCACATACATTCCTGGCATGTGCAGTATAGTCTATACTCTATATACATTATGCAAGCGTTCTGTGAAAGTTTCTTCTCCTGTTTTTACATAAAATAAGTTTCCACATAGGTATTTGGGCGCAGTGTTGTTAAGTTCATGCACTACGTTGTTACGTAATGACACGGTCATTGGTCCCCCAACCCAGAGGTTCCCTCGGGAGCCCTCGAGCTTAGTCACTCATAAACGAGGTTCAGGCTAGGCGACCTCAGCGTCCGGCTACCCCGGTGGATCTATAAAGGCCTAAAGGCCAACGGTGAACGATCCAACAAAAATAAATATCGTTGGTCCGCAGTTAGAAGTGGACGAGATGTATATCGCGCGCGCTATAATAACGGTGCTTGAGCGCGAACGGCTGGTCGCTGACGGGGCTGGAGTGTGCTCCCTTGCCGCCGTCATGCAGGGCCTGGTGCCCGAATTGCGAGGGAAACGGTAAGATCGGGCCTGTGGCGTACTAATTGAAAGTCAGCTTTTGTTCAATTTCACCTTTTTCCGAGCATTCATGAAGGTCAAAAGCTAACCACCGGTTCAACAATTAAACAGAGGTTGTAAAACTATGTTAAATAAACGACACAATAACGCCCGGTTTCTGAAACACTTGATGTTATTTCAGTTACCAGCTGATTAGTTGATTTGTACGATGATCAGTGTTTCAGAAACCGGGCGTAAATTTAGTTAATTTCCAGCAGCAATTACGGTGCACCTCTATTAAAAAGTATTATAGTAAACTAACTAGTATTATATAATACTAACTAGTATTATACTAGTACATATTATGTTAAATCTGCACGTAAAACTGAAATGTGTTAGTGAATTTAAAATCAACGGATATCACAGTTAACCTATTTCTTGACTACCTGTAATTTTAGTGCTCATGTATGTGGTTGCATTAGAGGTGGATATATTATAACGAAATTAGTATGTTTCTTTAACATTATTAATAACTGATTGCTTAAAATTATGCATACTGGTACTGTAGTTAAATAGATAAGAACAAATTTACCTCCGTCACGCGTGCGTTGTTAATACTCACCCGGTATAAGTATATACTTTGTTAGACTATAATTTGGTTGGTAAAACAACTCCTTTACATACAGGACATTAGCTTGAATTTCACTTCCATATTAATGCTTCATAAGCATTTTGCCCCTGTGACCAATAGTTTACACAATCCCTGGCGATTGTAAGGGAAATTTATGATCGAGTCTTTAATTGCAGCACTGTGTGCGTCGTAACCGGCGGCAATGTGGACTCCAGTCGGTTGGCTCGCATTATTCACCGGGGCCTCAGCGCGTGCAGCCGCCTGCTTCGCTTCGCGGTCCCGATGGCCGACAACCGGTGCGGTCTCGAGAACCTCGCCAAGATCATTGCCGACGAGCACGCTGTGCTCAAGAGTTTGGTGACGGAGCAAATGTGGGTGCAGAGCGACGTCGGCACCACTTGGGTACGTTTCGCTATGAAGGGCGCGCAGGTTTTATGCGCTTCCGAAATTCCTAATCCGTAGTGTATTATTCTGCGAAAGGCGCGCAAAGTTTTTATGCGCCTGAAATTTCTAGTGTATCTGTAGTGTTTAGCTTACGTATTAAGAAAAAATGCATAGCCGCAGGACAGTTGAGGTTGACGTTGTTATTTGTGAGCATGAGTTTAGATATATGGGAGCTTTTGGGTTTATAGGTCGACACGGTAGGCGCTTTGCTCGATTTATTGTTTCGTTTCGCCGAGCTCAAAACGGTCGCGATAATAAAGGTACGCAGTTTTATGTCGGGGTAAGCGAGGTAGTGAACTTGATGTTAAGCGCTAACCACTGCCCCGGTTCCACTTCATACGGCTCTGTGAGGCTGAGGAACTACTTCGAAAGTCTGCACATTCGTGCAACTTATTTTACATGTTTAACGTTTTTTTGCAATTATGAACAAAAAGTACAGCAATTCCATTTAACATAGTAACTTTTTAATTTCGAAAATCAATGAAAACTGTTTCTTCATGAAAGTTTTCGTCAGTAATTCATGCTATGTGACAATTCTTTCCATGAATCTAAAAATCTTATATAGGGACTTATGTTTTATATTTATGTACCTGTCGGTCTTTGGGTTACATTTTAGTAATGAAGTCTATTATATTTTAGGCAAATGCTGTAGTAGAGACAGCTAACGAGGAACATTCAGAAAACTTCAAGGATCGCATTCGTCATCTGTATCCTTCTGCAAGATTTGCTGTTGTGGATCTCAATGATAAGAAATGTCCACCTCGTGGACCACCATCTCAATCATAATAAGGGCTCTTCAACAGTGTTTAAGTTTGTGACAAAAATAAATTTTGATAATGTTTATACTGTAATTTATAGTTATTTTATTAGTGTGTATAATGGGTAAAAGTGAAATAAAATTCAGTTGTGTGTTTTTTGTTTAATTATTTAAAACTTATACATTAAGCCACAGGGTCATCACCCTTTGTCGCCCTTGTGTAGATAACTTGTCCGTGATGTTGGACAACCTGCTTTATTAAACCTGAAATAAAAAATTGATATTGGTTTATAATATTGTAAACCTTGAACCTCTAAGAAACTAGAAGAACTTATAATTCATCAGACTCAATATATCAGTATTTTCACTGTCATGGGTAATCTAGATAAATTTAACATCATATAACAAAGATGTATTGTTTTATATCTAAGATTTCAGACTCTTGATTTTGATGTATATTAAATGGTAATGAAATTAAGACCTCGATGCTTACTATAAAAGAAATCCAAAATCTGGTATTTGTCTCTAGCAAACTTAATATATTGTTGTGCACAAAACCTAGTATGGTCAACATCAACGTCAAACCATAATATGGTCTAGGTTGTGGTAGCTTGTGGTCACCATATTAAGTAAATAAAGTTGTAAATGATGATTCTAATGGGCATCATGCCCACTACTTTTATCTTTGAGAGATCATAACATTGTAACTATACAATTGGTGTGGTCTGCAAAGTGGAGGCATGCCAGACTGATCAACTAATTGAATATTAAATGAAGCGCACTTATAAATATTAAATGAAGATCACTATGGTCACAAGTTTATCACATTAAGTTTCATATTTTTTGTATCAAAGAAGAAGGCAAACTATGTAGTTCATCGGAACAAGCAACATCTATCCTCCTATAGGCATTTGCATCACCACTAATGTTAAAGTATACACACATTGAAATCATAACCTTTCCTCTAGAGGAGCCAGCCCATCCCTCCAAGTAACATTAAAATCAAACAGGAAATTCATAAACCCATAGCAGTTATAGTATTTTCTTCACTTGATTTTTAATGCCAGGTATAATCTTTCTCTAAGATATCTTAAAAATGTGAATTTCAAAAGCTTGTAACTAATCTAATTCTACATATTATTATTTATAGAGAAATTTGGCAATAATGCTGTAAACTTACCTTTTTCTCTGAGCTCGATCAAGGCCCTCCTGGCGAGGGAGCCTCTAACCTTCAATCTCTCAGAAACTACTGCAGGTGTGATCAATTTGTATTGCGGCACCTCTTTGTACAGTTTCTCATATGTGGGCTTGTCAAACAATACCTGATTGTTTAACTTATCACGGACTTTTCCTTTGGACCACTTCTGCAAATTTTAATGATAAGAAATAAGTGATGGTTCCATAGAGTACTTATCACATAACCTGATGATAAAGTTGCCATCAGACTCAATATATCAGTAAATTTTTAACTCACATAGATATTCAAGTTGAGAGTTATAATCATTTGGCAACATTCAATTTTATAAACTACTTTTAATTTTTACAACTACTTTGTATTACAATAGGCATGAGCAAAGGCTTCCTTCAGTTTTGTTTTCAACCTACAGTATTGAATACATATGCCGAAAGAAAGCTCAAATACAACGAGGTTACTGTTCGCTAATATCAACATTTATGCTGAAGTCTGCTTATCCATGATTCCATGTGGCACACAATACTGTTAAAGATCAGCTTAATAATGAAATATATACTATTTCCAAAATTATGGCTTACTAAAACATAATTTCAATATCATGATTAAAACAATATCAATAGAATTAAATATATGAAAATATTTATAGATGGAAATATTTTTGGATCACTAATCTAACCTAACATACAAACAGTACAAAATATATTTACCTTCTTCTTGGCTTTGCCGCCACCAGACCCTTCCTTCTTCTTCTGTGTCTTCTGTGGCTGCTTGGCCGAAGTCTTTGCGTCCTTTTTGGGCGGCTATAATGCAAAATAAATTTGTTATGTTTCGAAGCCACGAGGTTGTTTTATACGGCATTAAAGTCTTCTTCATTTCATCAAGTTTTAATCGATGACTTTACATTTTACAAATTATATATATATTAATAATGACTAAAAGCACGCATTAATGTCTTTATTTGCACTTTAATTTATTAAATATACGAAAAACTCACTGATACTCACCATGTTGAAAACGGAAAGAACAGAAAGACTTAAAGATACATAGATAACCTATGTCAAATTAGTCAAACAATTAAATGTCTATGGTTTCAGTAATACTTTGTATGTACAACAATTTTTCTTCCAATGGAATAAAAATTAAAATAAGATACAACATTTTTCACATTGTAAAACCTCATTGGAATTGTTTTACTACATTTTTGTTTATATAAACTGAAGTAAAACTGCCACTGCGACTAGCTGTTATTTAATATGACCTATTGAAATTTAATAAAATGCTGATTTACTGACATTAGTATAATCGTTAATAGTTAGACGCATAGTTATTTAAAAAAAAAACTCAATTTACTTATTATCTTCATTATTTTAGCATGTTCAAGTCCACCGTTGATCATAGGCCTCCCCACAGACTGCCAGAAAATCAAGAAATACAATACTGAGCCACGTTGTCATAGATACACAGGCCGTCTCTCTATCTCACGTAAACGTAGTGATTACATTCTCTTTGCTCTATCTAGAGAGGGATCGTCCCATAGCACGACTACCAGTATGTGGCGACACGAGTATTTTTCTTCCCCATAAGTTTCAGTTTTATGAGCTTGATGGCAGGCTCATTGTCACTGCAGCTTATTAATTTTGTGAGTTTTGTCTGTTACCTTTGTTCTACTGCGGATATCTTCCGAGATATACCATAGCATAGCTGGCTCCATAGCTCGTTAGTTATTTTGCCTACGGCCAGCAGTGAAAGAACGTGTCTCAGTTCTGTAGGTCATTACTGGCAGCACAAATTCTTAGAAGATTAAAGCCGTGATAGCTAAGTGTCCGGCGCTCGTCTTTAATTCAATATACTCGAGCAACCTGAATTCGATTCGGTGCCGGCACCAATAACATAGTTAAATTTAAGTGCCGAATTATCACGTGCTCAGCGGTGAAGGAAAATATCGTGAGGAAAGCTGCCCTTAGTGGGACATTTAAAGGCTGTTATTTTACTTTTTATATTTAAAGGCTATTTTAGATACCGTCAAATAAGTTGAGCTAGTGTAAAAGTGAGAGAAACTTCGCGCATGTCCACTTTAGTGCAGCTACAAAACATTAATACTCTGACGAGTAAATCCCTCCGGGGTAACCAATCTCGTTGACTTGCTTGTACAATGTTCCCTGCCGCGTATACAAAACACAAGTCTAATGTAACTTTGACGAAAAGAACGAAAACTCATACATTCGAAATGCTTGCTTGAAATCATGTTTATGATTATTCACTTAGGTTTTTTTTTTATTTATTAAGATTAGAACTAAATAAATATTTAGGGTTTTACTACTAGTAAAAAATGACTATCAAAAAAGTTAAATTAACATGGTCTTCCGCCATTATGTATATACAAGGAAGCACGTGGAAGATATATTGCCCGAGTATATAGTCGCACTGAGTTTAATTCGTTATTATTACTGTTTATTTATTTTATATGCACAAAAATATCTATAAAAGCGGATTCAATGCCATCAGTATTATACAGCGTGTCGTTACCATCGCGACAATAAATGAACACACGTCTAACGCTACTTGGCAATAATCATAAAAAAATATTATCGTTAAACAAAATCCATAATTAAAAAAATATATTTTTCAAACAAACTAATTAAGTAAAAAAGAAACAAGATTTGTAACATCCTATACAACTCGCGCCACAGCGACGCATTACAAGCCTCTCCTTCTAACAGTATGTTTTGTCTCTTTTAAATTCATTCAAGCCATTCATATGCCGTGTGACCTTTACAAATGAACTTTATGTTACAGTTTTATACGTACGGGTGTTGTAAAATTCTTTGTTTTGGAAAATTTAATAACTCTATAAATATTGATGTTTAAAGAATGTAAATTTTTGATACAATTGACATGTGTGTTCATTTATTGTCGCGTTGGTAAAGACACGCTGTATACCAATTTGGAACTCGAATTAGTAAAGCGTGCATATAATTTCGTATTATGAAATTCGTCGAACCATCTGAGTGACCAATATATTTTTCCGACCGAAGCTTCTCTAATGGCGAGCAAGAAACATACGACGTAGTGTCGAGAACACAGGGTCGAGTACAATCGGTGGATACAAATATCATTGTACCGTTAAATGTGGTATTCTAAGAGTAAGAGTCTTTGTGCAACAGTCGACGTCTTCCGGCTGATGATGATGATGAAAATAAATCCTAAATCTGGCCCTGCAAACTTCTCATGCGTCGTAGCTGTCCATGGGCGACGGTATCACTCAACATTAGATTTGATAGATAGATTTGATTTGACACTTGCAAACTATTCATATTAAAAAACAAATTGTCGAAAAATTTTCACCGCTGCCAGGATACGAACCTGCGCCTTCCGGGTTATGGGCCCAGACGCTCTAGCCACTAAACTATGCGGCCGATATCCCCGCCGCGCAATAATCTCTAAGTCTTATCTTAATTGTTTTTAGTTAACATTTTTAGAAAAGCTTGGCATCATCTAATGTACTTCCTTTACACCGAATAAACTCTCTCAATTTCCTTTCTTACAAAAAATATTTGTCGCTATTTCTTCAACATTAAATTTTTACTTTTAACGCTAGTGTCTGCACTTGAGATGAAAGTAAAAAGGTGTAGAAAAATTGGCGAAAATTTTTTCTCTTCGGCCTGGATTCGAACCTGCGCCAGATCGTTTGCCACCTTCTCACGTAAAAAAAAAGATATATTCCAGACCAATCACCGTTGAGAGAAACTCGTCAAATATGTATCTAGGTACCTTGGGCTGTCGATGAAAATTACCACTGGGTTGAATTGCATTCAGTGAAATTTCTTCGGTCTTTTCATCATTGATTCCACATTCGTGCTTACGGTGCCGAAGTGTGGAGACTCGTCTACAAACTAAAAGTCACTCAACAAATTATAGAAAGGGCTCTGAATCTCTGAAGGATATAATTCGACAAAGACCCAATGCTAGCTCTCACGGCAATGAAGTTGATGTGCCAGCGAGGTGGTCTTATTGTGGCAGACGAGTTCATGAGTAGAGACAGCCTTTAGAAAAATGTAGCATAGGACGCTCTTAGGCCAGCGACTTGCATAAGATTGTTGGTAGCAATGTTATAAAAAGTCTGGCGTTCACTAGGACGCTTATTTCCGTCCAACAGTGGAAGAACAAAGGCTGGTGATGATGATAATTTATTTATGTTAAGGAATAAAATAAAACGCTTGAATTAACGAAAATACTAACAAATTTATTCGTGTATAATATTTATCATTTAATACCATTATAGCCAACCAATACCATTACTTTCAGATTTAATAGGTTTCAGACTAGGTTAATAGTTCTGCAGTTTAAATATTTGCAATATTTTTGGTTATAATATCTTATTTCTGCTGTGCCTTAAATTTATTTCCAAGAATAGTAAAAATTACATTAAAAATTACATTAAAATAAAAATTACATTTATATTAGCCAGTTCATGTACGATTTCTTTAACGCAAATTAATTTACTGGAAAATATCCTCATAAGTAATGCATTCGATTAGATGCGGATTAATAATTTTCAACATTTTGATGAGCGTAAGAACCGGTGTCGATAGGCCAAATTATTGCATAAATTTGCTCTGCAACAATATTACCCTAACGATACTTCTCCCTTCTAAGGCATGTACGGAACAGTGGTAATTACTGATTTACAACAAAGAAAAAATTTTGTGGTTAGACTTGCATAGTAGCCATATTATTTGCCTACTGGAAACATACATCGTAATCTAAAGTTCCTTGGCAATCCGCCTTCCTAGAGCATATTTCAATAAAACATACATAAGATATGTGTGGTTTCTAGGACTTACCTTTTTTATGCCAGCAGATAAGCAGATAAGCAGATAAGCAGTTGATGCTCGTACTGCGGCGGCAACCGAGAGCTAGTTTCATAGTGTAAGTGAATTTTGCGGGAAAAGGACAAGACTCTCTTCTAGGCATAGAAGAGATACAAAGTCTAGTCAAGCAAAGTCATAGAAGATAGAAAACTTTTAAAATTGGGCCTTCCGAAGGTTTATGGATTGGGCTTCTAGTAATGAGGCTGATTTGAAGACTATATAAATGAATTTGAGTGAGCCGTGATAGCTCAGTGTCCGGGCGCTCGCCTTTAATTCAATATACTTGAGCAACCTGAGTTCGATCCCCGGTGCCGGCACCAATGAAGTTTTTAACTTAAGTGCTGTCATATCACGTGCTCCGCAGTGAAGTCAAACATCGTGAGGAAACCTGCATATTTTCGAAATAATAACAAAAAAAATATTTCGAAGATATGTGAAGTCCGCCAATCCGCAGTGGGGCCGCGTGGTGGACTATACCCTGATATATAGAGGAGGCCTTTGCCCAGCAGTGGGACATGTATAGGCTATTACTTTTATAAATGAATTTGAGTGCTAAATGCTACATTATACAATAAGATTGCGGAAATCCTAAGCAGACGAGTCATAAGCTTTTGCTCATACATATTTCAATAAGTACATGGCTATTCTAATAAACACGACACTCATAAAATAAATTATAAATAATTGAATGGATGTGCCACCGTGTTCCAAGATCCAAAATCTAAATCCAACTCGGGAAGTAGAATATAGAATAATTTGGAACACGAGTGAAAATATGATGTGATCCTCTAAACAAAATTACAAAAATAAAATCGATTATATATCTTCTTTTAACAACAAAAACAGTTTGTCTCCGAGTTGCACAGAAACTAAGCCCACTGAATTTTGCAAACATCACAACTCTCAATGGCCGCCTGCATTGTGGCAGGATTCAGATATTTTTGAGATTTTTCGGAAGGGTCCGGCCAAGGGAAACAATACCTTTACCACACCTGGTAATTCAGGAATTGCAATGGTGGCTGAATCATATTGACAACAGCACCAAAACAATGCACAAAAAGAGAGTAGCCCACGTTTTAACCACAGACGCAGCGTACGTGGGCTGGGGAGCACAATTGGACAACATTGACATGTCCGGAAAGTGGAGTCACAGCCAAAAGAAATGACACTTAAATATAAAGGCAATGTATCCAGTATATGCAGCTTTGAGACAGCAAAGTGCATATGTGAGGGACGTCCGCATACTATTCCAGTCCGACAACAGGACTCTGATACCATACATCAGGAACGACGGGGGCACCCTCTCCAGGGCCCTTCTGGGATTAACGAGCTACCTCCTTCTCCTAGCCGAACAGTTCAATTTGACCCTGTCGGCAGGCTACCCACCGGGGAGGTTAAAAGCTATGGCAGACTGCCTCTCAATGGGAAGATAAGTACCCGAATGGCACCTACCGTTTTCAGCCAGACTTCCGACTTTCGAAACATGGCTTGTGACCGATATCGACCTGTTCGCATCCCAAGAAATAGCAGTTGTTCCACAGTATACCACATGGAACTCAAAAGATGCTTTCAGCTGGTATGGGTATTTCCTCCTCCCAACCTCATGCCTCGCGTTCAGTCTCATCTGACCAGCGCGTCGTGAAAATACATAACCATTGGGCACAATGCTTTTGGCTGAGCGATCTAGAGTCAAGAGCCCCTTTTTTTTTTTTTTTTTTGTATCGGGGGGGAAATCTTCAAAAGATACCCTGTCACATTACATGACAGGGTTATGTGAAGTTCTTACCCACTATTACCCCCTCGGTGGCCATCCTCTGTACGTTGAGAGGGACTCCGGGATCTCCCACGGAACGCACCGGTGTCCCTCAGTACTGCGCGTGAGCACTCCCCGGAGAAGGATAGCTTCCCCGGTTCCCTCGCCATCTTGCAGCAGCTCGAGACCACTTCGAGCTGCTGCCAATCCGTGTCTCCTTTTAGTCGCCTTTTACGACAGGCAGGGAATACCTTAGCCCTATTCTAAAAGCCCGTGACTACAGGGCTGACGGGGCGGCACGTCCGTTTCTGCCGCCCTGGCGCCTTCGTCTTCGAGCGGGATCAGCCCTCTCCCGTTCTCGTTCAGCGATCTCCTTCTGGAGCATAACAGCTTCGCAGAAGGAGACTAGTGCCGTCCAAGTAGATTTCTCCACCAGTGCAGCTGACACTGCCACTTGTGGAGAAAGGTCTTGCCCGATCTTTTGGACCAGGATCCGACGCTCTGACTCCCACGCGGGGCACTCATCAAGTGTGTGCTGCGCGGAGTCCCGGTCCCCACCACAATGGTGGCATTGCGTTGTCGGTTCGCGTCCGATTCTATTTAAGTACTCACCAAAGCATCCGTGCCCGGTGAGTACCTGTGTCAACCGAAAGGTGACGTGCGCAAATCCCCTCGCGCTAAGCCAGGCTTCGAAGCTCGGCAAGAACGTGGTGACGATTCGCTGGCGCGAGCTTCGTGGTTCGCCCAAGCGCTCGCGCCAAACCTCTAGCGCCCTTATACGCTCCTGCTCACGCACTTCACCCGCATCCAGGGGCTCGGCATCATCCTGGGGTAGTCGGAGCCGAGTATAAACTCGCGCATCCATCTCCGCCAGGATGTCCAATGGTGGAAACCGAGCGAGAATAGTGGCCGCCTCTAAGGATATCGTTCGGTACCCTCGTGCGATCCTGATAGCTATTTTTCGCTGCAGGCTATAAAGTTTAGCTCTGCAGCGTCGGACGCCCGTTAGTCGGTGAGACCATACGGGCGCCCCGTAGAGAGCCATCGATCGCACGATCCCCGCATAGAGGCGGTGAACTCCTTCCCTGGGGCCCCCGAGATTAGGCAGCAATTTGTGCATAGCACCTACTACCTTTTCAATTCGGGGAGCCAAGCGACTGAAGTGCTCTTCGAAGCCCCAGCGACTATCCAGAGTGAGTCCAAGATATTTCATCACTGGACCCACCTGGATCAGCACGTCACCCACGCGAACCGACCAGCTGGGTGGGTTCCTGCCCTTTGGGCGTTTGTAGAACCAAAGCGCCTCGGTCTTGTGAGGCGCTATCTGAAGACCCAACTCGTAGATTTTACCCACAACGCATGCCACCCCAAGCTCGGCGAGCCGACTGGTGCTCTCGAAGCAATCCCCTTCGGCAATCACGAGAGTGTCATCTGCATAGCAGACGACACTTACACCTTTGGGGAGAACAGTACGCAGGACTGCATCATAAGCAAGGTTCCAAAGTAGTGGCCCTAAAACGGACCCTTGTGGAACCCCGCAGTTCACCTCCCTCTGATGTACTAACGAGTCCCGACCCACGTACTGAATGCACCTGCCGTGCAAGTACGCCCCGATAATGCGCTGCAGATAAGAGGGTACCTGGTGGTAGGTCAGAGCCTCCCTGATTGTTCGCCAGGGTAGTGAATTGAAGGCATTCACGATATCCAAGCTGACCGCCAATACTACACCACCCTGGGTAACTGCCCGCTGCGACTGGTCTCGGACGCAAAGTATTGCGTCCACAGTTGACCGCGCCTGCCTAAAGCCATACTGGCTATCGGATAGGTCGGGGCCTACCTGACGTAGATGCGTTTTGAGGCGGTCGGCAATAATTCTTTCAAATAGTTTGCCCGCCTCATCCAGCAAACAAATGGGTCGGAACGCAGAGGGAACGTCAGCATTCCTACCATTCTTCATCAAGAGCACCAATCTGGCCTCCTTCCAGCCTGAGGGAAAAACACCAACGCTGAGGCAGCTGTTAAAAAGTCGCCTCAGTCTCCCCTCTAGTCCGGCGGCGAGAGCTAACACCCACACCCGACCATGAATACCATCAGGACCTGGTGCAGTGTTACGGCTTCTAAGCCGCTTGATGGCCCGGTCCATCTCTGCTTGAGTGACTTCCAAATGATCAGACCAGTCAGTGTGGTTCAACATTATGGTGGGGGGCTCTGGGTTTTCCTGAATCAGAGGGAAGAGCGTATTAATCACTCTTCCCACAAAAGTTGGATCCAGAGTCTCCGTAAGTGGAGGGACCCATGGTCGGAGCTTGCCTAGTACAATTTTGTACGGGCGCCCCCATGGATCTCTATCCAGACTCTCGAGAAGTTCACTCCAGGACCGAGCCTTGGCTTCCTCGATCGCCTTTTGGAGTGCCTTTGTGGCGACTCTATAATCTTCGTACGCTCTCGCCTCCTCCTCAGCTGTAGTACGTCTTCTTCTTCGGTACCTGCAGTACCGGCGTCGAGCACGCAAACAGGTTTCTCTCTGCCGAGCAATGGTTTCCGACCACCAGTATACTGCCCATGGCTTGAAGGACCTGGTTCGAGGCATCGAGACATCACAAATTGACGTCATCGTAGCCCGAAACCAGGCCGCTTCCTCTTCAGGATCGGGGAAAACCCTATCCGAGTGAGAGTCAAGAGCCCTAACAAGACCGTTACCAATAAAGAATATTCGAAGAAATCTGGTGGATCGATCAACATGGAGACCCTCGCCACAAGTTGACAAACTGTCCATGCGTGCAAGATTGGGGGTGGGCTGATAAGGTCTCCAGTTGGAGTGAAGGAGAGATACAATTACTAAATAATAGTTGGCGGACGTCTACCCTCAATACGTACAGAGCACTAATAAAAAATGGATTAATTGGTGTGCCACTAGTAATCTGGCTCACAGGAACCCTGATCCCATGGATGTGGCTAAATTCTTAGCACATCTTTATTTGAAATATGACTATGCATGCAGTAAAATTTTGTTGCATAAGTCTGCAATATCCACATATTGTCTAAATAACATAGTAAATGTATCTAAAAACTTTTATATTCATCACATTCTCAAAGCTATTGCAACATCCAAACCACAATCTCTTAAAAGACCTATATGGGATACCAAATTATTATTTGATTGGTTAAATACAGGTCCTTGCACAGATTCAGTGTATGACATTTCCAGAAGAACTGCTACAATCTTTCTTTTAGCATCTGGACGACGCTTGCATGACTGCATGATAAAATAATGTGGGAAAATAACCCTGTGGGCGAAGTTCTAATACAGATTCCACTTTTCATAGGCAATCAGGGTGGGCATTATTGAATAATATAAAAGGACTATCATTGCTGGGGTTTAAAAAATTAATTTAGAGGCCAGTCCACGCAGTATTCATTCAGCAGTGTTGAGAGCAAAAGGTTCCAGAAAAGTAGCCTCCAGGTCTGTCATTAGTGCGTGGATAAAGTCAATGTTTAAAAATACAGTAAGCCGGTCCAGGCAGCACTCACTCAGCAATTGACTTCAAAACTATAGCTGGATTATTATCCAGCTATAGTTTTGAAGAATTATACCAATCAAAATTTTGAATTATACCAGTAAAGCGATGAAATGGGAAAAGCAATAAAAACTTCTGTTGATATTTTTGTAATGAAGTTTTAAAGGGAAATACTACGGCTATCGGTTGCCACCGCATTATAAGCGTCAGCGCCCCCTACTGGCAAAAAAGAGCTAACAGAATAGAAACCACAGAGACTAGTATGTTTTATTGAAATATGCTCTTAAGAAGGTTGCATTTCCAAGCAGCTATTTCACATTAACATAATGCGTTAAGTATTTAACAATTGTTTTACATTTAATTCTATTATTGGAAACCAATTAAGGTTAAAGTCATTAATCCTAAAGACAGTTTTTTAACTAATTTGTTCTATCGTTATGTAACGTTACTAATATATTGAGGCCATCAATTTCAAATTAATTTAATAAATACTCACACCAAGGATTGTCTTTCCCATAAACTTGCGCACTTGCCACTCGGTTTATACTTACTACGCCATTCTTTTTAAGTATAGCGCCATCTAGTCGATATTAATATTAATTTAGGTTTTCTACCTACTAATACTACTTTAGCGTGAAAGCTTACAGATAAATATATGTCCCACTGGTGAAAACCAAAACTAACCTCCCTAAGCCTGATAATTACAAGTTGGTATCACGACATCTTGGGAAACTAAAGTCGATGTTTGCTTGTGGTAGTCAACAAGATTACATTTGGTATTGAAGTGATTCGTAATAGGCGAGCTCCTCTTCAGTCACAGACGGCCTGAAGGACTCGACTCCTTGCCACAGCTCTGAAACGCCAAGGATCACGGAGTCCTGACTGAGATCGCTCTCTTTCACCAGTCCTGGAAGTATGGAAATTAGTAGTAAGTAGTCTTTGAATAGCAGAAATAACAAGGCGAAACTAGAAAGTCGTGGTTTAACCTAAAATAAATAGGCTGTTAAGAAGTGTAATCAATCTTGGTTAAATATCTATTTGTGCGATTTACAAAAATTTATAACAACGTAAACATGTGGTGGTCTAAATCATCCAGAAATTACGGAAACATCATTCGAGCTGCATATTGATTCAACCAGTGTGTGCGTGCGCGCGTGCGTGTACGCATGCGTGTGTGTGTCCACGTTCGTGCATGTGTACACGTTAAAGTATCTTAACATACTGGCACCGGCCAGTGTTCGTCAGTACACGACCAGTACGTTTAGATACTTCCAGTTGGGCCTGTCGGTGTGTACCGGCGACGTTAGAAGGAACACCATTTGACGGGAGGACGTCGTAGCATTCCCTAAGCAGGGCATAGCCGGGGTAAGATAGCGTTTTTAAAGTTCCTTAAGCTGGACATAGCCCGGGTACCGAAGACCGCGACTTTGGGTTCTCATGTCCCCGACGAATGCGCGGTGCAGTGGGTTTCTGTTCCTGACTGGGATTTCCACATACCCCTCCCGCCCCCCGATCTAGCGGTAGGGATCCATAAAGGATTATTAAGGTGCGCGCACGTGAGTGTGTGGGGGGGGGGGGGGGAGGCTCATGTGAGTGTTTCCGTGCGGCCGTATACCAACCAGAGGCGAGATTCGCAAGTAGAGCGCGTACGGCAGCAGATCGCGCGTTGCTCACGACCTGCATCAGGTCGGCGCCGGTGCAGCGGTCCGGCAGCGCTTCCGCCACCCGTTCAAGGTTCACTTCCGCGCGCAACCTCTCGCTGCGAAAGCGATGAGGTGAAATTATTATGGAAAATCGCTTTGCGCCCTAATAACAGGTTCTAGGTCGCTTTCGATGCTAGGTCGTAGGTTGGATTGCCTAAAACGCCTCCAACATCGCCTTATTTAACATGCAAAATAAAATTGTAACGGGTAAGAGACTTTAAAAATCAAAATGACTTCATTCACTGATATTTTGAATTACCAAATAAGTCACTTCAATCAACCAGTCAAAGGTAGAAACGGGCATCATCTAAGTGATGTTATATGCATGTATTTTTTATATATATTTGTTTTTGCTTAACAACCTTTAAAAAATTAAATAAGAATAACGTATTTGTTGACGTTATTCTTATTTAATTTTTTAAAGGTTTAGTAACAGGTCACTGACTAAAACATACACATAAACAAACAAACCATAAACAATCAGAGAAGTAGTTTAGAGTACACATAATACACAAATATAACCCACTTAAAACTAAACACAACATTCACTAATCACAGAGATAAAATTATTAATATTATTATTGTCTTACAGTAAAAGTAAAAATAACTAATCAAGCTAAAATTATAAATTTGGCAATAAAAAATACAATTAAAGAAAACTTTATTACTAATGGTCTCTTTTGTTACATATGGGATGTAGACCATTAGTAATAAAGTTAAAGCACCATTCATTATTTCATTAGCATCCATTCATGAATATAGCCATTTGTGTATTGAAAATATATTAAAATAAATTATAAACAAGCAAAAGGTTTGTTTAAATGATATTGAGTTTTAACTGACTTCCGGCAGAGGGCTTTCAGGACGGAGGTCTTCTCCCGCGTGCCTGAGTAGGGCCCCACGTAAATCAGCTTGTCAAGACGTCCAGGCCGCAGTAAGGACTGCTCCAATAGGTCCGGACGGTTCGTTGCGCCCATAATGAACACGAAGCTCGACTTGTCCGAATCTGTGAAAGATTTTGGTAACAAAATTAAATCCAAAAATAAACCCGATTAATCCGTAAACATAGTTAATAAGCCAGCTATAAATTTTGTCTTTGATTTTGAGGAGTTCCCTGATGTATCTCCGAAGTCCAAAGTTCAATACCTACTAATGAAATGAAAATGGGACTACATGGGAGCTAAACCGGACAAAATGCGAAATTAATTTTTGAAGTTTGTTCATAAATGTCGGAATTTTTAAGTAACAAACACAAAAACGACGGGAATTGAGAACCTCGTCCTCTTTGAAGTCGGTTTAAAATAGTAGTGAATAAGACGTTTAAGAGATCGACGATTTAAGAGTCACCGCCTCAAATGTGAGGCATCTACTTAGCGTTATGTTAGCGAACTTTCAGTTTCAGGCATATTACGTCCCTCTGACTTCAAAAGCGCCCTAAAAACCCCGTTTAGTCCATAGTAAATGCCATCGAAGGTTCTAGTGCCCTTTAAACTCTGGTAACAAGCCGTCAGAAGGTCAGGGGTGTCACCTTCCCCGCTGGTGACGCCGTCGACCTCGGCCAGGAGTTGGCTGACGACGCGGTCGCTCGCCCCGCCAGAGTCACCGGCCGCCCCACGCCTGGGCGCCAACGAGTCCAGCTCGTCCAGGAACACGATGCACGGCGACGAGGCGCGCGCCGTTTCGAACACTGAAAAATCATACAATCAATATATTGATAGTAATAATATTATTTATCTTACTGGTGGGTAACGAAAATTTTATTACTATTAATACTTAATGATACAAATAATTTGTAGTAAAAACGCTTCCTAAACACATTTCTTAGCAGCCCAAAAATATTTTTACAAGTTTGTGAAATTGAGATGTTTTCACTTCTGACGTGTAGCCGTATGAGTAACATTTTTTTTATGTGCTGGTGAATAATATTATAGACTAATATAAATCATAATGCTCCTGCTCTTATTCCACCAATGTGTGGTTGGCACACTATGTGAGTAATGCTGTTATTGGTGTTGGCTAGGTTTTTAAAATCGGCTGCCTGCCTGGAGTCAACCCTCAACAACAACCCTGAAAAATTATCTGTGGGTCATGCAAATACTTGCCCAGAGTGGGAATCGAACCCATGAATCCCATAGAATAAATAATATAATATAAGATTAAATTTCATATTATAATTTATTTGTAAATTATGTATGCAAAGGGTTAGATTCATAATATAATTGAAAACATTTTCTGAGTAGTTACCTTTCCTAACATTTTCTTCAGATTGGCCAATGTACATGTTGAGTAACTCCGGTCCTTTAACACTTAGAAAGCTGACATTGAGCTCTGTACTAACTGCTTTTGCCACCAAAGTTTTACCACAACCAGGTGGCCCATATAATAATATACCTGAAACATAATGTAAAACCCAAATTATTATAGCACTACTATCTTAGTATTCTGGACCACAAATAAATTAAGCGGTTACAAAGATTAACTTTTAATTTTTTCATACATTTTTGAATATGATGTTTAGCCATAAAGAAGTATGATGATCTTTGTATATTATAATAGTTTTTAATTAATTTTCAAACAGAATGGTTCTGTTTACAAATTTTAAAAAGAAATAATAAAAAGAATTATGTCACTATACAAACAATAAAAAGTAGTATTTTAACAAAACCTAACCAGTTTTAAGTGGTAAGTAAATTTATTTCCATTTTAATACCTGATATTTTAAGTGTAGAGTTCTTGAACAGATGTGGAAACTTTATAGGAAATTCTATGGTTTTTAACAATTCTTTCTTAAGTTTGTCCAAACCTCCTATGTCATCCCAATAAACTTTAGGTATTTTCGGAGCATCCAAATGTTGACTTTTCAGACTTCTGATGGACTCTGTATTAAAATTTTATTATAGATTAATCTTTGGTTATGATAATGAAGTCAATAATCAATATTTAATTTATTGCAAATCATTGTATAATTCATGTCAGATGTATGCTTACCGGTAAAATAATCATACATTGATAAAATCTTTTGTAGTACATGTTATAATATATTCAGTAAGCTTAATTTCTTTAAAAAATGTTCTGTTTATACAAAAAAAATATAAATAAAACATTATTTTGTTTATATTATAGTAATATCTCTTATTTTATTGTTAAATTATTGTATCTAATAATGTTTTATGTAAACAGTAGAGTAGCCAACAAAAACTCTTTACTAGGCTTATTAAAAACTACAACACAGATACTGAGTCTTAACTAGTTTAATCATAAATTACAATAATAATGCTACTAATTATAAATAATTTAAATTAAGTATGATAGTACTTTTATGGCCAATTTCAATATTCTATATTTTTGTAGATTTGGCAACTGGAGATATAATTTTGATGTAAGTATTATGGCGCTATTAAATCTATAGATATATAGAATATTTAAACCTTAGTATAAAACATTACCGAGAAGTTATATTTATTTGGTTACCTAATGCTGAATCAAAGTCCTCCTCTCGTACAAGCCGTAAATTAGGGTCTTGAGGAAACTGGCAGTTGCTTCTATGCTGATTTAAATAAGATTCTCTCATAGCAAAGTGTAAAAGGGTGTCTAAATCACCATATACAAATGTTTCTGTTTTAGATGCCACTTTTTGCAAGATATCTTTTGTTTGACTACTAACAGTTGAAACACCAGAGGTGTCATCTATATTCATGTTTATTTCATTTGTTTTTTTATGATCATCATTCATTTCCAATTGCATTGCTGCAGTAAACCATGTTAGCATATCATACCTTTGCTGAACATTTAATTTAGGCAGATGAAACTTATCTAAAAATATTCTCATTATGTTTGGTTTCAAGTCAATTTTCTCTGATATAGCAAAGAAAATTATAGGATGCTTAGTGTAGTTCTCATACAAATCTGTTAGAGAATTGATAAAATATTCCATTATTCTGTAGTCTTCATTGTTTTCAGGATCAACAGCGAATACCTATAACATAAACAGTGTATTCCTTTAAAAATATAATTAAACTTTTAAAGAAAAAAATTCTTAAAGGATGACCACATTTGTATGTAGGCATGATGTAAACATGGTATTTGATATTTAATATTTTCAAGAACTTGAAAATTAAAGGTTTACCTCAAAGTTATCAAGCAGAACTATGGCTGGTGCTGCAGACTTAGCTTTTTGTATTGTTAATCTGACTTTACTTTCAGTTTGTTTTGCTGTAGAGTTTTGTAGAGCATTACAATCGGCTTGCAAGCAATTAACTCCTTGAAGGAATACAATACATATTGTGTGTAAATTATGATAGTGTATGTAAAGTAAAAGAATACTGCTTTATGCAAGTTTTATAATACTAACCATTGTATCTGGCTAATGTTTTTACTAACAAATGCCTACCGGATCCAATTGAGCCCGTTACTAGGAACATAGGTACAATAGGTGTGGACAATGATGATGTCAATTCATCTGGAAATTAAAATTAAACATTGTTTTATTAAATATCCTAAAATATCATACATGATAACATTAAAAAGTAATGAAAAAGACTTTACTTATTTCTCCAGTAATAAATGGACCGATAGCCTCTTGCATTTGGTTAAATTTGCATTTCAAACCAGTGGGGCATAAATGCATTACATGCGAGTACTGGCCATTTTGAGTGTGTGGTATTAAAAACTTATTTTTTGGTTTGATAGAGTGAATGTTTGCTCCTAAAGTTAATTGGGTCACACCTTTGACAACATAAAAGGCTTTTGTCATATTCTTCACAGGCCTTTGGTTGGAAGTATTTATATCTATATCACTACTAATATTGTTACACTTGAAATGCAGCATCCCCATTGATTCAACTAAATCTAAATATTTATATTGATACTTTGCCATTATTAATGGATTTAAATCTATTGTTATTAGGTCATTTTCGCTTACCAATCTTGGTTCTTCAAAATAATTACTAAGGATCTCTTTAATAAAATCATTTGAAAGGTCAAAGTCATTGACAATAAGGCTCACTTCAGCAACTGCTGCTATTTTTGGTGAAAATTCCAAGCCAGGAATGGGATGGAATGAAATATCAACGCAATCCCTGTTGTCTAAGTCAAAAGACGACAGTATGTTGTGGAACTCATTTTCATTTACAAAAGCGGTATTATCATGTATATGTGAGGAGCTAATAACTGGGATAATCCTTGTATTATTATAGTTAGCGATGTCGCTGTCTGTCCATAATCGTCTATGAATTTCCGATGTCCTTAAATTAAGATTATATTTAAGATAACTGCTATCTGTGCTTTCTTTTGCTCTCCTGTTTTCATATTTCTTTTGTTCTTCTGGAGTAAGTTTTAGTGCAACCCACAAGAGTCTATTATCTCTATAAAATATATTTTCTACACTTAGTTGTATAAAGTTTGCTTGAGAGATAATTATACATTTGTGTAGACTAACAGGTAAATTGCCTTCTTTTGAATGTTTCTTTACAAGAAAAGGTAGTATGTACGACGGAATTGCTTTCAATGTTAACTTATTCATATTTTGTTCACCTTTCATGCGTTGATAGAAATAATAATTGGATTTAATTGCTAGGTAGACAAGGAAAATGTATGGATTTAACTTTGGATAAATAATTTTTATACAAAATTTTATTACCCATATCTTTAAATTAATTTCTTCTTTCATAATATGATACTTATCACAGTATTCTTACAAATATCTAATTTAGTATTTGAGCTTATATTTATTTGATTAAACATAGAGATAAGAATTTTCTCATTGATTTGATAACACAATGTTTGATAACAGAACTCACAGCACAGAGTATAAAATTAATAAAGGTGTAGCCATTAACTACAACAATAGTCAACAAAAAAATCGAAAAATTAAATTATTACAAAAATTGCTCAAGCGATATACCTAATATGAACGGTATATAATAGCCTAATATTTTAATACATTCAACTATCGCGTTTTAGAGTATTGATATTAGAAGTACAATATTACAACTCTGCCTTTTTATGTCATATAAAACAGCTGCCATAGTTTTTCTATCTTTGGCAAGAAGTCCTACATCCTTAGACAATTTATTTATTACGATAGGAAGAAGTATGAATAATGTATTTAACGTGGGCTTCTTTTAACAATGTTAGAATGCTCTTAATGGCATGTATGCCTATAGTCATATTTTACTTGATATGGTTAGTAAATACGTCAGAGGCGATACGAAGCGAAGAAGGGACACTATTGGATTTAATTTGTTGGCCAGATGGTAATGCAATACCTGTAATTATTGCATGTGGTTCTATTATTGCAGTAGTTATTGAGGTATGTTTAAGATTAACGCTAACGATACAATAAAAGCTCTCACACATGGGGAGACAGAGATAACCAGTGCTATCCGTAGCCTGTGGAGTTTTGAATGAAATTAAAATAATTATTAAAACATCGGGAAAGAGTAAAGTTCTACAGATTTCGATTAATTACGGTGCTGGGTAAAGACCTTGTCTCTCAAATGCTATAGGATCATGCATCACTAAGGTGCCCCTGTGTGGGTAGGCAGGCTATAATAACAATATTAATGCAATTATAAGTTATTAAGGGGTAAAAGAGGCTATAATCTGGGAAATTATTAGGCATAACGCGATGGTTTGTTTCGGCCGTTCACACTGCGATACGAAAGTGATTGCACGTGCAGGTGGATCTGGAAAGCCGAATACGTCTGTTACAAATTTGTTATCAAATAATTCTGCAAGTTAGTTAGCTTAAGATTTATTTAGAATTATTACTTTACAAGGTTCAAATACGACAGAGCTGACATGATGACACAGGTAAGAATGCAAAAGATTTATGGTAGTGTTTCACAGCAGTCTTTAGGGGTATGATATAAATAAGTAATATTATTAATTATGTTCTCTAATTGTTTCAGTTATTTGGTCTGTATCAGTTATTTAAATCCGGTTTGCCGAAAAAAGAGTACAATGTGACTAATGGTCTCTTTTATTACATATGGGCTTTAATTGTAATGATTATAATTTTTTTAGCAATTATGTTTTATTCAGGGTTGCAGTCGACTATCATACGAGGTACAGCAATACTTCACACTTTTTTTTTACGTAATCTGTATAAAAAGTTACGAAAAATTATATTAATTTATGATATATTGGTATTTAACTCCTGACAAGATAGATTTCTAAGCGAGATATTCAGGCAACCCGAGTCAAATCCTGATGCAGGCACCATTGAATGTCAATTTTAAGTGCTGACATATTACGTGCTTACGGGTGAAGGAAATATCACAAGGAAACCTGCATATTCTCAAAAAATATTTCAAACAGATTAACTTCCATGCTGTATCGCAACTCGCCTCCTGTAACAGCAATCACATCAGTTCGCCCTCGCCTCCGAGCACGGCGAGACCAACACAACGCGTACACAAGGTACACCCGCGTTCCAGGGCGGTTCTCAGCGCTCCCAGCCACCGATTAGCTAATTGCACAGTCGACGGCCATCGGGGTTTCGGTCCGAACCGCGACCTCGATGGCCCTTAGATGACACACCATAGTTAAACGCACGCATGAGAACATGCGCGGCCCTACCCACAGCGGAGGGCCCAAATCCGTGGGTTCTGGCTAGCCCACCGGTTCTGCGTCAGATGAAGCTTTAATAGTCTCGGGACTGAAAGCAAAACCATCGGTTAATACAAGATACAAGAATTCTCCTCCAATACAGAGAATAGACGTACACATGGATTAAAATGTGGCAATATACTTTACATGGTACCTAGAACTAATTTCACTAACAACACCCTAATTTTAAGCCGAATAACTCTTTTGGACCAACCATTCCCTTGGGAAAAGAAGGTCAAAGATCTAGAGGTTACATTTGACACCGATTTGACATTCCGTACATACTAACACCTGGTTTCCGAAACACCGATCAACGTGGAAGTTAACTAATCAGCTGTCAAGTGGCTTTTAAAATGTTATTTGAGTTGACAAAAGGATTGTTAAACTCTTTGAATTGATCATTATAATTGACTTCTACGATCAGTGTGTTTCAGAAACCGGGCGTCACTCTTCTTCAAACAAAATATCTTCACAACATAAGCTGTTGTATCTCAAAGCTAGCTTACGACACACATTGACGTTATGTTTGCATGTCTCATGCGTTTTCTAAACACACCTGAAGTAACATCTAATTCATCCGCATTACAACCGGAGCAAGGTGGGTACCAAAGAAATTTCGATCTGCACAGCGATAACAGACTCACTTTGGGTGAACATTTTAGACAAATAACAAACTAGTTTTTCGGGTGGACAAAAAATTATACCAATCCTTTGCTGGTCAACGCTGCAAATTACCGAACCCTAACGCAACCGTTCGAGAGTTTCATCAGTGTAACGTCCTCATCGACCAGTTAGAGGAAGGGAATGAATCTACTATGAGTATAAATATATAATGAGACGCACTAGGGGTCCTGTCCGAAAATAATAAACTCATACGTACCGTTAACTTACAACGCATTGTAGCACGGCGAAACTAAAACACCACGTACACGATGTCTATTTCATTCTGTGGTGGTTCTCATCGCATCCAGCCCACGCATAACATATTTGTCATGCAAGTGGACATGCCACGTGCCTAACTCTGCTTAGAAAGGTCTGTCCAGCCTAATCCTAGCCTTTCTACGAGCTCTGTGCTCGATGAACCTTTGTGTACAGTCTACAGACTGAAAACACAAACATTAATACAAATGGAACTTGACGAAAATAATAAAAAAATATTTATAACAAAACATTTGATGAAAGAATATTGTGATATAAAACATATTATCGAAGAAAGCGGAGAAAACAATATTTGTATAACAATTTATTCCATGTAATTTACTTTTGAATACTTTTGATTAAGTAATGCATACAAAGCTTTGACTTAAACTGCAGCTTGTGTGAAAATCTCCCTATAATGTTCTAATTGAAAATTCGAAAGCATTATTTTAAATAGACATTCGTTTTACTACAAGACAAAAATATATTTAAGCAAATAAATGTTTAAAAATAAAGAATTTATTTGAGGGGTTTTAAATTAGTTAATAGTTTATAATTAATCGCCATATATCTTGTTCTGTCCTTCGTCGATTTTATGAGTTGTACCTTTATAGTCGACAATGTATTGAAAACCAGTTCGTATTTTTCTTGACTGTCATTAGCCTTTATCCCGTAAGGTCTTGACTTTTTGTCTTTAGGTTTTTTTTTTCTATAGCAAAAATAAAAGGAGGAATAACAAAAGCAATGCTGAGATATGCTAGCCATCTGCCATCCAAAGTGGCGATTGACCGGTTACAGACAAGATTCCGCTGTTGCGGACGAGTTGATTTCCAAGAGTGGTTCTATATACCATGGTTCACGACCGGCAATAACATTGCCACGAATGCAGTGTAAGTGAAATTCATTACTGCAACTCTATGTTACCCCTGGTGGAAATGGCAGTGAACCACCAATTTATTTTTGTTATGTGGGAAGGTGGCAAACGATCTGGGGTTTCACCTGATGTTAAGTGATAACCGCCATCCATTGAGATTGCAACACCCGTTGGATTACAGATACGTGTTCACCTTTTAATAAAGTGTGCCCCGGCTACGTCACTTATCAGACGAAACGCAGAAGTGTAACACTTTCACTTCACGCTGGTCGTCTGTTAGGTTGTGGTACTTACCCGGACTGACCTCCATTCGTGCAACAGCGAAGACTGTTGCTTGGCCCTACCACCAAGAAATTGGTATACGGAAATTGGACTTTACACACCGAAACATTCGTCACGACATTCTCGAAGCTGAAAAATGTTTCAATACTTCTAACGTTCATTTAAATAATTCTTCTATTTATATTAGTCTTGCCATAATTCTTACACTGAAAATGGCTTTTGCAAGGCCTTAAAACTGTGAGCCTTAGTTCCAATATGCTCGGGTGCTCTAAAATTATGACAACCCGGAATCCATGCCTGGATAGAGAAGATTGATGATGGTTATTATTGTACCTTTACTTGAAGGAAGTGAGTGACAAGAATTTACATCAGTTATAAAATGTAACACCAACAGCCAAGTAGCAATTAAAAACATTTAAGTGATATTTATTTGATCAAAGCCATTTTTAAAACTATCATAAGATTTCTTTGTCTTAACCCTTCCTCAGACATATTCATATGCAGAACCTACTGAAGTAGAGATTAAGGAGTACCTAATACCTTGCTCCGGTGTTACAGATCTAACAGCAAGTTTGTCGCCGACAATGTCCCTTATAGCTGTTGTTCAAAAGACGTACTTTCGCCGTGTATACACCATGGCGTGACACGAACAGGCGTAATATATAAGTACAATCCATCGGTGCGGTGAAGTTTTTCGATCTTGCCTTATATCAACATCTTTACTAGCACTACAAGAAGGATTAACTGTTACAGAAACAACTCACGATCTGGTCAGAGGGATGTGAGGAGAAACTAATCAACGAAATGATGGCAGTTTCGTGGAGGTTTAACGCCGTCATGTCCTTGATCATCGTAATAATGGTGTGTTACGTTTTACCAACATTAAAAAAAAAAAAAAAACTCACGCACAAAAATCTGCACGTGTAAGCAGAAAAGAGATTAGTTTGCAAGGACTTCAATTGTGCCCCGTGATGTGATTGAGATCATATGATTTGAATAATGGCGAATTGCTCGTCATTACAATGCATTCGTTATCTGGATTAGAATTTACTTGAACAGTATTTGAAGAATCGTTACATTATTCATGCGCACCCTAATGCGACATGCATTGTTGATGCTTTTATTTTTTTGTCACACCTGTTTTTTATGTGAGAGTAGTGGCAAACGAGCTGGCGGTTCACCTGACGTTAAGTGATTACCACCGCCCATGGACATTTACAACATCCAAATTATAGTGTAGCAAATGTGTCGCCACCTTTATAGTGGGGCCCCGGCTACCTCACTCCCCATACAAAACACAGAAATGAAACACTTCTACTTTACGCCGGTCTTCTGTGGGGCCGTGGTACTAACCCGGACGGACTGCCCTTTTGTGCAACAGTGAACACTGTTGCGTGGCCCTACCACAGTAAAACATCTCACGAAATTTTCTCAATTGGGCAGTAATAAAAGCTTTCGATGAATTAAAATTTGTAGAAAAAAGGACGAAAAGTTTTTCGTCACTGCGGGATCGAACACGTCTTGCGGATTCGCGCCCAGACGTTTTAGCCATTATGCTAAACGGCTGATTGCCGCACCGATTAAAATCTGAACGTACTTTATCTTCGTTGTTTTTTCGCATTTCAAGCAATGTTTGTCGCATCCATTGTTACAGACTTTACAGTGAACAAACAACATGGAATTTCGTTTTACAGCGATTATAGCTTGGTATTTTAACTAACTTCAACCGCATTTTAAAATATGTAGAAAAAGTGCGAAAAGATTGTCGCCGCTGTGGGAATCGAACCCACGTCTTCGGCATTCGTGGCCTGACGCTCTAGCCACTGAGCTAAACGGTTGATTACCACACCGACGAAAACCTTAACGCATTCTTCTACATTGTTTTCTTAGCATTTGAAGCAATGCTTGGCGCTATCTATTGTTATATCCTTTCCAGCATACAAACAATTTCGAATATCGTTTTACAACGATAATTCGAACGAAAGATGTCGCCATTGCTTTTTTAGAAATTTAAATTGTTTATAGTGCTAATCTTTGCACTTAAGATTGAACATTAAAATATGTAGAAAAAGCTCAGTTTTCTGCTCAAGTTCTTTCAATTAAAAACATTGTACGAGCCGTGATAGCTCAGTGTTCGGGCTCTCGCCTTTAATTCAATATACTCGAGCAAGGGCGGATCCAGGGGGGGGGGGGGTCATGGGGGTCATGACCCCCCCCTGGGCTGTGTCCAGGACCTAGGTGGACCGCTAATTAAAATTGTTAAACATAATGTTTTTATATATTTTTTTCCACAATATATATTTTTTATGTAAGTACCTTCAATATTTATTTACATTAATATAATATTTTAACCGACTTCAAAAGGAGGAGTTTCTCAATTCGATTGGTATATTTTTTTTCGATTCGTTTTCACCGATTACGTTGAGATTTATGATCCGATTTACGAGATTCAACTTTAGTTTGATGCAGAATAGTTGCCATTTGGTCCCATAAAAATTTACCATAGTTTGGACGAAGTAGTTTTCATTTTATAAACATTTTTACAATATTTTAATGTTTGTCATCAAATCTTGCAAATTAAATTTGATCTACTTCCCGGTTACCGGTTGAGCTGAAATTTTGTATACATGTGTAAATCGCGAGACAATGTAAAATTTTTATGACATGGTGCTGATCTGATGATGGAGCTGGAAGAAGGCCAATGGAACTTCGAAATGAAATGAAACTACAAAGCCTCGTCGCGTTTGGGTACATTTGAATCGTATTGACGAGTAGTTTCTCTTTCATTGGTAACCAGGATCTAATAATGGAACTCCATCTTCAGCCGTCCATGGACATATGCATAGGGTTGCAGATGCATTTTCTCCTTATAATAAAGTGGGCTCCGTCTACCTCACTCACCAGAAAAAACGCAGAAGTACTTTTCGCCGATCTCCTGTGAGGTCTATGAGGCTATTCTGTGAGGTTCCTATGAGCACTCTGTAATGAAACAACTCAACCCCACGACTTTCAGCTCGTTTGATTCGTCTTGGCGAGTACTTAATTTTTGGATGGTTACCAGGGACTGATTTGATGATGGAGCTGGAAGATAGTCATATGAACTCAGTAAAGAAACGACGCAACCCTACTGTGTCTCGGCTCGTTTGATTCGTCATGACGAGTTCTTTGGTGTTAGATGATATGTCTGATGTCAGAGCTAGAATGTGGCCATAGGAACTCAGTTATTAAGGAAACAACTGCGTCGAGTTTGATTCGTCTTAATAGGTGGACCGTTTTTGTTGGGTGGTGAGATGTGGTGGTTTAGTGGACGTGAGTATGCAACCCCTTCTTTGGTAAATAAAGTTTGTTCCTTCCGTTTCTTATGAATGAGGATTCTGTCTTTGATTAGATGGATGAGCGTTGAATATTATGAATGAATGACTGAATAATTTTTTTTTAACGCAGACGATATAATTTTATTTTGAGTGCGGCTATTTTAGGAGTTTTAATTTGGGTCGATTATATGCTATCATTAACCCATGTCCAGATAGTCCCGTCTTAGGCTACTTGTCATTGAAGTGGAGCCAGCGTGCGGAGTAGAGGAATAGAAAATATTGTAACCAATACGACTACATAAAATCTGGTGAAGAAGAAATAAATAAAAAGAAATTCCAAAAATAAGTAAGCCTACCAATAGCTACTTAAAAAAATTCTATACAGGGAGGCTTTTCTAAGTTTTTTTTATTAAATTCTAGACATAAATAAAGTTATATAAAAAAATGATAAATTTTTAAAAATCACTCGTAATTAATTAATTACATTCATTTGAACTTATCTCAGAAATTGCCTGATTTATAGGCAACTCATTTATTTTACGCGCGATCATTCATAACTAACACGTACACAAGTTCGTTTCAAAAGTATACGACGCATTTATGAATGACTACCGCATTGTCAACAAGTTGTTTTTTAGGGAATAGAAAGCCATTTAAAAAAAAAGTTTGTTTTTATTTCAATAACCGATTATACTACCGGGTCTGAACCTCCTGTGTGAATTGGGGCACCTTTATAAAAGCCAACCTGTATAATATATGATAATAAAAAGCAACGAAATGTTACAAACAAAAAAAATATTTTGCAATTCCGTCTAACATCCGACATAAAAAAAATATAAACATCCGAATTGATAACCTACTTCTTTTTGAAATCGGTTAAAAATAACTACTTATCACTTGACTACGACTACGTAACCCCCCCCCCCCCCCCTGGCACCAAAGCTGGATCCGCCCTTGTACTCGAGCAACCCGAGGTCGACCTCGGTGCCGCCACCAATGAAATTCTTAATTTTAAGTGCTGAATTATCACGTGCTCAGCGGTTAAGAAAAACATCATAATGAAACCTGCATATTTTCAAAATAATAATAAATAAAAAATTTCGAAGATGTGTAAAGTCCCAGCTGCGGATTGGCGGACCCCCGCGTGGTGGTTTATGCCCTGATACAGAGGAGGCCTTGCCCAGCAGTGAGACATGTATGGGCCGATACATTATTTTTACTGCTGTGTGGTCACATTCTACTAATTTCCTTGGGCAACTTCACTTCATCTACTACAGTAACGATTTTTCAGTTAAAAACGCATGAGATACTGCACCATTTATCTACACTCAATAATTCCTAACAATCTAATTCATTTCATACATAGATTCTGCAAGTGATCGCAGTACGATACCTACACACGGCATATAAGAACGGTCTTCATTGCGGCAATCAGATAACTTGCTACGCGTACTTGCTGCGTTCGGCCACCGACACCAAGGTGCAGCAGACCACACCCACGAGAAGGAAGGCGTTTAGGAGGAAAAAGAAGAAGCAAACGCGCACCCTGCAATGGGTTACGGGAAGTTCGCCGCAGACTTTGAAGAGATACGTGAGTTCGTCGGACGTAAACAGTTCTGATGAGCTATTAAAGCCGATATTTGAATAATAATTTCTTGTTAATTCTGTCTTGTGCTTGATTTAAATATTAAATTGGAAATAAAACATTAAATAAAATAATACTCTTCATAAAAACTTTTTTATATTTAAATCATCGATCAAAGGGTTTTTTTTAATAAAAACTATTTAATGAACCTACACAAGTCAATGAGGAAACATTACTCGTTAAGAAAAACCAAATACCATCTCCTGGTGACACGAAGTAGGATAGACGACTGGAAAAATACTGCCCCAATTGTATAAATACTTAAAATGTTATGTGCGTCTCTATTAAAGGCATGCAAATAGCTCAAATGTTGAGAGCATTCCATTTTCGAAATTTTTATAAAATATATGATTAATAAAAAAAAATAAAAACACTTTCCAGGCACCATTTCTCTTTAATATTATAAGAAATGTGAACATAAAATTATGGAATATTTAGCAGACTTGAACAAAATGCTTTATTGGATTAAAAAAAATTATGCCTAAATAATGACCCAGAAGAAACCCAACAATACGCCTGGTTTTTACACATTCAATATATCTTATGTAAATTGTATTCTTAAAATAAAAATAGGACCTGAAGATAATATGAATAGATATATATAACATATGCCAAACCAAATGTAGGAAATATTTTTGGTTTTATTATTTAATTATAATATGAATACTATATTGTTTATTTTTCGTTCAAGAATTTGTTGATTTTGTTTGGCTCGGCAAGCTCCTTGAGGCGATGGAGGTTGTCCCACCACAGCTTTAGTCTATGGCGTCGAATCATATTAAACCATGGAGTTAATGGGCCTTCGAGTGTTGGTATATACCTATAAAAGAAAATAAAAAATACATTGCTTTTTTAAACGTATTTTAAATTTAGTATTGCGCGACAGACATGACTGGAATTTTAGAATAGTTGTAATGAAATTTGTTTTATTACTGCATTTTTACCAGCGTCAAATATTTACGATTCAGCACGAATTAATAACACTTATACATTATCTTATCGGGGTGAGATTTGGTGGTAAGGATGATATCTATCGAAAATGCACCTACAGAAGATTAAATAAACAATCTGCTTTGTGCTGAATGCATTCTAAAAGTATGTAAATATAATATATTTGCTGAGGTCTTATGCGTGACTAGCTGTGCCCGCAACTTCGTCCACGTGAAATTTTATGTAAAAAAAAATCTAAAATAAAAGTAGCTTAAGTTACTCCTTATCACATCCAGTGAGAGTCCCGTCCTAATCGGTCCATCCGTATCAGAGATTAGCCGGAACAAACAGACAGACAGACAGATAAAAATTGTTAAAAATATTATTTTGGTAGATATATACCGTGTATACATCCATATGCATTTAGTAAAAAGCGGTTATTTTAATATTACAAACAGACACTGCAATTATTTATATGTATAGATAATAAATTCTCAAAAAACTTTACTATAAAGTAATTAGTACAAAGTCTATGTTGTGGAAGGGCACAGTGGCTTCTGCTCTTGTATGATAAGTCTATCGACGTATAACAACATGGGAGCGTCCTTTTACAAGTCTATGAAGGTCTTAGAATAGAAATGTTTCTACTGTGTGTTTAGTTTGGTAAGTGAAGTATATCCTCATAAGATTCGCAACGAATAATCGATGGGACTTCAAAAGTTAATCTTTTTCTATTAAACAAAGGTGGGGAGGAATTTTCCTTGTCAAGTAGTGGACGCATACGATCTATATCCGGTCCAGGTCATCGCCAGGAAATCGAAGTCTTTTGCGCCACCTATTACGATAGGCGAGGGAATATCTTTAAATCCTGTTTTATTAAATCAGAATTTCCCTAGTAAGTTAATAAAATATTTCTCTATTACGAATAGATTTTTTGCCATGAGTGAGAAACAATGAAACTTAAAGCTAAGAAATTTAACGTTCTATGAGCTTAGTGTTAGTTTACGGAATTGCTGTAATTATATTTTAGCTATATGTATAATCATTATACCCTTTTTTATTTGATCACGACATATTAAAAAATAAATTAAAAACAACCCCCAGTCTCTGTTTTTCTGTCTGAACGCGATAAAATCAAATATTACTGAAGAGACATTCATACTGTTTCTACCCATAGTCGGAGCAATTCATGAGGAAGTTTTAGGTGTATAATTCATTAGGGTTATGTGCAGCGCGAATTAAACTAGACGGGTACTGGCAAGAAATTTAGGCGCATTAGCTGTGCTACCCGTGCAGAGCAATCTCACAGATTAGCCAAATAATATGTCTAATTCGATTTTACTACCGTGATAAAATATTTTATAAATATTAAAATACAATCGTCAATCACTTCATAAACATTAGACAGCGGTAAGGAGAGATTAGATAACTTTTCTAATGACACTGTGGTAACATTAATGGTTAACGTAAATAATTATGAAGATGCAAGTTTTATTAATAATTTATTCTAACTGTTTGTGTTATTAGCACTCGATCAAAAATTTAATAATTATAAAAGATATGCCTTTATAATCTATTGATTCTACGATAGATATTCCATTGCTGTTCAAGTAGGCGGTTGCTTAAACACGCAGGACATGTAGGCGTCACTCGTTCATAATTTTAATATTAATAACATTTTACGTCCTTTCACTACCCACTGGTAAAGATAATAATAAGTGACAGGAGTACTGACGTAATAATGACTATCTCTGTCTGTTTAGTAGCCGAGTGTTTATAGCACCAGGTGTAAACAGTTATTTAAAAAAAAATGTTAACAGAATTGATGTCTTAACGTAAACTGTCGACTGTGATTTTTTTCAATGTTTATAGAAAATAATCGAACCTCCAATTGGATTCATTTACGCCTCGAACCTCCAATTGGATTCATTTACGCCGTACAGTGTACCTACCAGCGGTGCCTCCAAATATTTCTGATGATTGCCCATTAAGTATTTCCCAAATTTTTGACGTGCCAAAATATGTCGAAACAGTTATGTAGTGATGATTTTTTTAATTGCGAATACATTTAATTACGTTTTATTTTTGTCGTTGTTTGTATGCTTGTGTGCATTGTGTATTTATACTCTGTACACGGTAGTCGCACACTCCACGCCTCTCTCAAGTACCTATAGTATTCCACCAAGTTACTAAAAGTTTTTGTAACAATTTGTGGTTACAGCTGACTGTAAACTAACATCGTAACCATTTAACAATAACTAAAAAACTATTGTCTTTGACTATTACACTGGGCAACTGTGTAACTTTGAAGTAATTATATTAAATGAAGAGCAGTTGAAATTATCATGTACATACATCAGAACAATCTCATTGTCACCAAATTCTATAAAAAAAATCTATTGAGTTGTACAAAGTAATTTTACCACATTTTCTTTTAGTACACAATAAATCTTTAGAAGTGATCTCTATCAGTATGTCGTGCAGTTGAAGGTTGTATAATGTATTTTTACTTCTACTTTTTTCTTTGTATGTACTTCTTCGTATAATGTATTTTTTGTGGACTATAGAGATTCAATAGATAAATTGCACATAATTTGTTCCAAAATCTGTGTTAGTTAAATATTTAAATTTTATCCAGGTACCTTTTTAACATAGGATTGAAAAACATAAATCGCACAATAAATTTTTGTTTCATGACCTGATTATTTCATATGGTTTAGAATTATTTTTTAAAGAACTATTTTTGTTTGGGCTTAGGTCTTAGGACCGCATACTATATATGTAATAATAGATAATGAAAGCAAGGAAAATAATATAAGGGATATACTCACGCATTGAATTCGTTTTTGGGCACATAGCAGTATTCGGATATCTCATCGGAGTTTGGCTTGACCTTGACGTCGCTTTGGAAGAACAGTATGTGGTCAATCTCATGCTCACCAAAAACTCCATCGCCCGGGTCGTGGTAGTGAACGCGCGTTAGAAAGGTAAATAGCTCTGGGTCCATCTAGTAACAAACAGATACTATAGGTAGAATTGTACACAATGTTCAACATGTTCAGACTTTAGACATATCAAAGTCAATCATAAAGATTAAGAAAAGCAAGGGTAGTAGTATTTATAATTTTTATAAATATTGCAATGAGCGCCCAGCATTCGTTTGCAACGCCTTTGAGATTTTTTTAAATTCCTATAGAGGACGGACAAACAAAGAATATTTTTTTCGGAACCATTTGGAACCTTGGAACCATATTCAAACATTCATTATTATTCATACAGAAAATAAAATAAGGTTACGATGTAACAGAAATTAGTAACCTTTTCTTTGTTTCACACAAAATATTTTACTATATTAATTTATTACCTGGTCAAGAGGAATACCCAGTTCAAAGTTTAATCTTCGTCTGGCTGCTGTAATAATATCTTCAGGTTTATCATCAATGTACAGGGGATGACTGCAACATGCGTTTGTATAATAGTCTGGATATGTCACCTAAAAATTAATTAACTTACATTTATATAGCACTCATGCATTTCATAATACTTTTTGTGAATAATTTAAAACATGTATATACAGGGAGATTTTTTGAGAAGTGCCCAAATTTACACAGGAGGTTCAGACTCGGTAGTATTATCGTTTAATCATTAAGATGTCAGTAGAGTCTGGACAAAAACACATAGTAATCTATTCTCTAGGATAGATAAATAAAACTATAAAGTAAATGACACTTTTTAAGTTTTACCTTCTGACTGGCTCTTCTTTGCAAAAACATATCCCCTCGTTTATTAAATAGGAACACACTAAAGGCACGGTGAAGTAAGATACTACCATCCTCCGCAACTTTGTGACAATCACGTTTTGTTGCAGTGCCAATAAAATTGTCTTTTTCATCTACTAATAGACATATATCCTTATCTAATGCTTCAGCCTTAAAACAAAAAGAAAATTTAAGAAATGTTGTATTAAATGGATAAGGAATTCATCTAAAGCATTAAAATTCTTTACCTGATTCTGTTCAACACTATTGCTCACTTCAGGCTGAGGTTTAGTTGGCTCCGAAGCTAGGAATCTTTTTTCATATCGTACTGTGTTCCACAGCCTCCGCGATAAACTTCTGACAAGCATCTTTATCCAGCATGTAAAATTGAATGACAAATATACAATCATGTTACAAAATAATGTATTTTCATAACAATAACATTACAACAATAGAGAAATCATGTGCAGAGATAGTCAAAGAATAGACACCTTCTGATCATAAGATTAATGTGAAAAAACCGAGTAACAATGAGTTACGTAAGTACTGCTTTAAGCATTATTTAAATTTGTATTTATAAATATAAAGTTTGAACAATCAAAGAAGAGTGAATATGATGTGTTTTTATTTTCATCCCACCTTTACGTTAGATAAATATGTATATAAAGTGGACCCCTGTCTAATCCGGCACCCCCTGTAATCAGACAAACCCATCACTGTGTGTATTTGTTGATTGTAGGAACACAAACATTATTTTGGCAAACCTTCACTAAAGTAGGTAATGCATGATTGCTGTTTGATTGTATGCGCTACCACTACACTGTATTGGGCTTGACGCATTTTCTTTACTAAATTCGACACACATGTGCAGTATTACTTGTATTTCAGATAGAATCTTATCATTTTGATATGTAATTTGTTGGATTACAAGACACAATTTTAAAAAAAAATCTGGACTATAGGGGATAGTCCGACACTGCCTAAAACCTTTAACATCATATATAAACATTTATAATAAGAAATATTTGTGGTTAATAACAATAAAGAAGAGCTAAGAGTTCAATGCTAACTAAACATAATTGATTACAATCACAGAGGTAAACAGGTTATTATGAGTAAAAAATAGCCATATTATTAGACACTGCACTTAGCACAAGTTGGATGTTGCAATAAGTCATAAATAAACAAATTCAAATTTTACAAAAAATCATGAATTCAACAGCTAAAGTGTTTAGTCATAAGGCATCCGATAACTACCTAGGGATGAAAATTATAAATAATGATTAATACACCGTATAATCATAATAAATAATTAAAAAGTAAAAGTTTAGTAATTAACTTTATACGCCAAATATAAAGTTCCAACGAACAAGTTACCTTTGTATCTTCTTGAATAACTGGCGCTACATTAAATTAAACCTGTGTCGGCTTGTTTTTAGAAATAAAACAAATAATAATTAATGTGAACACTGACTTATGAAGACAACTTGCTTGACACTTGTTCAGTTCAGTTCAATTAATTTCAACAAAAAATGCTCGTTCAAGATAAAAGCCAGTGTTACCAACTCTCGAAACTATTCGCCCCTAAAGGAAATGTCAAAACCCCCTAGTAAATAATATTATTAAAAAATTATAAATAGTATATAGCGCCACGATTTTTGCCTTAATTTCCAAACGAATGGTATAAATACATGGTAGGATATTGCAAGGAAAATACTTATTACGTCTTATTACTACCTATTACGTCTTACGTCTTTCATGATTTCTTTAGATGAACAGTATTTTTTTTTACTGGATGCATTTTGGAGTGTGTGGGTTGGACTTGATCCCTCCGGCCCCTTTTCATCATCGAACAATTAGGCTTATGGTGGGACAAATAGGCTTTACTGAGCTAACACGATTAGATTGGACGGCTGCATCGCCACTTACCGTCGGGTGGGATGCCGTATGTAGTGCCGGCCAGTTTTGAAAAATAAATCTGTACTCTCTGTACTAGATGTCACTAAGCCGGTAGGTCAACAAATAAATATGATTGGGTAAATTATGTTACCTTGGCCTTTTATTTTTTTACGTTTGTAAAAGTATAAGATGTCAAAATATCCCTAAAAATATAACAGCCCTAAATCCCTCCCCTCAGGTGAACCGTTTGCTCGCTTGGCAACTTTTCACATAAATCACAACACGTTTTTACCCCCTAAATTTTAAGAGAAAACCCCTAAACTGGCAGCCTTGACAGAGATGAGCAAGCATTTAAAATTTTGTCGACCGAATTTGATTTTGACGACCCGAATGGCGTAGTCAGTAGTGTACCTGCCTTCTGCGCCAGAGGGTGTGGGTTCGATCCCCACTACTGGAAAAATATTGTGTGATGAGCATAGTGTTTTTCTAGTGTCTGGGTGTTTATATATGTATAATGTGTATATATTTACAAAAGAAAAGTATGTTTAAGTATGTCTATCAGTTTTCTAGTACCCATAGTACCAGCATTGCTTAGTTTGGGACTAGAGAACGGTGTGTAAAAAGAATGTGTCCTAAAGAGAAAATAAAGAAAAAAAAAATAAATGTTACTTTTATTTGCTTTGAAATATATTTTTTTTAATATATTTTTTTAGCTTGTATTTATATAAATCATTGATGTGCAGACGCAGATGAGTCTAAGGGTAATGGTTACTTTGGCATGTAGTGAGAGCCTTCAATTGGGTTTGGCACAAAGCACTTTTTTTCAAGATTCTTGAGAAATTAGGCAACTGGATCACCATTTGGTATTTTACTTCATTAGCTTCCGGGCGTTTTTCCACCAAACAAAATTTTATTCGATAATAAAAATCATTAATGAAATAGTCAACAAGCAGAATTCGGCGGTCGCCTATAGTTTTGCTAACGACTAACCTCAGCACCTCGATATACCGACGGTCAATTTGGCACCACTGAAGAGCCTGGAGTACCACCCAAATTTCGACAGAATCGAAGGTTTTCTCATAGTCCACATACGCTAGATGAAACAAAGCCTAAATGTTGTCCTAAGCTTTGCTTAAGTGAAAACTGCATCAAAATCCGATAAGTAGTTTCCGAGTTTATCGGGCACAGACAGACAGACAGACAAAAATTCCAAAATAGTTTTTAAGTTTCTTTTTTATGATACCTTATTTCATTTTTTCATAAATATATTCAATGTACAGGCACGCCGATTCTACTCTTTTATTATAGTATAGATATATGTTTCGTTGTATTTTTGACCTCTTCAGTAATTATTCTGTTATCAGATTACTAAAATGATATGGTTTTTAAGTTATTGTTTTGGGTATTTATGCGTTTATATGAACTATGTATAACTAAATTATCATCCTAAATATTTGTCGATTTGATTGGAGGATTTTAAAACTTCACTAATCTTAATTATCATTGATATATCGCTTTTTTTTCTTGATGCTTCGATAAATTGCGTATTTCAATGCTTAATGAGTCGTTAGCCCTTTAAAGCATTACTAATTTTTTCTCAATTGTGCAACTACATTTATCCATGTCCTTGTTTTCCTCTTCAAGGAGGTAAGTTAAACCGCAAGATATCATATTTTTCTGATATAAACTGAATCAATAGAAGAATTTTTATTTTGTAATATCAATGCAGTCATAAAATCAATATTTGTTGATATTTTCGTATCCTGTTATTTTTTTTGTTGAGTTTTAGCAAAAAATTAATATCTGCGGAAAGATCTTGATCAAATCGTCTCTTTCGGGGAACATTGCTCGTAAGCTTGGTATCTACATTTTTTACAGAACCATAATGAAGTTGTTGTGCATTATTTTATGTCGGAGTCTATGCGTTTTGCGGAGAACTTTTCGTGAAATTTTGTGTGCATATCGGCCAGGGTGGAGAATCGGACAACATCTATTTTTCATCCCCCTAAATGTTAAGGGTGGTCCACCCCAAACATTTTTTTCTGCTCTACAAATAATTTATATGTCAAAACAACGTTTGCCGGGTCAGCTAGTACCTAGTAGGTTAGCTATTGCTATAAAATTCTTAAAGGTCAGTATACACCAGACTTAACAGATTACCTGAGAGATATGATTTAATGTCAATTGTTCAGTGCTCAACAATGAATATAAACTTATAATGCATAAACGCAATTAACGTTTTATTATTGTTATATTATGTTCATTATAATTATGCACTCTATTATATTAGGTTTTGGAGAAATACCATTTTTGTGCGTTAAAATTAAAATAAATTCAGTGTAATGAATTTTAAATGAAAGCTTCAACAGACACAGGAAGTTCTCGCTCACACAATGTTTAAAATAGCTTCGGTCGGCCAACGTAGAAAGCTCGTTCATTCGATTAAACACAAGCATATCCTTCTGACAGTAAACATCTTTGTAAAAAGTAGTAAAAGGGCAAAACTTTCTTTTAAACTCACAATGACAAAAGTTAAACTAGCAATCAGAATCAGACCATTTACAGAAAAGTTAGTAGGCGAGCTTTCTTGCAATTTATATCACTTTAATTATGTAGATACACTTCAATTAAGAAAAACTTATTTCTTTTACAGAGAACTAAAATCCGAGAGAGATCGAGACGCGGTTGTCTGCGTAAGCGATGAACATACAATAACAATAACAAATGTCAAAGTAAGTAATTAAAAGTTTTGTATTCATACACTTATATTAATATGTAGATAATTTAAAAGTTTCAGACTTCACATAAAAAAGTTTTAATAAAATTAAGGTTAAATTATAGTCGTAATAAATCATAGTGGTATTTGAGACAAATTTATCGTCTTAATTATGGACCGCATAATTTTTACTAGCTGTAGAAATAATAATGTTTATTTTGAACAATAATTCAAATTAAAATATGTAGAAAAATCTGTAGAAAAATCAATCTTAAGTGCAAAGATTAGCACTATAAACAATTTAAAATTTCTAAAATAATTCAAATGTTTTACCCTTATTACTGTTATATTTAATTGCTTTGAATAATTTAACGAAATACTAATTTTGCTCAGGTAAATACATCAGGCGCTGGAGATAGTCGCGAGCGCATACGAAAGTACCACGCTGAATTTACATTCAATAGCGTATTGCAAAATACACAGCAGCCGTATGCAACGCAGGAAAAGGTAGGGGCATGTTCATTATGTTACTTATGTTTTAACTACAATATACTCGGATTTCAAAAGTAAATGTGTTATAGAAACTTTTCTGACAAGCTTTTGTTTCTACAGAACAGTCTTTGCTTTTATAATACGAAGTAGTACTTTTGTAATATCTAAATTCACAAGTTCAAATACATTCAAGTTACTTCCATGAAATTTAAATTACCACTGTCCACGAACAGAATCGCAAACAAAATTATGTATCAGAAATTAAAAAAGTAAAAATTATTTTAAAGTAAATATTTTTTTATGTATTTAATTGTATTTATTTATTTCAATCTGTAGGAAACTATTAAAATAACTAAAGCGCACTTGTTTAAAATTGTCAGGTATTTGAATCTATCGGTAATGGAGTTCTGGCTAGCATGTCGGAGGGTTTGTCCACATGCGTGCTGGCTTACGGGCAGAGTGCGACCGGCAAGACGTATACCATGATGGGAACAGAATCTAAACCTGGCCTGATACCCCGACTATGTCAGGCCCTAGGAACCAAACATCCTTTCGACATCAAAGTTAGGTGAGTCTTAAATATCGTAACGGTAGTCGTATGGATAAAGCAAATTACAATTAATTAATTTACAGGATATAAATAAAAGTTTACAGGAAATAAACGGAAAGTTACAATCTTACTAAATGAAACTATTTTGACGGATTTTTTACGTGTTTTTTGTTTCTTTATGAAGTTTAGATTGCTTTGCAACATTCATGGTCACGGGACAGACTAAGGCGTTAAACGTCTGGATTTTGAAAAGTATTGATGTTGTGTCCGTTCTACGCCGAAGGTGCTAATTGAATCTTGTTTTGTAGGTTTCGGCCTAGATTTAATTATTTTGCAAGGATCTGTGGTCTATCAAACCTGAACTTGTTTATTTTTTACACTGTTTGCTTTATTATAAGAAATCAGTAAGGTTCAATCTTAACATACCCCACCATTGGCGTATCTAGGGCTATTATTCAGGGAGTGCCTGGGCCCTTACTACAGAAAAAAAATCGAACGCCGTGGAACTGTTAAACAACGCAACGAATTTTAATGCGATTTTCAGCAATAGATATTATTCAAGTGGAAGGTTTACATGTAGTATTTATGCATATTATAGTAGAGAAAATTCGAGAAATTCAATATCTACATTGCACCTTGCTCGCCTCGCTCGGCTTCAATCTTCTTTTGGCGATAAAGGCAGCCTAGAATTTCGAATCGGTAACCCAAAATCCAATATTCTTTAAATTGAAATTAAGTTTTCTCCTGAAATTTCTGATTTTTTCATGGTTTGATATACATTTATTTTCTGGTTAGGGTTTCAGAATATACTTATATATATATTGAGGATGATATCCCGCTCTCCAGTAGAAATAATCGACGTTTTGTGTTTCTTTTGAGGCGAGTTTAGATGCTTGCCCTATATCAGATGTACCTGTTAAAATAATTCGGTGAAATGAATGCTCACAAAGTAAATAGCTACGTTATTATGGATCAAATAAATTCCGTATTTTTTTTGTTAACACCTTTATAGATATAATAATGTGTGAGTAAGGGAACCTCTATAAATGTTGAGCTCATCATAACGAATTAAATTAGTTTTAATTACTCGATGTTTTCGTCTGTTTCCATCGTTTTACTCCTGACTCCATTATCACATTCAGTTCAATCTGACAGTTTCTTATTATATAGATATTATTTTTATAAATCGATAGATTCACAGGTTGTTATTCCAGGAAGTCCTCCTACGCTACGATAGATATGCTTGATACGAGGCCATACAACTTTTGCTACATTATATAAAACCAATACAAATTAATTTATTGATCATCCTTATTTCCATGGGCTTTTCCAGCTTCCAAACCGGATCTGGAGCAGATACAAAATATGTGAAATAGCTTACACAAGCAACTAGAAAGGTAGTATTTAAGTAAAGTAATTTAAATATGCTGTTGTGATTTTAAGCTTTTGAGTTATTAAGAATAGGGAACAATATATTGAAATAAATTCACACTTATTAAGAAACTCAGTAACAAATCGATCTATATTCTAAATGCACGAAGGAGGATTCGGCGTCGGTAAACGTAAATTGTTTTTCACAACATTCATGCATTCCGTGTGAAGAAGCTATAGTTACGGTTGCATTGCACGCGATAACTCTATCTACATATTGCCGTATATTGGTAATTTTATAGCCCCTGTAATCGTTTGATTCAACACGTAACACTTTTTATTAACTCGAAACTCCTCTGTATTTATCCGAGAATGGTTTTTCTTACTTTCGAACTGAATGTAGCGGTTTAGTTTAAGATATCGATTCTCATTTCGCGATATACGAATATTTGATGAATTGGCGAATGTGTTACCGCAAATGCCACGACAATGCAATATTTTTAATAGTTTTTCCCATTATCCTGATCAGGACTTTGAAGATTAGGCTATTTTCCAAATCCGATATTTTTTAAATGCGTACTTGGCACTAGGGCACTATCGGGTATAATAGTGTGATTAGCAAATTTTTTTTTCTAGAAAAGCGCGGTGTGCTTGTGGTCAATTGTTATATTTTAATGTCAGTATAAACAGCATACGAGGTAAAGTAGAGTCATAATAAAAATATCTTAAAAAGCACCCACGCTTTTCTGGAATTATTTTTTTTTGGTAATCACGCTATTCATAATTTAAATTTATTGAAAACTATCTGAAACGTGGCTTCACCCGCGCGGCCAAAGGGATTTAGCAATGAGTTTTATCCACCAGAATATCTCGTAGATTAGAAGGCTTAATTTTTTCCTACTTAGTTGACAATTATCATTACCTATATTTTGGATAATTCACACAATATCGTTATAAATTATAGCCTGTGTTTTATTATGACGTATAAGTAATATTATTGTAAAGTTTCATTAAAATCTATTTAGTAGTTTTTGTGTGAAAGAGTAACAAACATCCATCCAATCATACATACAAACTTTCACGTTTATATTATTAGTAAGGATTATTTTTTACTTCGGTTCTCTACAAAACTTCGTTTGGCTACTCTACATCTACAAAAGCGCGTTTTTTTTAGTTTTTTTCAAACTATTATTTATTATTATATTTCCTATTGAGTTCGTTAGCCGGGGCAACTTTATAGAGGTATTCTCAGGTATACACTTACCCAGTGCCCCATTGTATTTAAAAAAATATTGAATTGTAACGCCTCTTTTGTTTAATACAAGGCATATGTCAATTGACAAACACATTCCGTATAATTAAACCGAGGCGGGGGGACGCGAAGTTTTTAGCAATTTCCACAAATCCAACACCCCCCACCATTCAATGTCAAGAATGTTATTTTTTATTGTTAACCCTATTCGATTAAGTTGGAATGAAGCAATAAAGAGAACACCAAGTTCCAGTTTCAAGGTTGCTACGCCACGCAACTAAGCCTCGATGTACACGTGCTTATCTTTGCCAATATCTTCCAACTATATCCGGAGGCAGATTTATTATTCATTGTCATAATAAAAGTTCATCTGATATTAATTAAAAATAAAAAAAATTTTGCACATTTACTTTCTTTGTGGTGGAAATAAATATTTATAATGTCAAAAACCTGGGTGACCGTTTTCCTCCTTTTCGTACCTTTACGATAAAAAAATGCTGGTAAAAAAATCGACGAAACCCTTTATCTTTTAATTCCGAATGCACATGCAATGGCTTTTGCACAGTTGTATTGTTGGTAATATTTTCTGCATTTACGATAAGTAACTAATCAAAACAGTAAAGTAGTCATAAAAAAATATTAACGTTAAACAAAATCCATAATTAAAAAAAATATTTTTCAAACAAACTAATTAATTAAAAAAGAAACAAAATTTTTAACATCCTATACAACTCGCGCCACAGCGTCGTATTACAAGCCTCTCTGTCTAACAGTATGTTTTGTCTCTTTTAAATTCATTCAACCCATTCATATGCTTTGTGACCTTTACAAATGAACCTTACGTTACGCTTTTATAGGTAAGGGTGTTCTAAAATTCTTTGTTTTGGAAAATTTAATATCTCTGTAAATATTGATGTTTAAAGAATTTAAATGTTTAATACAACTTTAAAAAGTTATCCCCTATATGTGTGTTCATTTATTGTCGTGGTGGTAACGACACGCTGTATATTTCGAAGATATGTGAAGTCCGCCAATCCGCAGGTGGTGGTGCTGATACCCTCTGTATAGAGGAGGCCTTTGCCCAGCTGTGGGACATGTATAGGCTGTTACTTTACTTTTATTTACCTACATTATGCAAATACATTAAAATATCTAACTTAGTACAAGTAGGTATAAAATTAGATATTGTAGTATTTGTAGTGATTATGTTAAGATAATTTGGTAAGCTTAGTCATAAATTTTAATTGAGAAGATGAAGATATCCTTCATAATGAAAGAACACATCAAATTGACTTTGCTTCTTTTTTACTTTAATCATCGTTATTCATAAATAGGCAAAATCACTACCCCAACTAAATAAAGTAAATAAAAACTCAGATCGGTACCGGCTTGATGGGAAATCCGAATAGATTGTATACCAACTTAAGGTGGTCTGGAATGAAAAATACAATGCGATGGTGTCATTTGATATATTTTAATATAGTAGAAGACCCGAATCTAAATCGAAGCTCGGTGAAGAGCTTATAAAACATATAGAATGTGCAGCCGTTGGGTTGTCAACTGGGTTGTCAGGTGTAAACAGGTATGGCGGTATCAGTTACTTTCACTGATTAGATAATAAATTTAAATTAATAAATTATATTTTTGTTTTATATTGCAAGCTCGGTGAAGGTCGATTTAGATTCGGATCTTAGACCAATAGAGGTACTGTACTATAGTAGAACCACGTAGCATTTTGTATATTTAAGTAGTATGGATGGCCGCCAGGTGTTCCGACTTTCGCCTCACAGGAGATCGGTGTACAGTTGAGGTAATTATGTTACGTTACGTTCCATCCAGTGAGTAACTTTATGCGTGATATACATTATGAAATTCTGTCTTTTGCTTTTTATGTGAAGGGTTGGCAAGCGAGTAGAGGATTTACCTGATATTTAGGGAATAACACCTCACTTACACATTTACGACACCTGCGTTGCCAAGTTTTACAAATTTTGCTGGCTGTTTTAACTGCGCTGTTAGGTGAACAGCCCGTACATGCATGTTTCACCTTCTTGATTACAAAACAACATAACAGTTGTTACACTTACGTGCCAAGTGTAAGACGAAAACGTAGTGATTACATTCTCTTTGGTGTAAGAACTCACCGATCACATATGTGCGATTTTAAATGATCGCAAATCAAAAAAGATAATAAAAAGACACAGAAGTCAAATACATATTACTTATATACTTATATATAAATTACATTATTCTGTTGCACTCATATTTTTGCTATTTGGGAAATCTAATGAACAAAAGTGAAATTGTCAAGTTGTAAATAATAAACAATCAAAAAAAGTACCTCCCCGTCATCGTTTCTTTATTAGAAGGAAAATAAAATGATGGCGTCTTTTTGTGGTTCACGGAACCCTAAACGATGGAAAGGGGCTGCGAAGTGTGTAACGGTTTCAGTAAGGCTTCAGGCTTCCACGGATTATATCCACCCCTTGGTTCTAACTATTTCTTTGCCGCATCGCAAATAGTGACGGACATTCGGGATAGCGAATTATTCTTCCCAAGTTCATTTTTTAATACCCAACTTCCAACGTAGGTAAGTGTACTTGACTGTAGTTTTCAGTATTTTGAGCTTTTCAGCAAAATTTCGTACCCTTTCGATATCACTATAAATTAGATAACAGCTATGTATTATGTTTAAATTAACCTCTATACATAAAAGTGATTTTTTCAAATCAAATATAAATACGATGTTACAAATAATTAAAATTAAGAACGTTACGTACAAAACGGAGCCCTGCTACTGCTACTACCAAACTTTTCAATACAAGCAAACCGTCGCCGATACGTAACTTCCATGTCAAACCTATCTCCCGTACTATAAAAGATTGATTTTATTAAAGACACAGAATATGAGAACATGTAACATAGTTTACAGTAAAGATTTAACGATGTTAACGTTTTTATATTCTTAATCTTCTAATATTCCATAGGTATTAATAATCGATATCCACTTTTTACCAAACATATTGAATCCTGTAATTACACTGCAATATAACAATGATTTATTGCCGGACCTATTAATATATTTATTTATCTTATTATTGTTTAATTGATAGATATTAAAATAAGAAAACACAAGCTTCAGTGTGGTAAAGCCTCGTCTGCTGTTGTTATAGAATAATTGGACAAACTTAACTACGAAAAATTAAAAATAAGACAAACTAAACTAAAGATAGATATATGTAGATTTTCGTATTTCGCATGGTGACTATGGTGACTGTGACTAGGGTTACCAGATTAAAAAATAGAAAAGGCCGGACCAAAGGCCTGATTTCCATGGAAAAGTCCTGAGATGTAACTACTGTACAAACGTAATTACCAACCCTTGTTCAGTAAAAAAAAAAACAGTTTCTAAGCGAATCTTTAAAAATATATATGAGACATGCATGTTTAGGTGATTTTACTTTTCAATTGGCTGATGCCGCGGCTAGTGCGCAGAATGGCGACATAATTGACTTTGACGAAATTGCTTCATCAATTCATTAAATGAATGGAAATGGAGTACAGTAGGTACACCTCGATGATGTGAAATTGTTTTCTTTTTTCACATGTTATGGGCATCAATTTTCTAGACCATAGGTATTTCAAGATTACCGAAGCTATTGCGTATCTTTACAGATATGCAATAGCTTCGGTAATTGAAACGTTTTTTTGTGGATATTTTATGATTACATAGTTACTCATATAATCATAAAATATACATAAATAACGATTTTTCTGTTTTAGCATTTTAGAAATAATTCGATTTAAGTATTTTTAACAAACAAAAATAAAATGAAATATTTACAACAATAAATGAAAGGATAAAATAAAAGATAAATAATAAAAATTATTTAAATTAATTGCCGCTTTTTAAAAAAAAGATAGTTAAACCACAGTAAAACTTGTGTGAAGAAGTGTACCAACGATGGCATGCTTCGCTTTTTATTTCTGACAACGTTAGGTGTCGCCACGCGACGCCAACCCCTGTTATCACAATCGGAATTGGCTGCTATTCACGTTCAAAGAAAGCTAGTTTGTTAACAAAAATGAAAGTTTGATTTTACTGATTGTAGACTATGGTCTACAATCGAAGTAAAGTAAAATTTGTTAAGCACATTATTATGAATAATAGATTTTACACTCCAATTAGAAGGCGATATGCACATTTTTAATCGTGTGATGTAACTTCTTATTGTTTATTATTTTGTTATTCTTTAAATTACAAATAAAAGAAGGTATATAAGGTACGAAAGATTCATTTAAAAATAAATTTGCTTACAGCTTGCAGGCAGCGTTCATGGCCTGGGTAACGAATTACTAACTGTCAAGCCCGGGTTTACTCTGTTTGCAATTAAAAAAAATCCTGAATCACTCTGACATATTTCCAATAGAAATCGAGACATTTGCAATAAACTCAATTTATAGTAAATTATAATAAATTCAATTTATAGATCAATGCGACAAATCTGCGTGGAATGGTAATAAAATATTAAAAATAGCTAATTTGATTGAGAAATTCAACACCTTTTAACTACAATATATCCTTTTAATATGAGCTAAAATGAACTTACAAACAAAAATGTAGTCTCTTAGATGGTAATTTTACTCGTCATTATTTTGTACTATTAATATAATTTCATTATAATGTACAGGGTGAATGCCGAAAATCAATAAATGATAAAATTTATTCTCAGAGAAGAAAATTATTTAATTTTAAATTCTCTTTCATCACGAAATAATTAAAACGTTGAAGGTATCGCTACGAAGTTCTTCTTATGACCGGTCAATAACCAGTGTCAACGTATATAGGAAATAAAGGAAAATGATTAAGTTAATGATTAATGTTATCTGTTGAATTACCTAGAACAAAGACACGTTTCGAACTTCAAAGTCAATTGCGTGAAAAAAAAAAAAATTGCGTGGAAACAAACTTCGTGAAACGCCATAAATTCGAATGCGAAACATTTGATGTCCACAGAAAACAGTTTCACCGTTTCCGAACGTACTGTTTGTAAATGATCTGACCTCGATTCTAATCGTAAATTAATTGGGGGGGACGTAGTAAGCCTTCCCGTAGAGCGTCACCTTTGCTCGGGCCCTCCTCGTGAGTAGCGGCAGAAACCGTGAAACTAATTACTACGACACGATGGCAAACCCAATATACATAGGTATTGCCATCGACACGAAAAGAAGAAGAAGATCGTAAATTAGAACTATCTAGCAAAGCCATGTCGTTAATTGCTTGCCCACGAAATTCCAAACAAGTCGAAAACAAAGCAGTCAGAACTTTATTAAAAGATCATTTTCATATCATTAACGTAGTAGTTTATCACCTGTTACTAATCAAACTTGCTGTTATAATTCGTTCTGTGCATGATCGTTTAATAAGTTCTAAAAAAAGTGTTTAAAAATTTTTGATAGTTTCATAACTAAATCGAACAAAGGATAGGCTCTTCGAACCTAATCGATGCACAAAGCTGTAAAACATACGCACAAAGTTGTAAAAAAGTGCACATGCACACACCACGTAACAGTCATCGCTGTTGTATGAATGGGCAGGTCCATCCGGGTAAGTGCCACGACCTCTCAGAAGACCGTCGTGAAGTGAAAATGTTTATACTTCTGCGTTTCTTCCGATGAGTGAGGTAGCCGCGGCCCACTTTATTAAAAGGTGGTAACGCATCTGCAATCCTGGGGTGTTAAAAATGTCAATGGAAGGGGGCTATCAGTTAACATCAGATGAAACGCCAGCATTTTTGTCACCTTCACACATGAAAGAAAATTAGGATACGTATTAAATAGAAACAAATTAAGAGCGGAGGACATAATCCTTCTTCAAGATGCTGTAGCAAATAACGGTAATTTTAATTCTAATAATAATAATTTACTAATAATAATAATTAAGGTAAAACGATCATGTCTTTATTTGTAAATAGTCAGTATTTGTACGAGTATACACAGGAAACGTTTGCTTATGTACTTGCATTTGTACGCCCAGATAAATTTTACAGATCAGGAATTGAAACCGGGTCTGCAGCCCGCGGTCACCAGCAAGCAAGTTCACCGTGGCCTTGTTCCATCAGCAGGCGTGGAGTTGCACAACGCAGTGTTTAATTCCGTATTGCCCATTAGGTTTATTCTTGGCCGGCTTTTGCGAAATCTTTGGTGACATTCGACTGCGGTTCAGTTTGCCGTTGCACAACTTTGCTCTTGACAGCCTCAGCGCTAAGAATCTGTGTCGCAACACATGCAATTAAAACTCCGTTTAACCGCTTTCTTTCAACGATTTTATACGTTGTATTTCGCTCTGGAATATCGTTTTTCACTATATTGACTTTAAAAAATATTATTAAGGGCATTTGTGAGATGTGGTTTGTTTTGTCCGTATTCTTATAACATGTTTTTTGCCTTGACCGGCAACCGGCGTCGATTCACGGTTATCTAGCAATTAATGATTTTAAATTTATATACGTTTTATTATTTTTTGGCTTTTATGAATTAGATGCTATTTTCTATCTATAACTGTGGTAGTGAGGAGACATCACGGTCTAGTAAAATAACTTTTTAACGTTATTTTAATAGTCTGTGGGTCTAGTTATAAATGTATTGAATAATAAACTTTACGTTTGTTCATTTCAATAGTTAAATTTAAGTATCTACATTCACCCACGCACGGTAACTGATAACTTGAGTTCCTTTGAAAATATGAATAAATGTTTTTTTTTAAAACAACCGATTAATCATTGCAAAATGGAGATCCATGGCATAATGGAGAATTGGAACAGAGACGACAAAGCAATCGGAGACACAGATAAAAACATAAGACATAAATGGTTACGATTTCTGGCAGCTTTCTGGAGATATACAACGAGAAAGTGCATGATCTGCTCGCTGGCGATGCTGTGTCAACCCTCAATAGCATCAGCTCGTTACCACGGCGTAAAGGGAACGCGCGCAAGGACTTACGAGTGAGGGAACATCCCTCGAAGGGGCCATACGTTCAAAGTAAGTTAACAACCAAAGATACCTTCTTATACAAACCGATAAAACATCATTAAATGATCTTGTGTTATTATATATGGCACTAAGACAATATTTCGCTTTATTTTATATGATTCAACTGACAGTAGTACTGATGTATCTTCCAAGTTTACCTCTTAGTACGAATTGAAACAGTAAAAATATGTGTTTCGGCTATTAATACTATTAATACATACATACATAGCAAGAGCACACATGGCAAAATCTTTAGACCTCTGCCCCCAGCCAACGATTATTACAATCTATAACAACTCCCAAGTTGAATTTCTAACTCATGGAATCTAGCTATCCCCCGTTCTGCGAAAGCAAAGCTGATTGTTAAGGAAATTCCTGCCTGGTAAAAAGCTTCTTCTTCTTTCTCCTGCCCTTTTCCCACCATTGACACAACATGTGAATCGTGTTCTTAAAGATATGTTTTTACGACCGGTCGCCTGCCTGACGTCGACCCTTCTTTGGAATAATTACCCAGACCCGGAACAATTATCTGTGGTTCATAAAAATACTTGTCCCCTGTCGAGCCCATGACCCCCGGCGCAGAATACAACAGCTCAATTGCGCCACTGAGTGAAAAGCTGAGATAGCTTAAACGTACATTTTTTGAAATCGTGGCCAATTTCGTTGTATGAGTTTTATAGATGACAACAACGATTGGTGTGAAGACACGTTTCAGTTCACGTAGTATGTATTTTCACAAAGACTTATACATGGTTAAATATTTTTTAAGGATTTTATTGCGTTCTTGTTATCAATGATCTAGCTCCATACTTGTTTTTTGATAGCTACTGATTCTTGTGAAACTCGACTTTAAAGTCATGTATGCATAATATGTATTATATATGTATACACATATATTTCATCGCAGGTTGTCTTCTTCTGCTCTAGAGAGTTCTCAGTGCAATACGTTGGAATATTTGGACATTCATAAGCTCTCGGATAAAGCCCATTACCTATAACGTCTATTTTCTGTGACACGTATTATGTACGTAATTCCTACAACTCTGTGTCTGCGTCGTGATTACTGATTAATCTTACGTGTTTTATGGTGTCTCAATCTTGATGCATTTACGCAATGCATACGAATGTTAATAAATAACGGTAAAGTACTTAAAAGCATGCTAAGGAAGCCGTTTGTTTAGAATATTAATACTTAATACTATTATTTGTATACGTAGAATAATACGTAACTAAATAAATATGATGCGTAGTATTAAACGAAATTATTTTTATAATAAGGGTTTACGCGATTCGAATAAAACGCGGGTAAGTATACCTTATAACCAGTTAGTGTTTTCGGTATTGCATCCCTGAAAAACGTTTCATCCCTTTGAAGGTTTTTCTCTAGAGTTGAATAAAAATTATTTTACTCATAAATATATACTTGTTTTTATATCTCTGATGTTTATTATGCGTAATATTCGCGTGTGATAGAACAAATCACCGTTTCTAGTTTTCCGTGACATTTGATTTGACACGCTCGTTGTCTACTGTTTCGAGTAGATTTGCGTCGCGTGTCCGTAAGCGACGAGGCGGCGCTGCTGGCGCTGGTGACGGAGGGCGCGCGCCGTCGGCGCACCGCCGCTACCCGACGCAACGCGGCCTCGTCGCGCTCGCACGCGCTGCTCGAGCTGTGCACGCCGCGCGCCACGCTGCACCTCGCCGACCTAGCTGGCAGGTGAGGTCGGCGGTAGTGAAAAAAAAAGTTCTTTTTTTGAATGTCAGATGTTATATACGTCACGGTTGTAAATAACATAAGATGAGGGCACGCTGTTCGGATGTGCACGCCGCGCGCCATGCTGCACCTCGCCGACCTAGCTGGCAGGTGAGGTCGACGGTATAGAAAAAAAAAGTTCATTTTTTGAATGTCATATGTTATATATTTCACGATTGTAAATAACATAAGATGAGGGCACGCTGTTCGGATGTGCACGCCGCGCGCCATGCTGCACCTCGCCGACCTAGCTGGCAGGTGAGGTCGACGGTATAGAAAAGAAAGTTCTTTTTTTGAATGTCAGATGTTATATATTTCACGCACCTCGCCGACCTAGCTGGCAGGTGGGGTCGGCGGTAGTGCAAAAAAAAGAGTTTCTTTTTGAATGTCAGATGTTATATAAGTCATTATAAAGATTAAAAAAATGTTTTCCCTGCTTATTAATATTCTCTATCTTTCTATCTGATTTAAGCTTTCCTTTTTCTCTTAAATATTCATATATTTAGGAGAACCCGGAAATGCTTAATAATAATTATATATTCTTCTTTTTTTAAATACTTAACCCCCGGTGGTTACTAATTTTAATGCTCGGTATTTCCATACGTGATAGAGTCCGCAACAAAGACATCCGCAGTAGAACCAAGATAACGAACATGCTCAGATGGTTAGTAAGCTGAATGGCGATAGACCTGCCAAATAGCTCGTAGAACCGATAATATCATGTCGATAATGTTATAATGTTGTCGATAATGATAATATAAGTATAATCGATGAACACAGGTCTATGTTCAGCTGTGGACTTTAACAGGCTGAAATGATTATGATAATGATGAAATAAATTTGAAATAATAAATTTAATTTCAAATTAGTGGTTACAAGAATTTAACTTTGAAATTAGTTTGAAATAATAATACCAATCTTGTCAAATTGGCTGTAGCCTTTGCGAAATATTGTATGGTATTTTCAATTGCTTACGATTCTTATTGATGATTTATTTTCTTTCTTAATTCATATTAATTATTAATTATTATTTTCTTTTTTCATATTAATTATTAATTATATTAAATTATTTTATAGTGAAAAGGCAAGCTGGGTAAGGTTGTGGTGGGGGAAGGCAGAAAGAAGGCGCGAACATTAATAAATCTTTAGTGGCTCTAAGTAACGTCATTTCGGCATTGGGTAAGAACTTAAAATTCTGAGGGCAATAAACCGATAGAATCCTAAGAGTAATTTCAACACATGAAAAATCTCTTGAAAGAAAACATACTGTATTAATATTGCTATACCGACACTTAATGATAATATATGTAGCTTTAAACATCTTTATTATAAATCTATAGGAGCGTCGTTAATGTTTCCAATTGTGTACTGGTAGATCTGTAGTTAAATAATGTATAAGGGAATCCTGAAAAGCGAACATCCACAAGTCTCAACATAATGTGAAAAGGAAGCTGTGAGTGTTCCACACTTCTAAAAATGAAAAAATGCTCTGTTAAATACTGTTAAACAGCATTTTTAACCCCTCTGTCTCTCTCTGATGACTACATACACAAAAAAAAGAAAACATCTCATTTTAATTTGAAGTCGCTAATAATTACCATATAATAATGCCGTGGATGATCGGCTCGAACATATTTTGAATCGATTAGATCCTTTTGCATTACTCTTAAAGAAATGAAGATCTAATAAAGTCTCTTTTACTCAGAATTTGGCGCGAGTAATTGAATACTTACGCCCGGTTTCTGAAACACTGATGATCTTAGACCTATTTGAATTAATCATTTTGAACATTAAGAAAATCATTCTGAACAATTCAGAGAATTTAACCACCCGTTTGGCAACTCAAATGATATTTGAAAACTCATTTGACAGCTGATTAGTTAACTTCTACGATGATCAGCGTTTCAGAAACCGGGCGTGAGTGTCTTAAATCGCATTTTCTTGTAACATTGCTTTCCCGTTGCAGTAAACACTGGAAGTGGTCGGAGCCGGTTTGTCCCGTATCGTGATTCGGCACTCACGTGGCTCTTGAAGGACTGTTTTTCTGGTGGTGGAAATATTTTTGTCATAGCTAGTGAGTTGTTGACACATTTCCCTAATTAAAGCATATTAAAGGACAATATACCTTTGTAAATACATAAATAATGACTCCTTACAGTTATTACATTTTTATTAACGTATTATTTTCTCTTTTTTTTACAATGATAGTTCTCCTTTAACCCAATCGAATCCATTCGTAAAATATAAATATGAAGAATATATTAATGTTTACTGTATTTAAGTGATGGTTTTAAAAATTGTCTAGATTCCACTACTCTCGTCTAAAGTTGTACTAAACTCTCTCTAAGTTCTTAAAAATATGAAAAATATTTACGAGGAGAAGCAATCCCTAGAGGTTTCATGTAATACTAGAAAATTTTGTCCAACATAAATTATCCAAATTATGTTAATAACGTACTCAAATTCTTGTAGATTGGAAAGAAATTTCCATATTGAGAATTTTTTTCCTAATCCATTAACGGTTCAATCATTAAATAGCTTTGCTACAAATTTATCGGTGTATGTTTCCAGCTGTATCCCCAAGTTTCGCATGCTATAACGAGTCCGCATCTACACTGCGCTGGGCAGCGCAGGTCCGTCACTTGCAGAGTCCTAAGACCACACCTGCGCCAGGAGTTGTCTCTAAAGCTGATCTACAAGCCCAACTCAATCAATTGCTGTTTGAACTTGGAAATCATTACATACGATATGTACTGACCTTACTAGTAATATTAGGAATTGTTTTTTACTTTATATTAACATAGCTATAAAGTTTTTTAATTAATATTTCAGATACCAGAGAACGGAAAAATCACCTATGACGATGATCATTGGTTGTTAAAACCCGAAGTGAATAAGGTTGAGTGCAACACCGCTTCGGCAAAAATAGGTAACGTTATGAACACCTCTCACCCGAAAACCATCGTTCAAAATTCAGAATCAACGAATTCATCCGTCGCAAGTGGAAGCTCGGATGTTATTAATACTTTAGATAACAATACAAAAATTGCCCATGAAATAAATAAGGAAGTAGATAAATTGTTTGGGCCAGCCTTAGAAAGAACCAGAAGCGGTAGTGCACTGGAAATTGTACCACCTATAAGACATAAGAAGAGACAGTATAGTTCCCAAGAAGTGCTGCCCATTGACATATCATCTAAAGGTGACGTTGGCGATCAATCATCAGAAAATATAGTAGACGATACAAATTTTACAGATTCCGCTAAAAGTGCAAAAGTGCCTGTCTTGTATGATAATCAGAGAGCAGAAATTGTTGCCTCAGTTACTGATAGATTGTATTCCAAATTTAAAAAGGAAGCTGCTGCTAATAAAATGGAATGTATGGTTGAAAAGAAAATCATGCAACCACTAAGTGAGCTAAGAATTTGTACTAATGCTCGCCAGAGGCTAATGGAATTGAGTCAAAAAGCAATTAGAAACAAAAGAAGAATAGGTATACCAGCTCACACACAAACAAGAAGAACGGTGATTCGAGTTAAAGATATAGGAATAAATGTGCAAACTGATTTAGAACCATTTATCATGCGAAAGAATGATGCATTGGTATTGTATCGCGATGTTGCTACCGAAACTGTTCCAATAACTCCAAGATATAAAGATATTGCTGTAGGAGGCAGTTCCTTGAATTTTAATGATAAAGGGACAACAATGGAATTAAAAAAAATAAACATGAAAAATGCAAGTGTAATGACGGATAGGACCATACAAAGTAATATTTATACGCAAACACAAGTATTACCACCGCCAAGAAGAAAAAAATGTTGTCAGAAAGCAAACTACAGAGATTACGATAAATCAGAAATTGAATATAAATGTTTAAGTCCACCGGTAATTAATATCAACATTTCACCTTTTTATTCTTTGGATTCTGATTCATTAAGCTCCAGTGAGAGTTTTGGAAATGGGCATATTGAAAATAGCAACGCTAATATAGGTACAACACCAGACCTTTTAACAAATCATAACAGTTCCGATTCTCCAAATGAACGACAACAATTTGCCAAAGACGAGTGTGAAACAAAGAGCACAATGGAATGTAAAAAAATAGTAAATTCAATCTCGAATCATAGAACCGACGAAGATTTTCCAAATGAAGATATTTGTACATTACCACGAGTGACTGTGGATGCCACAAATATAGTTGATGACGGTGATGACATAAAAAATATTATTTTGGGACGTAATAAAAACGCTTATCCGTACAACATAAAACTATCCCCATCGAGGAACACGGAAGAAACTAAAAGAGTTATAAAATTTAAAGATGATTTAAAAATGGAATGGAATGAATTCGGAAAATGCCGCGATTCTGATGATGACAGCTGTAATCCAGATAATAACATTAAACATGATTGTAATTCTGATAGTTCCGATTCAACTAATTTCGGAGCAGGATCCTTTGTCTATAGCAAAGGAAGCGTAAGTGAGTATCATACCGTGTCTTGTCACAGGAGATGTGCACCGATAAACAAAAATAAATTAACATGTAGATACTGTTTAAGCAAAGAGTGTAATAAAGAACGTATTTTTCATAACAAAGACTTTGATATTAACACCATAACTTCACCAGAACCATGTTATAAAAACAAGTTTTCGAGGAGTAGTGTTTCGAAAAAATGCGGAAATAAGAAAAAAAGCGTAGATAATCTGGAACGCGACAGTTTGGAACATATTGAGAACAAAATTCTGGAATCTTGCGATGGCCTGGAAAAGGCAGCTAGTAATTATGAAAGTTATATTGAAAGATATTGCGCAGAGAATAAACATCTGCAAACAAAAAGTCCCACTGAGTATCTACAATATTTAGTACAATTACGAAGAGAAGTTGTGAAAGAGTCTCTAAGCACATGTAGTGCTGGAACAATGTCATCGAATTGAATTATTTGTTTTTCCTTGAGTCAAGTTATTTTTTTATTAAGTGAGTTTATATTAGATATTTTCATAAAATATAAAACTATGTAACTAATTACTTCAAAATGTCTTTTGTGGTTATTATATTTATTTCAATGAGAATTCAAAATCTCTCAAAAGGTCTCTGAAAAGAATCATAATTATAATTGCTACGTAAAATAAATGTATAAATTATAAGACGTAATTTTTTTTAACCATATCCATGACCTTTCAAAAAGTGTAATCATATTGGGCCTATGAAATGTTATGTATGTTCAAATGATTTATAATACTGTTCAAGTAGTTATATTGTTCTTGAAAAAGCTTTTTAATAAATCAATTATCCACAGTATTTTTATACAAAAATTTACAAAGATACTATACAATCCATTTTATTTATTATTGTAATTAAAAGAGTATCTTAAGACAAATTAGTTTGGGAAAACTCATTTGATTGTTTATTTATAAGTTAAAACAGTTAGTTTAATGGATTTACTTGATTCGAATAGGTTATATTCGTATAGTTAGTGAACTATGCTTAATGAAATCCAAATGAAGGCTAAGCTTATTCAAACACAGGCAAGAACTAAAAATAAAGGACTTGAATTTACTTGACTAACACTCTAAACTAAGGAGACATTGGATGGCTGACATTAAATTTAAGAGTGTTTTGAAACGAACAGTCGTTTCGTATTCGTTGAGTCGCCTTCATCGGTCGTGAGCGTTCGGACTCATGTAAACGCAAGCCTATAACTCGCGAAAATAGTTTGTGATTCGTATGGTGGAGTGGAGTGAAAAGTATACAAAAAAAATGGACGTTTTAATATTTAAACTGCTGACGAAGGAATTTGCAGCTACGATCGTGTCAGCGTTGATCCTGATCTTTTTTTGGTTTCAATACCAATATGCGTATTGGAGGAAAAAGGGCGTTTCAGGACCGAAACCCGTGATACCGTTCGGCAACGTTAGGGATGTGATTGCGCGCAGGGAGCAGTTCTTTCAGCCGTACTGTGACAACTATTTCAAATATAAACATCTGCCTTACGTAGGTATGTACTGTTTCCACCGGCCGGTGCTGTGTCTCATAGACCCCGATGTGATGAAGCACGTCTTAATAAAAGACTTCGATCATTTCCAATCGCACGGTATATTTTCGGGGGGCGTCGGCGATCCGCTCGCCGGGCACCTATTTAACCTGCACGGCGCCAGCTGGAAGAGTCTGCGTGCGAAAATGTCCCCCTCCTTCTCTTCCAGCAAGCTTAAGGGCATGTACCCTTTCGTGGAGAGCATAGCGAATGACGCGTTGGCATACGCCGATGCCCGCGCTGACGGGGCTATGAACTTTTCCGATTTTTACGAGAAGTACACCATGGAGATTATTGGCAGCGTCGGATTCGGCGTAGAATGCAACGGTTTCAAAAACGATAACTCCGAGTTTTGCGTTCGCGGGCACGAGTACTTCGATCCGCGGTCGTTGTATTGGTAAGTGACTTTTGCTTAAGGCGCAGTTGTCAAGGCTTCGGCGCCGGGGGTCGTGGGTTCGATTAACACACGGTACAACTATTTGTGTGACCCATAAATAATTGTTTCGGATCTGGGTGTTTGTCTAAGTGAAATTTATATTTGTAAAACGTCCTTACAACACAGGATAACTTTATTCCACAGTAAGGGAAACATTTATAAAATAAAATAAATCAATAAAAATAAAATGAAAAGTAAATATGACAGTTTCCTGTGGCTCCTATAGCTGCACGGGACAGGCTCGTTCAGGATGGAGACTGGCCTGAAGTGGAAGTATTACATTTATGCTGTTTTTCTGGTGAGTGGGGCGCTTCTATGGCAACGCATCTACAATGCAATGACTCAGATTTTGTAGATCCATGTGGGGCGATAACCACTTAATGTAAGACCGTCCACTCGCTTGCTAGCTTTTGACAGTATAATTAAAAGATTTATTTAGTTGCACCAAATACAATTTTTTAATATTTGCTAGATTTACTGAGTTTTGAAAATACACTTTTATCTAATAAGTTATTAACAATATTCATCATTTTGTATTAGATTATAGAAGAGTGTAAGAAATGATTATTATATTTATTTTAGTATTACCACTTTTATTACCAATTTGTCTCATAATACTTTATTGCAAAGTAATTGTAAATAATGGAATTCAGTGGAAAAAGAGGCTTCTATCATTTGGAAATGTCTCTGCTATAATTTATGTTAAAGCAGAGGCGTGGACGTCACCCTGCTTCGATATTTTTCAATGAGTTCGAATCCAATAGGCATGACCTTTAAATTGTTTGATGTGTGCAAATTAAGCCCAAAACTATTTAAATGACTGCTAAAATTAATAATATATATGAAAGTGCTTTCATACATATTAATGTATTGTATATTGTGGAGATTTGTGGAACAGTTTGGGTAGTGAGTTACTATTTTCTAAAATTGCTTTCGACTAACAAATACGTAATAAAAAACATAATAAATATTGTTTTTATAATTTATTTCACAGGACTCTAGTTCGGGCGTTGGCGTTTTTCGCACCGGACTTGTTTAATAAGTTTAAAATCAGACGCATCAATCCGGAAATCATCGACTTCTTTTACAATTTAGTCAAACAAACCGTCAGTTATCGTCAAAACAATAATTACAAGAGAAACGATTTTCTTCAGACTTTGATAGATTTGAAAAATAATGACTCCATTGACCATAAAGGTATTAATTTATTTTATATACTTAATATTATTCTTTCGGCCAGGCTTGCTTTAAGTTTCTTAAATGTGCTAATTATTTATGGAATTTTAAGCCGCTAATTTATCACGTGGAATACCACAACACTGTAATAATAACATATCTCAGTAATAGAACTGGGGTAACCCTAGCGCTTGTCTCGTTCTCAATGGCCTGTTTATAATTATTATTGCCTGCTACTATTTTTATTTTTTATTTTATTCATTATTACTTATAAATGCTTTCTTAGTTGTTTTTTTTTTCATTATATAAACTAAGCATTAAAATGCAAGTTTGGATAAACTTTAGTAATCGACTTTAGTTCTGACAATAGACGTAATTTAAGACGTAATATTTACTCATGTTATGTAAAATTTTGTTCACAAAATAACATGGACCATATTCCGTGGTGCTTCAAAACATCCCTTGGTTGGATCGGTCGAATTTAACCGTTCCGTTAAAAGTCAAAATCTTAACTGAGGTTTGCTTTAAGCACTCAATAATATTAAAGTACCGGTAAAAACTTTTAAATTATCCTTTACATAAGTCAAAAACATCCTTTGATAAAGATAATTACGCAATAGGAACATAACTTTAGGAACCGAATGCATTTAACGATAGAGATAATAGCGTAGTACAACTTTTGACGGTTTCATTTCAGGCGCGACTAACACACAAGTAGGTGTGTTTTCCATTAACGACGTAGCCTCCAACGTGATGCTGTATATGTTTGCTGGGTACGAGACCTCGGCCACCGCCGGCCAGATGGCGGCGTACGAGCTGGCCCTCAACCCCCACGTGCAGGATAAGGCGAGGGCGGAAATCAGGAGGGTGCTGGCCAAACACAACGGCGAGTGCACGTACGAGGCGCAAAGCGAAATGGTGTATATGAACATGGTGCTAGACGGTGAGTGGTTGGATGGCTTTAGCGGTGCCAGATACGCTTAACGCTAGGCAGAACTAGTGTGTTTTTATGGTATTTTGTAATTTTTTTATGATTGTATATTGACTTAAGAGTAGAATGTTTCAAACTTAAGAAAACATTTTCGCCGCGTTCAGGATCCTAAGTTAGCCGACATCCTCACTGTGCAAAAGTCTTATGTGCTTTGTTTTTATTGTACTTTTTGCAATGCCTGGCGTCATCTAATGTGCTTCCTTTAGAGCAAACACAATTTTACAAATGATATTTGAAAAACTAGAGATGTTTAGCTATTGAAATTTATATTTTAATTTGTATTTATATTTTTAATTTATATTTTAGTGCTAGTGTCTGCACTTAAGAGGAAATGTGTAGATAAAACTGTCACAAAATGAAATTTAACTGTGGTAGGGCCATGCAACAGTCTTCTTTCTGTTGCACCAATGGGCAGGTCCGTCCGGGGAAGTACCACAACCTCACAGAAGACCGGCGTGAAGTGGATTTTTTACACTTCTGAATTTCGTCTAGTGAGCGAGGTAGCCGGGACCCACTCTATTAAAAGGTGGCAACGCATCGCAACTCTACGGGTGTTGAAAATGTCTATGGGCGGCGATTATCACTTAACATCAGGTATCCGCCAGTTCGTTTGCCTTCTTCTAACAAAAAAAGATTTATGTTTGTCGATTTGTTTGCCATTCATGCGACTGATCACCATATGTGTTGTATAACCGTTGCCGGCTTTCTAGGTAGGAATAGGGTCTCCTCTTAAAGTTACCTAAGACACATCGGTTTTGAAATACTATCGAAGACAATTAATTACACAAAATGTCGTCTTTGGCAGACAACGCAGCAAATCGCAAGAATAGTGATGGAATACTAACCATTATGATGATATCGAAAGTATTTTGGACTGAGTATACGAAAGAAAAAATCCAATTGAGTAATAAAGAACTATTGCCCAGTTTCCGAAAGGCCAATCAAAGCAGTAATCACATAACACAATGTCAAAAATGATCAGGTGTTAATCTCTTGTTAAACTGCCTTGGGTTTCTGGAAGGTTTATTCAAGAAAAATTAGCTAATCACTGTATAACCAATGATAATGAATGAAATGAATGATTTACTTCAACTAACTCTTTCTATTGTATAGCTGTCCCTTTTTAAAAAAAACTTAAATTAACGTCACTATCCAGTCCTGTCCCCGTGTGATTGCCAACGTAAAAATCCGAGCTATAATAAAATTTAATTTATATAAATACATGCAAAATGTCAAAAAAAAAAAACATATAGAACGTGAAAAAAATGAACTTTTATCCATAATATACAAGTAAGTATTATAAAAAGAAAGAATCCATATTATTTATTAACTTTTGAATTGCATTTTGTATTTTTTCTAATCACATGATATTTTCGCATAATAATAAATAATAAATAGGTAATAGAACACATGAATGTCCTACTAACGACGTATTATTGAATTATGTTTATTTTTAATAAAAACTAAGATTTTTGATAAATAACATTTTTAACCAACGATTGATCGTCCAAATTGACAGATTACTTAATAAAACTTTTGACAGCTCGTTGACCACCGAAAAACGCTTTCAGAAACTCGATTTTCTGTTGATTGTTCGTAATCAGTGACTAATTGCAAATCAAAATCAATGTTGTTTAAGATGTTCTAGCAACTCAGATCATGTTAAACAACGATAGACAAGAGATTTATCGTAAATTAAAATCGATTGCGCTTTCGGAAACTGGGTGTATGTCTATTATACTGTTAACACATGTCTTTTCAACCGACTTCAAAAGAGGAGGTTCTCAAATCGACTGTATTTTTTTGTTTTATGTTTGTTACCTCATAACTTTCGACTGGGTGAACCGATTTTGATGATTAAAACTTGTAGAAAATCATTAAAACTTGTAGAAAAAGAACGAAAAGATTGTCGATTTTGATGATTCTTTTTATTTTATTCTTTTTTATTTGAAAGCTGGTGCTTCCCATGTGTGTCCCGTATTAATTTCCTTGCTATTGGAACTTGGGCTCCGGAGGCACTTAGGGAATTGCTGAAAATCAATTATAAAATTGATACAGGGCGAGATATTTGAAGTCGGTTTTGTTTTTCGTTAATAAAAATTTTCGTTAGACAAACGAGTCTATTTTTATATATTTAGAGGTTTGCTTTTACAGAGGCAATGAGGAAGTATCCACCGATGCGAGCGCTGTTCAGGCGGTGCACTAAAGAGTTCAGGATGCCGAACAGCGACGTGGTCATCGATGAGGGTACTTTAGTGTTCATTCCGATACAGGCGGTACAAATGGACGCCGATATATTCCCGGAACCGGAGACCTTCGATCCGGAGCGATTTTCGCCGGAGAGGAAGGCGAAGATGCATCCATGTCACTGGATGCCCTTCGGCGAAGGTCCAAGGAAATGTTTAGGTACGTATTTATGAGAGACTTAGTTCTTTTTTTATGTAAGAAGTCGTGATATCGCACTATCCAGATAGGCGCACTAATTCGATATTGTCAATATTAAGTACTGACTCATCCCGTACTCAGTGGTGAAGGAAAACATCGTGCATATTTAGGAAACCTGCATATTTTCGAAAAAATAAAATGTTTACGCGATTACCAATTACTAAATGAAACTATGTTAACGGATTTATCTGGATCCGAAAAGGGTTCAAAACTTAGGGAAATAAAACTGAAAATCATCATCATCCTCATCATATCAGCCGTAGGACGTTCACTGCTGCACATAGGCCCCCCGATTGACTTCCACTTCGACCGGTTGGAAGCGGCTTGCATCCAACGCGTCCCTGCGATATTTACTAGGTCGTCCGTAAAACTGAAAACAAACGCGATAAATCCGTAAACATAGCTTAATTTAAAAAAAAAAATGAAGATATGTGAAGTAGAGCAATCCGTAGTAGGGTCATCGCGAGATGTCGCTCTCTACATTAACCTATACTTTAAAGGCTTTTGGCTGGTAATGTGTTAAAATAATACCAACTGAAACACATACTGTTTTTCTTTGTCTCGTAAACAGGATAGGACAGGTATAGGAGTTTACGTCGACTAAAATGTATAGGTACATAATTATGCAAATGTCGAATGGCAAAATTGAAAGACGCGTTATTCCGGTCGGAATGCATTGACACACATAACCGTTGATGTAACGTTTTAGGTCTGCGCCAAGGTTACGTTCAGTCGAAGCTTGCACTCGTAAAGTTGTTGCACAGTTACGAGTTGACGTTGGACGGGCGAACGCAAGTGCCTCCGGCTATCAAGGCCTCCTCTCTAGCGTGCGCCGTCGACGGCGGGGTGTGGCTCAAGCTTAAGAAACTGGAAGTCTGACATAACATATAACATAACGCCTCATGGAGGTCCGTGCGTATGCTGCCTTAATGTCAATGTCAAACTTCTATTCGATTTCGCCACCAGCTATTACGAGCTTTTTTATAAGAACCGGCTAGTGTGACCACTATCCTAATTAATATTTAATAGTTGTACAGCCGTAGGTGGTAAATTTACAAGTGTGGTAAAAGCTTGGAAAAGCTTATATATACCGATGGTTTTCTAGTTTTTACCGAGTAAGAGATGAAATACACTACGAAATATTATGGTATTTTTATAGTATTAGTATTAAAAAATAATTGTGATATTATATTCTTAATTTAAAAAAATTGTTTTTGTTTCATTACCCTCCTTGGCCGTTACTATAAACGTAGGTAGTCTTATTTTTCCGAAATTTCATTACATCGTAATGGGTAGGGATTGTATTGTTAATTAATTAATCAACCTACTTAATTGTTGTTAATTCAAGTTTATTTAAGGCTCTATCAAATTAGATTTTTAATTTTATTAGTATCTGTACCTATTTTTAACCTGCTACACTATGAAGTATGCATTATCGCCAATATTGTTGAGATCAAGAAACTTTGAGTAATGTTTGAAACACACATCCCATTGAGTCGAATAACAATTTACTATTCACAAGCAATAAGCATAAATAACCACAAACAGATTGCTCATTACACAACTATTTTTATTACACAATTTGCTCATTGTATTATTTATGAGGCATGTAATTTATGTTTATTTTCATACTACGAATTATGTTTTGCTAGAAAAAAAGGCAAATATTGCTGGAAATCAAAAGGCTTATTAGATTTTAATAGCAATTGGTAACGGCACGTTACTAATAGATCTAAACAGGTATCTGAACTTATTTAATAGTTGGCAACTTATTGAAAAGTTTTGTTTCTAATATTTATCGTGTGTAGTAGAAGTATTAATATGCTTTCAATGTGTATATCATGATTCGATTAAGAACTTTATTCCTAAGTATTCCACTTTTAATTATTCATCAAATGATGAATATTTTATGACAACCCGAATGGCGTAGTGGGTAGCGTACCTGCCTCCTGCGCCAGAGGGTGTGGGTTCAATCCCCACTACTGGAAAAATATTGTGTGATGAACATAGTGTTTTTCTAGTGTCTGGGTGTTTATATATCTATAATATGTATTTATTTACAAAAGAAAAGTATGTTTATCAATTTTCTAGTACCCATAGCTTTGCTTAGTTTGGGACTAGAGAATGTTGTTTAAAAATGTGTCCTAAAATATTTATTTATTATTTATTTATTTTAAATTTTGAAAACTTTAAAATATTCATCATTCGATGCTATACTCGCATAGGTATTTGTTAATATTTGTATGATGTGTTTCAGTTGAAGAGAAAAGACTCAATATAAAATAATTCTGTAGTTATGCAACAAAAAAAAAGATGGATTGTTTTTTTTATGTTAACACAACGGATATAATTTGGGTTCTAAATTATCACGATGATTTACTATATTTACTCGAACACTATACACTGAACACTTATTATCCATAAGTATCATCGAACTATTTCGACTGAAACTAAGTAAAGAATTTAAAATTACTTTCTTTCGATAGTAAACGTTGTATATTGTATTGGCCAAATGACACTATTAGACAAAGGTGGAATACAACTCAATCGCTGGTACTGTAAACGGCTTTTATATTTTGTATACCCTCCTAAAGAATCAATGACATAAAATGTAGGCTACCAAGCCTAAATTTTATGTCATTGCTTCATTCAACGTAAGTTTTTTAAGGTTTCATATTTTATGCTTTATCAATAATAAAATTAATTTAATAGCGTAACAAAAGCTCGACATGGTTTTATTCACACTGAGTTATCTTACACTCTTATATTACATTCTTATGTCACTTTAATACTTTTAAATAATATTGCTGGGATATACAACTTCAATTTTACCTAAGGAAACACTGCCGTAATATATAATGCCATAATATATAAGAATGAATATTATTCCATAGTATTTTTGTTAATGACGAAAATAGTTAAAATAATCTAATTAAAGAGAGTTTACGAATAAAATTACATAATCTAGTCTTGCTTTTCCTTTTTCCGAGTTTTCTGCTCTTCCTTGTTGTCAACGTCTGGTTGAGTATCTGGCGAAAGGCGAGATTCATGATTTCTCTCGCCTTCAACTGGCACTGTTGGTTCAACAGGTCCCTTTTCCTCGTCAACTTGAGTATCTCGATGGCTTGGACCAGGTTGTTGCCTCTCCAAGACTTCTATCATGTCGGGTGTAACGTTCATCACCGACTCGTAGTTTCTAGCCTTCTCCAAAGTTTTATTCAAACTAACCACCAAATCATTCCTGATCTCAGAGTAAACTTCTTCTTCACCGTGGAGATCTATCGATAAATATTCACGCGACTCCCCAGGTGATACACGTGAATCTGCTCGGGACATGGACTTGATCCTCTCTTGTCCGAATTGGCGGACAATCACAGAACGAGAGGATTCGGTGGTGATGCTAGTTGCTGAGGAACTACCACCTGAATCAAGATAATGGATCGAATCCAATAGGTCATACAATAATTTCAAAATGAAATGTTTATCTTCAGGCAAAGCTTCAAACGCCGATATTCTCAACAGTTTGTGCTTTTCCTCGGGGACTAAAGATATTTCGGATTTGAACGTGGGTTTGTGGGAAATGTACAATGCGTTACCATTTGGACTGTAGATATTGAAAGGTTTCTGAAAGTGAACTCTGGTCACACTGTATGAGAGATTGTAGTCTTTAACGTTCAAGTCCGGAGTAACTGTGCGAACATGTCTCTCATAACGTTCCTGTAATTAAATGAAAATACGCGATTACTTACTTTATTTTGAACTCAAATTTTAATGATTATCGACTATTGTTATACAATAATTGCCCAGTTTCTAATCTATTAATACCTACTACTGTAAAGTGCATCTGTGGAACTAGAAGCAGACTTTTCAGAACGTTATTTCCAATTACTTTTACATTTTAATGGCTTTGTGCCTTTTTCATTAACTACTTTGTACATTTCCGATCAAGGGCAAAACTGACTTAATAATTAAAACTGTCTTAAAAATCATTACTAAGGTAGATGCTATTATGGCATCGACACTACTGTTCAATTAGTTAACGAACAAATTCGTCAAACATACGCCCATTTTTTAATTTGAAAATCTATTTATAATTATTATAGGTTATATATCTATAATAATTATATACCTATAACAGTTCTTGTATATAATGCGTAACACTATTCTAGGGGAACATTTATAAATAAATTTGATCTTTAACTTCCGTTAAGAGTACAAAGATCGTAAACGACAAAGTAAGAGTAAACGATCTTTATGATCTTTAAAACGTGTATAGAAAAGAATACTTTAAATAGAGTTTTTCGTTTAAATTTTTATAGTGCTAATCTCTGCGTTTAGATGAAACATTAAATTTCATGCCGTTTAGCTTTAGTGGGTTCGATTCCCGCAGGCGGCGAAAAACTTCTCGTCTTTTTTAATACCTATCGTTTTCGTGTTGAGAAGGACCAAATAATTTAAATGCTTCCTACATCTATAATTAAAGCTGTGTATAGAGCGCTATTCTAATTGCTTTAATTTTACTTTGACATATCGATATCAAAATAGAATTAAACAAAACTCCAATTAGTAAAACAACTGGTGCGCTTTGCAATAATTATGATGTGCAATCCGCTTATGAATTGGATATGAGGAAAGGAAAGGGAAAGGAGTTAGTGCGTCTCCCTTTTTAGAGCGTATTCTGCTTACTAAAGTGGTAATATCGTCGGTACAGTAGTAAACTTGCCAATCTAACATAAGTGTACTAAGTGTAATAATCTAACATAATTGTCATGTCAAAACTACCAAATGTTAGATAGGCGAGTTTACTATTGTACCGACGATATATTGGGATCCTATGCGATTACGTCAACGGGTGCGTACCAGCATTCTATCGATGTTCCCTTGTAGATGCGCGGTGACGCGGACGAGGTGAAAGTCGACAGCGAGAAGGACACGCGCCAATGCCAGCATCGCAGACAGCAGCCAACAGATCGTGTGGAGCCAGGCGGACGCTACTGTGAGCCTGGTGGCCTGGTACACGCCACGGATGCGACGCTCGTACGCCAGGGTTGCCACATTCACAGTGTACGTGCAGCTTAAGAGTTTTGTGTGTCAAAGTCAGTTTCTTTATTGAATACGGGCCTATTTTAAGCTCTCATTGAACGTCAGAAAACTAACACCGGTTCACTAAACTAGACCTGCCCAGATAAGAACCGGCAAGAGACACACTGCGCCCTTTTTATTCTTTTTTAATTATGTAAGTACACAAAAGTATTTACGTACAAAATTAGCAGCATCCAGGGGACTTGCAAGTGTCTGATCTCAGCGTGGTGCACAAACATCCATTCATATATAAAACTTTCGCGTTTATAATATTAGTAAGGATTTAGGGTGACCAACCAACCAACAAGATAAATAATCATTTAGGGCTAAATGGCAGAGTATATTCTGTATCAGTTGTATAAACAGAAGCATATGTACATGAATGATACAAATTAATCCAAATAATGAGGGTTCAAAATAAAATCAAACGCGATGAGATAATATCGTTTGTGTATATAAATATATATGAAAATATGTAGAAAAAGTACAGTGATTCCCACAGCGGCGACAATCTTTTGGTACTCTTTCTACATATTTTCATGTTTATTCTTAAGTGCAGAGATTAGCACTATAAACAATTTAAATTTATTATATAAGTTAATAATTTAATGTATTTTTTTATTCAAAACTGGCTAGCACTTGACTGCCATACCACCTGATGGTAAGTGGCGATGCAGCCGTTGATGGTAAGCGCGTTAGCTCATTCAAAATCAAAATCAAAAATATATTTATTCAAATAGACGCTTGCGCGCTCTTATGAATCGTCAAATTTTACATCAAAGATTATGTGTATAGGTTCGTAAGGTACCACCGGTTCGGAAAGCGGTTTCTGTTGAGAAGAGACCGGCAAGAAACTCAACAGTTGCTCTTTTTCAAAAATATCAGGGTACAATATAATATACAGGTATAATGGTCTTATTCTAGCCTACGTGAGTATTAACTCCACACATTGGCGTCGTCGAGATATTCCGAAATGGTATAATTATGCTTTAATCATTAGTTGATTTTCAATTTTACATTTAAATTGGTCAAGCGGCAGACTTAATATCGACTGTGGGATTTTATTATACATGCGCACACTTTGCCCCATGAACGTCTTATTTACTTTTTGTAGATTAGCTTAATATAATTATATATATATATATATATATATATGTACAAAATTGTATTAAAAGAAGAATAGTCACGTGTGGATATCGTTGTTACGTACGTGGTGCTTCCCGTGATCTCTCCCAGCTTTATGCAAAGCTCCTGGAGGCCGTAGTGCGTCACGGCCGACGAGTAGATGCAGAGGCAACCCATGAGTATCGAGAACACGAACACCGGAGGCAGAACGCGCCAAGGCCTTTGCAGACTATCGATGGGATGCTAGCGAAATGCTAAATGCTAGTGCAAACATTTTGATAGCAGGCAGTATGGAATCGTTTGTCGGTAGCGGTGCTGACAAATACGGATTAGGAACCGTCATCATTAATTCTATTTGGAATCATATCTAACTTGTCTAAAAAAGATATAACATTTAAAAATGTTGCTGTAACGATACGAATCTTTCGGCTCATTTCAATTATATCAATAATTTGTAAATATTTTTAACTAAATAATGTCTGATATGGAGTCCGTTATTGAAATTAATATAAAAAATGTGATGTTTTTTACCCAGTGAGTGTTCGACTGCTGGCCGAGCACATAAGGAACATGGTGGTCCAAACCAAGCCGAAAATGCCGGACACCAACGGAACGTAGGTAGGCAGGTAGCACGCGCTTTTATCGACCCATTGCGTGCTGAGAAAGTCCACGGGCAGCACTAAAGAGGTTTTTTATTTCTATGAACATCCAAACTACTTACCCATATTCTTAATAAAGTAGATGTCTTTTTTAATATAAATAAGGGTGCTATAGGTTGGTGTAAAAAAGTATATTTTTATACCCTGAAAATTCTGTCAGTATATGATTTTGCAGAATTATTTGCTAGGTTTCTGTAGAATAATGTATCTGATGGATTCCTACGAAGGTAATATATATACAGTGCTGATAGGATATTTACCTAAACATTTGATATGGCTGTTACGCCCTCATTATAAAATATATAAAATGGTGATATCATATTAAGATCAATTAGTTGAAAACCTTTTCAAGGTTATCATGGTTACCGCTCACGAATAGACCGGCTTAGATGTGAAGTGAAATTATATTCCGCTCTGTCCAGTGAGTGAGATAACAGTAGACCCAGAGTCTGGGTCCCAGACCAGTGTTTGGTAACGCGCCTGCAATATCACTGCTGTTATAAGTACCCGACTATCTTACATACCACCAATCGAACCATTTGACCTGTGACATAAAATTCTGAAATAAAAATCAGTCTTACTTTCGGCCATTTTCTCGTCGGGAATGAACTCGTAGATGAGGTTGTTACGAAGCGAGGTCAGCGACAGAAGTTTCGGGAATAGGACGCACTTCTCGTCGAACAAGTACATCATCATGTGGAAGCAAAAAGTGCAGAACGATCCGAAAACGAACGCCATGAAGAACAATAGTAAATGGGCACCTGGTGAATGAAACAATTCATTGAGTTCCACAAAAATCTATAATTGTTCAAAACTCTGTTTTGGAGTACGGTATAGTCGGGAAGTAACAATTTTCATATGTGTTGATTAAAAAGTGCGCTCAAGGGAAATTACAATTGTTTCATTTAAAAAAAGGAAGCAGTTCGCACTGTTTGATCTGTTTTTTTAAAACATGGGCTATGAAATTGAACAATTGGCAAATCAATATCTAACATTTTTACACTTTTTTTGGTATGGTATACCACTGTTAACCTTTGAGGCTTTTACAGTTCCGCCGGACTTGAGTTGGCAGGGTAGATTAAAATGCTCTTTTTCTTCCGCTCTCTTTTCTTTTAGTTATTTAAGCCTAATATTATGATACTTTGGTTAAGAGCTTTCTGAATTTCAAATGCCTAAAACATTACAGTGATTAATTATTATTAAATAAAATTCTGTTTTCTATTTGAAAATACGTTACCTTTCCAAGCTCCATTAACCTCTGCTTCCGTTTTTTCAATTAACCTGTATTCTTCGTACAGTTTAATTTTCTCCATTTTAATTTACAATAAAGTTAAGTATATCTTTTTTCCTGTAATCGTAATTACAAGTATGACAACTGATCACTAAAATTGTCATGAACGGTAAATATAAGTCAATTGAAAAATTGACATAGGTGTTTTAATGCATTGTGCAAAAAGTATGAACTAATTCTGCTTTTTTTTGATAAAGAACCTTAACCGAAATAATCATTATTGTTAAGGCCTAAGGTTATCAAGAACTAAATAATTAAGTCATAATTTCACTAAGAATATACCCAAAACTGAAATAGCAACCTTGTCATTCTATTTGGAATTGCTTTATAAAGTAATTACATTATTATATTATTCACGAAAATAATATTTAAATTCTTTAAATAAAATATATTTTTTATTTAAGTATTTAATATTTAGAAAGGAATGACGAAGTCCGCAGCTAGAGCGGGTAGATGACGACTTCTAGAAGTGTGAGATAACCCATTCTTCGGTGCTTGGCATTGTTCTACGATTCTTGTTATAATTCATTGTGTGACATATGGAATCCGCTGAGCTGATATGAATATGATGGTTCTCGATTACGCCATTAAGTTACAAACAATACCTCCCCTGAAGATCAGCAATTATTGATTTTAGCTATGATGCAATCCAAGCCTTTGCATCCCATTTTAATGGCTGATGATTGGTAATGATTATAAATTTACTTCCAAATAAGTAAATATGGTCTAAAACATTTGGCTACCCAGACTATAATTAAAAATTCTTTCTCGATAGTTCTGTAATAATTATTTTCATTAGAGTTCACATTAATTTTGCCTAAGTTAAAGGTTGCTTACTACATATCGTCCAGTGTGAAAGGGCGGCTCCTATAGCAGTTTGAGGCGTTTGTTTTCAATCTGAAATCTTTGTTAAAGTTTGATTAATTTAATATAATTTGACAGCAGATTTTTACATTTCTCAAATCATACTTAAAAGAGTCCTACCAGCTTGTCCTCATTGCGAAGTTCACAGCCGTTAAACTTTCTTTTATTTAATAAAATTATAGTTTAATATAAAACTGGAGGTGTATACTTTAGATTTCACAATCCATTCTTCGTTGCTCGCCATTGTTCCGTGATTCTTGTATAAGCCATCGTGTGAGGTATTGAATCCGCCGCGTCGATGCGAAATTACATCAGCAAACATGATGGTTGCCGTCTAAGCTGTAGCGTAATGCAATTTTCCTGATGCGTAACGAATGAATGTTGCATTAATTTATTTTTATCTTTATTAGGTATGCCAACGGCAAAACATATTTAAAAATACTTGAGATTAATCAAAAGTTACAAACATTACATATATACTTGCCAACTATAGGTATACACAACTTTCAATTAATTTTAAGTTATCGACTAATGTTACAACAAAAATATTATTTGTATCTAAAGTAACTAGCAATACAAATAAAATTATGAAAAAAGGGAATAAAGAAAAGAGAAAAATACAGACACACAGAACTCACAATTTGACATTAAAAATCTAAAGTTATTGAAAAGTAATCGTAACAAATTCACTTTACGCAACCTATACAAGTAAAGACAAAAATACGTGTTTTAATGTTTTAAAGCAATTGACCCTTAGCCGTGGACTTCTGCTTGAAAATAAATTTTATGTCTTGAGTGTAAGCTAATTATTACAAATTAGGGGAAAATTAGTCTTATTTTAATAAAGGCACATTCTACTTCAAAGTTGGTTTCAAACTTGGCGAATATAAGACAATGATATTATGAACATGTTTGACTGTGTGTACACAGAATACTTAATCGCATATCTCGTCGTTATAGGCTATTAGTGTAACGATACTACTTATTGTTATTAATGGAACGTAGGGTTGTCTGTTGTAATTCCATTTGAACAATTATCGATGTTTATTTTAAATTGTCTTGACTAACTCTTATGTTTTTTTATTTTAAATGAAATAAAAGATAATTAATTAATAAGTAATTAGTTCCTTATCAAGTTATCTCCTTTTATGTTATGTTTATTAAAAAAAATACAATGTTTTTATTATAAAATAATAAATCAAATTCAATGTAAATGCTACACGTTTCGTTGATGTGAGCAATGGGCACCGCCATACTGGCATTGGCTGTGAAATGAATTGACGAAATAATTTGAGGTGATGGAAAAAGTTTCACTTTAATAAAAGAATGATAATTAACACGACGATTTAAATTTCATTTTTCAAATTGTAGATTTCTTGCTCTCATGTTCGTAAATTAACTAATGATTAAATAGGCTACATTCGTACCAAAATATTATTGACAAAATATTATATTGTAGGTTATATTATCGTAAAGTACCAACGAAAACTTTTAACAAATAATGGTACATTCGATTTCTGTCTTCAGAGCCACTGACAAGTTTATCATGGAGTATAAAACAAAATGTTTTGTGGAAATATCAATTTTCGAATTTTTTTCACGTTAACTACGTGTTTTACTATTATAAAATCGACTAAGAGCACATCACTAGTACATGCTCGAGTGGCCGACGTCCACTTGTTAGTGATTACAGTGGTGCGGTTCGAGATATTGTTAGCCAAATATTGCTCTGATAAATTTGAAATAATGTTAAAATAAATGAAATAATAGAATATATTTTATTATTAGATATGGCGACCACTAAGTTAGCGTTTACGGTGTTTTTGTTTACGATAGCTGAAGTGCGGTGTGAATTTCGCAGAATCAATCTGCTATCTACGAATAAAGATGTAGTTTGGACTCTAAGCAATAACAAAAGTAAGTGGAAGGAAGAATTAAATACTACCTAAGCGTGTTAGGAGTATAATGATTTTTAGTACTGTTTAATATCAATGTATATTCCTCTGTACATATATGTCACTTAGAACTGAAACATTTCTCATTGGTCATTAATATTTATGCTGTAAGTTAGTGCAGTGACTACCACAAGGAAACACACATTACTACACGAATCATAATTCAGTATCTAAAAATGCAACAATTTCCGTTAGGTCAGCTATGGATTCACCCAGAGATTTGTAAGAAACATTAAATTAGATATAAAAGTTACAATGTGCTATAAAATAAATTATCATTATGAGGTTTTACTGACCACTGATATTTAATAGTACAGGGTTTACAAAATGTCTGGTAATTAACTTGAATTCTTCCTAAGTTCCTAAGAAAGAAAGGAAAGCGGAGAGTAAAGAGTACATAAAAAATTTATTTAAATATCAGAAGAACGCAATGGGAAGCAGATGACATGTTCCTTATAGTGATATATTTTCTGATAAACATCTGTTCAGCAAATATAGGTTTCTGCAACTGATATAGGTACTTGCACTTCAAACGTTCTAAGCACGGCCACTGTAGTACAGGTGCCCGGAACGGTGCCCGGTGGTGTTTATTCCGATTTGCAGAAGGCCGGTGTCATAGGTGACATCCTGTCTGGTTTTAACGACGTGCAGACACGTTGGGTGGCACACGACACATGGACTTACACAGCCAATTTCACAGGTAAATATAACACAAGACAAGCAAACCATTCTTCATTCATTCAAATTTCATTACAAATACAATATTCATTTCATCAGAATTGACTGGCGAAATTGTTGTCCGATCTATTGTAGGCGTTCGTGTACTCTTTCTTAACCTTTTTATATTTTCTTTAACTACCTAATTAGTTAATGATCTCTTGTATTTACGCGAATACTATGTACAACTGCAGTGTCCGACCGAAACTGGTTTTTACGACCGAAACCGAAACCGAAACGGAATTTCGGCAACAGTCTCAGTTTCGGCCGAAACCGAAACCGAAATTTCTATAAAAGGATCATGTTTTGAGGGAAAAATAAATATCTTTATATCATATAGTTATGCTTCTTATGTCTTCGACATTATCACTTACTGGTGTGATAATAAACTTAACAACCCCATTTAAGAAAAACATATTAATTGCGTCTAAAAATACTTAAAATAGGTGACTTAAATAGGTTTACTTGAGTAGTTAGATTCGTCTTTTGAATATTATTCGTGGTTATTTAAAATATTGCGTGGTTATTTTGAATATGCTTATATAAAAAAAAAATCGTAAATTCGTAAATTTATTAGTTTGTAATTGTATACAGTGTTTTTATTAATTAGTCAGCTGTCAGATGATTTAGTCTCGAACGTCGCAGCGTCAAACAAAATTCGTTCATTTATCCAAATTGACAGCATCATATTGACGAACATGAATCAACGATGACGAAAAAACCTTCAACGACCTATCGCCAGTCTTCGTTGCTTGCTTGCATGGATGGAATTTATCGCGCTGATCTTAACCGATCATAGTGCGAGAACTCCCGAATGCAATTTCGGTTTCGGTCGTAGTTTCGGCAGGTTTGGTGCCGAAACCGAAACTAGTTTTTTTGCCGAAACTCGACCGAAACCGAAACCGAACATTCGGTCGGACACTATACAACTGTTTTACGGAAATTGTCGGAAGTATTATAGTTGACACATAACTTTAATTGTACTCTTCAGTGAACAAGAACGCCTTCAGATTTTCGGTTGTCAATTTGGTTTTCGAAGGAGTAGATACAGTTGGATTTGTTGAAATCAATGGTTCACCAATCGGCACCACTAACAACATGTTCGTGAGATATGTCTTTGACGTTAAAGAACGATTAAAGGTAAGAGGTCATATTTTTAAGAATAAGAGATCTTATGCATGCAGACGATGCAATCTTGCAAATTACCATGAAGTCTAAACTAGATCATGCAATTTACAGGATTAGCACAGCTATTTAATAAAATAGAACATTTAATATTGTGATTTAATAAACGTACTAAGGCGATACATTAAACGCTGGCATCGCAACTAAACAACTTGTTGTTCAAATTGTTAAAAATTTAAGGCTTCAGTCAATAATATTTTAAAGAATCAAAAGATGAATACATCCTTTTATTAGAACAGAATTAGTTCTGATTTCAACCTCATTGTTATTTAATTGATTGATTGTGGGACCCAGATATCTGTTCCGTATCGGGGTGTTTATTCCCAAGGAATAAACGTATAGAGGTAGGTAAAAGCCTAGTTAATTCCATTAACAACATGATTCACATGTTGTACCGACCCCACCTATGTGGGATAAGCCCAAGAGAAAGAAGATGGTATTGAACACGACTATAAATTTAACACAACTCTAAATTTAACACAATTTGGCTTCTCACTCGTACTAAGAGGTTTTTGTCTGGTAAGTGGTAGGTGGACCGTCAACCTATCTTCTCCTTAGTTTTTCGTGCCCTCTAGTTGCCCTTTAGTATCTCTAATTAACGTTTTAGATGGGCGTAAACGAACTGAAAATAACATTCGCGTCGCCAGTTGAAGTGGCCCGAATTCGTTCCAAGAAGCATTTCGCTGCGCCCGTCTGCGTTCCGGATTTGTACAACGGAGAGTGTCACGCTAACCAATTACGAAAGATGCAGGCATCGTTCGGTTGGGATTGGGGCCCGGCTTTCCCTTCGGTCGGCATTTGGTGAGTTCTGAACTTGAAGGGGATTCTTGGATGCATCATCAAGATCACTTGACGGCCCTTTTCAACCGACTTCAAAAACGGACGAGGTTCTCAATTCGAATTTTCTGTATTTTTTTTATGTTTGTTACTTCCTATCGTGTTGAGACCATTATGAACATTGGCATATTTCACCCAGTCGTCAAAGATACATACACATACGTTCGACTGTTAATAATGCATTTATGGACTCTTAATAATGTTTAGTATACAACCAAAAGGCGGGTTAAACGAGAGTCATTTTGATGTTTTTATGAAAACATTAAGTACATTACACTTTTTGATTTTAGGCACGCAACATTTAATCCATCTTAATACACTTAGGACCACGCAACAGCCTTCACTGTTCCACGAAAGGACAAGTTAGTCTCAACGTTAGGATCTATAGGAAGTATTACAACCTTAAAGGAGAACGGTGTGAATTAGAAGTATTATACTTTTGCATTTCTTCTGGTGAATAAAGTGACCGCTGCCCATTTTTAATGGTCGAAATGTATTTGCAATCTCAAGGGATTTATTGATGTCCAACGGTGGCGGTAATAGCCAACCGACAAGTCCACAAAATTAAATAAAAATAGTTAAGCCCGTACCAGGTGTTTAGTTGAATTTCTTACATTCTATAGTGTCTCCGCATATATTAAAGTCACAGCTGATACAATCTGTGCTACTTTTTCGTCCATTAAATTTTTTGATTAATAATAGCGAACGTCTATCATCTATAATCATCTTGTGCAATCTTTCAACGTGTGTTATCTCCACTTGTTGGCTGGTCTTCAAGGTTGGCGGTCAAGTTTAATGCGTCTTGTTAAAACTTATGAGCTCTGGCTTGAAGTGGTGCAACGTTGTGTTGAAACACTTTTGACTGTCGTGGAGGTCGTGTTTTGACCTTTTATATAGTTTGTGATACGTAGCGGATCTTGTAAAGAATAAGAAAAGATAAGCTCTTTTATTTATTACCCTGGCGGGGTGTTGACCCTCCGTATAAACGTTGACCCCCCGAATAAAAACTGAACAGCGGGTAGTTAGTTGTACCAAAAATTTGACTCCGGTAATCTCAGACACTCAACGAAAAGCGAATGTTTGATACTTCCACTTCATGCCGGTCTTCTGTAAGGCCGTGGTAATTCCCCGGACGCGCCTGCCCTTTCGTGTGCCCGACCACAGTAAATTTTTATTTTTCTATACAATGATAGTGGGTGACGAATATGCTTTCATTTTTATAGGAAACCGGTGTTTCTAGAACTTTATGACGGCGCTTTAATACGCTCGTTGAGTACTCGTATAGAGATGAAAGACCTCGACTGGCATTTAAAGGTTATTGCTCACGTCGAAACTGGTACAAAGAAGAAGCGTTTGAAAGGCTTCCTAAGCGCCTCGTTAGAAGTCGACGGTGGTCAATCGTTAATGATCGGAAGGGATGTTGAAGTTGTAACAAGGGACGACGGTACGGGCGAAGTGGAACTCGATATGAACGTTCCTCGTGTAGGTATATTGTATTGAAGTACAGCATGTATTAGCACATTGATTCGTTGACTGATTCAGCTTTTAATTTAGACTCGCTTTTTATTTATACTCGAGCACTTTAAGTTTAAATCCCGGCGCTGGCACCAACGAAATGGTCAATAATAAGTTCAAGTGCTGATTTACTATCGCTGAGCGTTTATGAACCTTCGAAATAATTAAAAAAAAATGTTTTCAAACAAATGTGAATTCGCATTATGAAAGTTTGTTGCTTATACCCAAATCAAGACCTCTTTTACCAACAGTATGATATGTATCCGTATATACATATATATCTACAACCATACAAACTGCTGTATTTAATACAGTTGCATATTAGCAATAAATCTAACCATATTCTCTCTATCACTGACATAACTTTTATTTCTTTTTCAATTACTTAAATAATGTACTCGATTATTGACTGTCATATTTGAATGTTTTCCAGAACGTAGTCAGTCTTTGGTGGCCCAACGGTTTTGGTGACCAGCCGTTATATGACCTTGAAGTTTCTTTGAAAACGCGCCGTAATTGCGATGACGTCTTCACAAAACGCGCAAAGATCGGTTTCCGAACGTTAGAAGTCGTCGAAGAGGATGCGTCCAAAATTTTCAGTGAGATTCATGAAGTCATAAAATCTTTTCTTTTAAGTTTTTTATAGTGCTAATCTCTGCACTTAAGATTGAACATTAAAACATTTAGAAAAAGTACGAACCGCTGTGGGAATCGAAACCACGTCTTCGGCATTCGGCCTGACGCTCTAGCCACTGAGCTAAACGGCTGATAGCCACAGTGACGAAAATCTCAACGCCTTCTTTCTACATTCCAGTAGTCACTCTTGATACCATACATGAGTCTTCGTGGAATGAATTAGAGTGAATATTCTGTTACAAATTTTGGTAGTTTCTATTTAAGTATTTTATTAGTCGATTTTTTCACTGTGATTCTATGCTACGTTATTAGATACCTTAAATACTAGTCTTAAATAAAAAAAATATAAGCAAATTGTTTTTTTTTAATAAATCTAATGTAATGAAGCACAGATTAACTTACTTACATGAAAAATATGCATTTTTAAAAATCTCACGTGAGATTGGAGGAGGGGGAGAGGGGGTCGAAAAAGTCTCAAAAGATCTCACCAAGGGGAGATGGGGGAGGGGGGGGTCAAAAAATCGCCAAAATTACCTCACGTAATTAATGGATGCCCCTAAGAAAGTCGCCATGCAAACGGGCTTATTTTTTTATATGAAACTTTTGACAATATATGATTTCAGACACAACATAGTCATACAGCTTGTTTAGTGACCAACAGTACAATTTTGGTTTTATGACGGTACCTAAGAGTAAAACTTGCAGATTTTTTAAAGTTCACTTTCAATTTTGGCATTTACTAGCAACTCTGTAAGACATATGCTCATACTTGTGAAAAGCATTTGTATGTAATAGTTATGGTGTTATCTTAATGTTATATAAAAACATTACAGAAAACACAACAGCTGGAAGGGGTCTCACGTTCTACTTCAAAGTGAATGGTTATCCAATCTTCATGAAGGGCTCGAATTGGATACCTGCAAATATTTTACCCGAGCTCGGATATGACGAAAAAACAGGTACCTACAATCAACAGAATAGTCTAACCGAAATGATTTGTATGATAGGGTTATTATAATATAAATGAATAAATCAAAATCAATGTCTGTATTCTACATATGAGCATTACACTCGCTTATTGATAGTCAAAACACAACCACCGGTTCGGAAAAGAAAGCCACTGTACTGAGAAGAACCGGCGAAAGAAACTCAGCGGATACGAAACGGTGGTAGATTTATAAAAAAATGACTATCGATAAATGAAATGTATATTTCTTATTTCGATGAATAAATGATTTGAATTTGAATTTGATGTATATTGGAAATTTTAACGCTTTTTTAATATAAATTAAATTGCTCTAATTATATTCATCGTGTAGCTTTTTGAGGGTTGGTGTGCGCGCGCATCGTAAAAATTTCACTCTGATTTTTTTTTTTCTAAATTAATCTAGACGACTTGCATTTTACTTTGGATCGCTTCTTGTGTTCAGTTACTAATAAGTTCAATATTTTTAGTCGACGATCTTCTATTAGCAGCGAGGGACACTCACATGTCAATGCTCCGAGTTTGGGGAGGAGGCGTTTATGAGTCGGACTATTTCTACGAGAGATGCGATCAGCTTGGCATTTTGATTTGGCAAGATTTTCTGTTCGCCTGCTCCATGTATCCCGCTGATCAGGAATTTCTCGAGTGAGACCTTAAACATAATTTACACTGTGGTAAAGCGCCACCCGGCAGCTTCTGTTGCACGAATAAACAAGCACGGGGAAGAATCAGGCCTACAAACAAGACCGAAGTATAGTGAAATTTTAGGTGTGGTAGTGCCACGGAACAGACCTCGCTGTTGCACGAATGGGCAGGTCCGTCCGGATGAAAGACTTCATAGAAGACCAGCGTGAAATGGAAGCGTTATACTCCTGCGTTTCGTGTGATGGGTGAGTTGTGGTAATGGGTGACATCCGATGATGTTAAGTGATAACCGCCGTCTCACATGCAACTTTCGCACATAAAAAAGGTACGAGTAGTTTGCGATTTGTCTAAGTGGTAGAGTTAGTCGGATCTCCTCTTTTTACAACGAAGTAGTGATTTGCTACGTCTTAGGTATTGTAGACGGCCATCGGCGGCGGTAATCACTTAGCATCATGTGTATCCTCTGCCCAGCTGGAATTTTTAAACAAGATATAAGTAAGCATAAGTGAGCGCGACCTTTTTATAGACTTAACTCTTGTTTACTATCATGATTTCCGATGAATGAACGACTACTATTGATTTATAGTGTGTGTATAACCTTCATGCCGATACCTCTCAGGTTTCCTGAGCTTATAATGTTCAAGTGACCGCTGATCCTCCTCTGACTCTCCCAGAAGTAATCAACGAAATAAATCGGGACTTTCATGCTGTCAAAAATTGTACTCATATGTTTGAATTAAATAACAATCTGTCAAAGTGTAAGCGAACAATGTTGGGAGTTCCCATGCACTAGGTAAGAATAGGAAGGGAGGGATTATCCTTCTTACTTAGTCCACTTTGAATTTAGGTAATCTACAACCAGTTTTATTTATTATCTCTACCCCATCAGCCAGAACGAGCAGTTTTGGTTTGCACATTGACAGGCCACGAACTTGGAATGTTAAAATCGCAAGTGTCAATTAGAGTTATAAGCACCCGACGGTGTAAACTATCTAAAACTGGTGCAGTTCTTAATTCTTCCTTGCATTGACTATAGCGACGTTCGCCACTTTAACTTGTATGCAGATCACCTCAAAAAACTCGAACGACTTTTAAATAACTGCATTCAGTAAATTTTCAGTACATGCCTTTTTATTTTTCACAACTTCAGTGGTTTAAAGTTTAGCAGCGCAAACTATTGATTATGCATTTCTGCACCTTGCTTGCAATATCTTTTTCTGTCCAATAAAAATGTCTCCACTCGACATAGTCGTCTACTTCACTGTCCTCCTCACCGTTCTGGTTTCTTGCACTCATGTTTTTGTATTTATCTAGTGTTTTGTGAATTGAACTGTCCTTCGAAATAATGATGGCTAGGAGTCGTTTCGTTTTTAAAAGAAAATTTCGCGGGCACTTACTAGTACATTTTCTTTAACGGCACAGTATAAATAAATAAATAATTCGCACCTTAAGGGGGATTAACCTCATGATCATCATTCCAGCACTGTCAAAGTGGAAATCGAACAGACTGTGACCCGTCTGCAGCGGCATCCGTCTATTGCGATCTGGGCGGGCAACAACGAGAACGAAGTGGCACTAAGGGGCAACTGGTACGGGACGGTGGCGCAGTTCTCCAAGTATAGAGAGGAATACATAAAACTGTACGTCGACACGATTGGGCCGATAGTGCGGGCGCTAGATCCGGGCAGGCGCTATCTCGTCTCCAGCCCGTCGAACGGTCTGGAATCGGTACGCGAGGGCTACATAGCCCGCAACCCGTACGACCCCCATTACGGCGACACCCACTACTACAACTACTTGGCGGACAACTGGAACCAGAACATTTACCCCAACACGCGCTTTGCGTCTGAATACGGCTTCCAATCGCTGCCTTCCTTGAAAACTATGGCCACGGCGACGAACAACACGGCCGACTACGCGGTCAACAGCGAGTACTCGAAGCACAGACAACACAGCCCCAAAGGGTACGAATTCATAACGGACCAAATGACTCGACATTTGAAGCTGAGCAAGAGTGCTCCGGATTATTTCGAGAAGTTCGTTTTTTACAGTCAGGTATGATTTGAATCTTTGAAAGATGTGAATGATTGTTTTATGGAAAAGGAGGCAAACCAGCAAGTGCGTCGACTACAAGAGAAAGTTTTTTAATTGGACAAATAGGCTGCTACTTACCTTTTTATTTTTACTCTATTTTTCAGATCAGTCAAGCGATGGCGATAAAAGCCGAGACGGAATTCTACCGGCAAAGTCAAGCCGACTGGTACACGATGGGTGCCCTCTACTGGCAACTGAACGACGTATGGCAAGCTCCATCTTGGTCAAGTATTGGTTAGCATTTTTTATAGTCTACAGAGAGTCAAGGTGTAGTTCATTTTAAAAAATCGCATGCTCGGCAGCATCGCGTCATGAGAATACTAGCATACCTAAGCAATAACATAAAAATATTATTTTGAACATTCATAAACATTTATATTTCCTACGCCAATTCATATCGAGGTTGTAAGAATAGAAGAATTTCGACGACGTATACGTAATGAATTCGGAATCCTTTTCCGCTTCCAGAGTATGGCGGGAAATGGAAAATGCTGCATTACTTCGCCAAGTCGTTCTTCGCGCCCGTACTAGTGTCACCTCGCATGCTCCTCACTGATATAGTTGATGTGTACCTTATTAACGATCGACTAGTCCCAATTGTGGACGGCAAGATAACTGTACAGTATTACAATTGGAGCAGTTTAGTGCCGTTTAAGTCGCAGCAATTTCTCGCCGACGCTGGAGTGTTGAGCACCGAAAAGCAGACGTCAGTGGGATTGTGGCATTTTGATAAATCCGAAATCTTCCTGAGGTTTTCGCTGGAATTTGAGGGAGTGCAGTACTCGCCTCATAATTTCGTATTTCCGAAACCGTTGAAGGATATCAAAGGACTAAAGGAGCCTCACATAAAGGTATCGTATTGTGATTATAGGTCCCGGAGCGTAAATCAAAGTGCTCGAAAAGCGAATTCTACGAGTAACTACATTTCGACTGTCCGTCATGTTTATTAAGTGTAATTGTTCCGGATCTTGCTGCTACTAAAAGAAGTAGCTAATCTAGTTGTATTGGCTATTACAACATGTGAGATGAAAGATTGGCAGATGATGACTCTTACACAAAAAAAAAAATTAAAGTTACAAAATAGTCCCCTTAAGTTTAAGTACATTTAATAAATGCATTGATCTCGCTATAGGAGAGAGTTCTACCCAAAACTAAAAACACCAAGGGTTAAAGGATTAGGTACTCACGAATAAAAACATAAATTATTGGTATAATAAATGACTTCTTCAAAAAAAAAATATTTCTAGTCTCAAACTAAGCAAAGCTTTTTGCAAACTATGGATACTAGGTAACTTTAGATAAACATACTTTACTTTTGTAAATAAATATATATTATAGATATACAAACACCCAGACACTGGAAAAACACTATGATCATCCAACAATATTTTTCCACTAGTGGGGATCAAACCGACACCCTCTAGCGCAGGAGACAGGTCCATACGCCAATCGGGATCGCAATTGCAATATATGTTCATGTTTAATATTAAAATAATGGCATTTCTTTGTAGATAACCGTTTCGAACGGCTTAAAACAAAGGTCGAAGGTGGAATACAGACACATTGTGAACATTCAGGTGGATACAGTGGTCCTGTTTCTTTGGCTGGAAACAGATTTGCCACATGGCCGGTTCCTTGACAACGGCCTTGTGATATCGCAATCGCTAACATCTGTGGACTACATAACGCGTAAACGCATATCTGCGGCGGAATTGAAAAGGAGCATATCGTATAAATACTACATGAACTGAATGCTATTGCGAAAAAATAAAATCCATAGATTCCATACAGGTTTTGTGTATTTCTTTCGCATTCAAATTAAACAAATTCCAGAGAAAAATCCAATTCGGCCACCAGGCTAAGTGGAGGGTAAGTTGTTACAGAAAGAAGTTGAGGTAATGTTTGTACTGGAAGCTGTTGAGGGTAGTGGATATATTTAGTGAAAGCTCTTGAGTGCCGTGGTACCTTACGAACCTATACACATAATTTTTGATGTAAAATTTGACGATTCATAATAGGGCGCAAGGGTCTATTTGAATAAATATATTTTTGATTTTGATTTATAATATGCCTGTGATTTTTATCGAGGATGCATCATTTAATACAAATAAATTATAACAACGTAGAAAAAAACTACTATCACTAAACATTAGTGTTAAACCTGTAGCAAAATATTAAAAAAATGTATAGAAAATGTCCCTTTTCTCCAAGATTCATGAGCAACGTGTGCATCGACAATATAGTATTGGCACTCGTTGTCGGTTTCTTTGACTCTGCCTCCACTGAAATATCATCAGGTTAACGTGTGGACACAATTTCTAACCAACGTTGGTAGCAGCAATTCAGGACAGGACACATTTTTACACAGCGACATTTAGCTTCTACGGTACTAGGTAACTCTTAAACATACTTAAACTTACCTTTTCATTGTAAATGAATACATATAATGATATATTAACACCCAGGAAATCACTATGTTCGTCACTCAATATTTTCAGTAGTGGGAACCCACACCCTCTGGCTCAAGAGGCAGGTTAACTAGAATCGGGTCTTCAAATTAAGGAAATTTTTGAAGTGGAAGCTCTTGAGTTAGCAGGCTTTTCTCTAGATCTCTCCCTCTGTAAAGGGAAACGGCTAAGACGATTTCTTTACATAGCATTTGCCGTAATCCATGATCCATCGGACTCTGCGAAATCAGATAAGCTAAGCAATACGACTTGAGACATTGTTAAGATTCTATAGACGATAGACGAGTGTAAACTGTTACACACTTCATTGTGGTAAAGCAGTATTTCGACATGTTTCGATCGTTAATACTATAGGAAAGCGAAAGGCATTGCACGCTGGACTGTATGTGTGGAGCAGAGTCCATGGTTTATCTGATGCCCCGTCCTGCCTGCCAATTTTACCTATTCGCAGCAAGATCTGAAATGTCGCAGTGGCTTAGTTCTGGGCCGGTAAGAGATGATTCGTCATAGACACGTAAAGAAGAAGTTTGCACGCTGTTGTTTTATTTTTCCTGTCATTACTAAAATAGTTAATGAAGAGAATGACATAAAAATGGGGGTAAGTGAATGAAAAAAAAAAAAAGACTACAAATAAATACATTTATTTCCAATAAACAATAACATAGCTGCGTGCAGTTGCGCGAATTAAAATAGTTGCATTATAATATAGTTATTTAACCTCCCTAAATAATTCTTTGGACGATCTTTCTAGAACTGGTAAGGGCTATATTAACTTGCTGACACTGATTTATTAATAAACTAAGTAAAAGCGTAATAAAATTATATTCAAAAAGTTACGAGTTAGATACTACACATTATCACTGGTAACGAAGATACGACAATTAAATCACACGTTATTAATTTTCCTAACGAATACATTTATTGAGGTTAAACCTTCACCATTAATATCAGCGGTAACTAAACTAAAACATATATTAGTCTATATATTCACTACTCTTTCTTTAAAAAAAAAAATAACTGTTAGTTTCAAAACGCTCCTGCATACATTTTAATTAGCATTCGGCCCGACGCCCTGCATGCTGTAGTCTTAAATTCTTACAGACAATACAAAAATAATCTCCGCGTTTCGCATTTGACACGTGACATTTTAAAAGCACCATTTTTTGTTAAATTTCATGCATTAATGGGGTATAGTTCTCCGAAGTAAGTAATTCAATGTACAATATACCAAAGCATATTTTAATGACAATTTGAATTTGATCGATTATTTAACCATAACTTTAATCAATCAGGAATACGCAATTGATTCATAACAACGATAATGTCGGTTTTTTTAACAGTTTGCTTTTTATTACTGCATATTTAAACTTGTCGCGGTTGTAGAAGTGACATCGTATGTAAATTTGTTTAAAGACACATTTAATATTTTGAATTTAATTATTTCATATTCATATCAGAAAATATAAAACATTAAAAGCAGACAACATAAATTATACAGTAAACAGATACATAGTTGCTTAATAAAAACAAAGTTGTAATTTTTGTTGGAGGAGATCATGGATTCAGTTGTAATTAAACAAACAACCTATACACCTATCCAACTTATTATAATACGCGAAGATATTTATAAATATCACTTAAGTATCTCTGAGAAAATCTGAATTAAAACGAACATTAGCTTCTTATTGGCTGAACACAATTTTTTTAAAATATTTCACGCTATAAGATTAGAGAGACGAAAAACTGAAATCCTTTTTTCAAATTTATTAGTCAACGTTATTACTTACAACGATACAAACTTAAAACCTGAAAAGGACAACATTAAAGAGCAGCCAGATTTCTAACGATTCGATTTCGTAGCCGTGACTAGTCTTCGCAGGTTAGCTTGGCGATAGCGAGTTTTGCCCCTGCCTACCACTGTACGCTCATAACTGGTTTAGCGATACTTACTAATCGCGTGCGAGGCCGAAGTTGCTGCCGCTTAACGTATCGTGGTAGCGGTCAAGGTGAGTTCGAGGTCACTTTAGGTGTTACGAACCTAAAGGAGTTTTGTATTTTTTCATCTAATTTTGTCGTAATAATAACGTATTTTTGTGCTATACGAAAACGCTGATACAATTAAACCACGCAGTAGCGCTCCGGTCTGGCTCGGGGATGACTGCATTACTATGCTAACTCGCGAAGGCATAGTTCGTAAACAATTCGAGAATTTACAGTTCAAACATGCGCGATGGCGACATAGCAGCGTGGACAACGACTTTATAGCTTTTGTGTATACATAGTTAAATATGTAGGATTCGCTATGTTAGTCCATGCAAGACGATCATAGGTAAGCACCGAGCCTGTAAAGAAATATTTAAATATAAATATCATGTTATTATAGAAGTTTAATATACATACATTATTAGTGTAAAAATTTGCATGCAAAAATATTACAGATCCAACTCCATGCAAGTTTAAAAATGTAATAATTATGAAATCTAAGGATGGAGTTCATTAAAATCAATGCAAACGTTGCCTTTTAGTAAATTTTATTTATTATTATTAAATTTTAGGCAAATTATTTCGCACAAAAGTTAAAAAGCGAAGTTAATATTTGGGCTTGTTCCCGTGTCATGTTGCACTGGCGGCTGAATGTTTTTAAATAAAATTATCAAACGAAGCCGCGAGTAAAGCTAATGTATGCAAGAAAAAAAGCTAAAAACATTAAATATTCCTCATAACAGATATACAATCATCATATTTAATAAAATAATTATCATCTTGAAAAATTTTCACCAGGAATAATATAAATGCTAACGAAGAACTTTTGTATAATGTATTGCGGCTTTCAAGCGATTTTTAGTTGAGGGGCATCGATTTGACGATTGAATAGACAAATATTTTGCCTACCTCCAAATACAAATGAGATATGAAGCTACTGGTGAAATGTGCAAAGATGCAAAAACATGCAAACAAACATGCGAGTATGCATTAGAAAAGAGTGAGTTTTGTTTACAGTTGCGAGTAGAACACGAACATAAAATGTAAACAAAAAAAATTATGAAAAATTATATAAAGCAAATATAAACAATGCCACGACTATTCCAGCGATAAACATGAGTGGATGTAGAATAACTCCGCGCAAATACGTAATTATAACTTATCCCTAAGTATCAGATATAAATAGAAAACAAACAAATGTTGCAAGTGTACGGTGCATTAAAAACGAACAGTTGAAAATGTACATAGAGTGATTAAGTTAGTTTAAACACAAACCTCACTTCAAAAGAATCCCAATAACGACCTAAATAAACAAATCATTAATAACAAGTTTCACTGCAAGATATCGAGAAAGGTTATTTACAAGAGTGGTACGAACATAAAAAATATAACAGATGCTACCAAAATGCACAAAAGTCAATGGACGGGCTGTAAGGGATAGCATAATATTACAAATCAAGCCCGTAGAGTAGCCCATATAAGAAGTAAAGGCGTAGTATGGATACAACTTTTTGCAGTAAACAATAATTCGTAGATTCTTGGAAATATGAACGTTAAAATCTTAAACATTCTAAAAATAATGAAAAAGAATAAAGTCTTTATTTATATTTTCATTTTTAACAAAGGTAAAATTCTCGGTGTCATAAACTAAGTTTTAATATCATTCAAATAGTTACTTTTTATTTTATTGAATATAAACTAGTATTGATTGAAGTGTCATGCGCTACTTTAACCTATGATATTGATAAAAATGTTATTAATTGACTATTTGCTTGTCCATATTAAATTATTTACTATACATTGTATTATTTATTATTAGATAGTGATAGCATATGTTTACATGATAATTTCAAGAATAAAAAAAAAGACTGTTTCGCCAAAAGAAACAATTATCGTTTGTTCGATTGTCATTCAAGCCTCATATTAATCAATGTTGCTACCGAAATAAGAATTTAAATTGAATTATTTTTCTCCTCATATAAGAAAAATACAAAGAATCTCCGTCTATTTACCTGACACGAGAATGCAATGCTGCGCGTTCTTCGGACGGTGTGTCCCTCAAGAATGTAGAGGATAGGTTAAGGATGACCATAAGGCAACACAACAGTAGCGGACCCAATATGGCCCCTTCGGGACCCAGGTAGAAGATGCCACCGGCTATTGCCAGGCCCGTTACGTACGGGTGGCCGCCGCTGGAATAAAGGGCATTCATAAAGCTTTTAGTTTATTTTTATATAAAAGTTTGCAAACGAGTCCATGGGCATCTACAACACCTAAGAGGTTGAAATGTGAAAGTATAACACATTATCATTACGCCCGTTTTCTGAGGCCGTGACGAGCCTGCCCAATTGAGGAACGTATCATAGGAAAAATGTACACCTAACGATGTTTGTCAACATAAAACTTTATTGAAATACACAGAATAGCACGAGGGATTAAATGAAAGAAAGTATAAAATTTATCTAACCAAAACTTAATATGTACATGTACAAAAAATCTGCAAAGATAAATAGCAAGAAATAAATTACGACCACGTGAAATATTCACGACGGAAAGTAGTTCAATGGAGTAAACATAACTATCAATCATGGAAACGCAAGCGTCGACGTTGACTCACTCTTTAATCTCGGCGTAAACAGCGGCGTCCAGGAAGGCGATGGGCGCGGCCTGCGCTATCGGCAGGAGCAGGGCTGACATCGGCCGCCCCTGCAGCCACACGTCCAGCGCGGCCGGTAGACCGGCCAGGTAAGGCCCGAGGAACGGGGCGGCGCCGAGCACGGCCGCTAGGACTGGAAAGACCGCCCCTTAAGCCCATGGCCTTCAACCAGGGTCAGAGGTCGAGATAAGGACTTCGCGGCCCATTTCCTCGCACGCTATGGACGATCAGGCACCGCGTGGCTGGTTCCTTATAAGTTATACACTGGCACACTATACGACGGAATATATTTTAATTAACTTTCTTTTTTAGATTTACGCGGAAACTGCACATGGTAAATAAAAAAAAATGAGGTGTTTTAACGCGTGTGTTTCTTTATAAATTCCATATTATAAACAACGTATTATAATTTATTCCATATTATAATTTAAAAACGATAAATGAATTAAATTCCTTAAAATCGTTTCATTGACTGTTCATTATTCAATATAAACGTAAAAAACTTCAAAATCATTGTTCAAAATACAGGATCTTTGGAGGAGATTCTTAAATTAATTGTGGATGTCCATGCTCTATGTTTTCTCAAAATGAGAAAATAATTGTAAGAGAAAACTTTCAACACTAACATTCATATTTACTTACTTTTATATCAACACTTTCTGGATGTACATAAAAAGTAATATTTGTTATGTTTACTTAAATACTTTATAACAATCGGGCAGCAAAGGTCGCAACATAAAATCCAAACAAAATAGTACGTTTATTAAAAAACAATGTAGTGTAAATAATTTTTTTATCATGTCTTCTTACTATCGCTCTGTTTTGGAGGACGCAATTGGGCGTACACATATTTATAGAACTCTAAGGCCTTCTGTCTGTCATAAGCGACTGTATTTCTGCATTGGGTTCCAGTGCAATGGTTATCGTAAACGTTCTTTTGTAGCGTTTTAGGTGCCTCCAGTTTACTATGGCTAGTTCTTGTACTGCGCAGAGTCTCGACAAAGTCTTTGGACGAGTCGAAAACAACTTTGATTGTTGTTCTATTGGTCATGTTTAGATGACTGTCTTTCAAAAGGTCTTCCTTATCTATCGCTGTCATCGCTGCACTAGCGTCTCCTTTAGGCGCGTTGGCTTGTCTTATTAAATAAAAGGTTGGAGCCGGCTCGGTAACATCTTCATCGGTTGTTATGATGTTATTTGTCGTGTGTCTGTCATTGTATAATAGGCACATGACTTGCGCGTCCAAATCGATATGGCACATAGCGCTGTCCATCAAAAATTTTACAACCTCAACGGGAAGTTTACACGGAGCAGACATACAGGTATTGGAGTTCGTGACATTTAAAATGACACCGTGGAGTTCGTTCCTTACCGGAGACGTAAGGAACGCTATATTGCGACATCTACAATCCAATTCGTTCTCTTGGTACATCACCAACGAACCTATGGATCTGCAGCTCTGATAGTCGAAATTCAAAGAGTACGGCTCGACGTTCTCTATTTTGTTCCTGATAAATCTAAAATGTTTCTTGTTCGTTCTACGTCTTAAGCATTTAACGTTTGTGAAACCGTTACTTCTCAGCATCTTTATAACATTATCTGTGAAGTCCGTTTTTACGGCGTTGAGCATCAAGCCATTCGCACGTATTTCTTTGAAGCTATTCCTATTTACATTTAAAATCTCCGACGTTAAGTTAATGCTATTGGCAACAATATCGTTGAATACATTATTCGAAATTATCGCGCTTTTGCTTTGAACGGTGATGCTTTTGGATTCCAAGTTGTCAATGGTGCAATTATTTATTGTAAAAACTGTGTTATCGTTGTTGAAAAAGGCTTCTATCGCTTGCGTTTGTATATTTGCGATGGTAACATTGTCAAACTCGACGATTTTCGCGCCGCTTACGTTAAAGATGGCTCGAGTATTGATTGTGTTAATATTACTATTGGCAAAGCGAATTTTCCTCGGCCCCGGAGCACCAATACATTTCGACTCTATTGCATTGCTCGGCGATTTAAACAGTTTCCTTGGTAGTTTTACGACTTCCTTCACATCTTCTATAACAACTTCAGGCGGAATCTGTGTCAAAGTGCCAGACGCGAGTGTAACAAACTCAAGTCGGTCGCAATTCTTAACTTTGAACTGTTGCAGTCGCGATGGCCTTTGCAAATTCGGACAGTCAGTGACCACTTTCAGATCTCTGCAATTTTGTACGGTCAAACTTACTAAATGATCCGTATAATAGTCTCTTAGATGTACAACGAATTCCTAAAACAAGGGAAACCCATCATGTATATAAGTATACGAGTAGGTGGCTTGGTAGTAAGTGATAATTTGAAATACTCACATTGCTTCGTGTTGCGGCACAATTATAAACAAGTTCACTAGGTATGTTGTTGTTACAATTCCAATCCGGCTGTTGGCAACTTGTAAAGTTGATCCTTACGGCGTGAGTCAAACGCAACAAAAGAGTAAGTAGCAGTATAAAGTTTCCGCAAGTCATTGTCACAGACCCGATGATAAAATGGCATTTTTTTCCCACCACGCGTCTGTTATAAGTTTTATCGGATCGCACACTAAACGTACAATTATAGACGTCACACCGTCCCACCAGACAGTATCATCCGGAGATAATACGGCCACTAAAATATCCGAAGCGAAATGTAACGGAGTTAATTTTATCATTTCGACCACTTTGAGCGTAAGTTCAACGACATGCCACCAGGATGTGGAGTTATTTGGGCAGAAACGAGTAACAAAAAATTATGTAAGTCAAGAAAAATCAAAGAGTGAATTTACAATTTGATTGACTTATATTTGATTGAATTAATTATCAACGAATTAACGGTGCGTAGACGTTATACTAAAATAATTTTACACAATTATATCAGGTGTATTTTATTTGGCGAAATGAAATTCTGAAATGGCTAACAAGTAGTAAGTTTTTTTACCAATTTTAAGACTGAATGGACTTTATCGGCGTCGTAACAAAACATATTTTTAATGTAAGTTTTTCAATCAAATTTCAAGTAATTCATTTAAATGATGTGAATTTTTATAGAGCTATTCTCTGCGCTTAAGATGAAATTATAAATAAAAATTAATAAAAACTGAGACTTTCTTAGATGTGAAGATAAACGGTTTAGGTATGGTAAAGGACGTAGGTTCAAATCGTCGCAATGGCGAAAAATTTTTCGTCCATTTTTCTACAAATTTTTACGTACAATTTCATGTTATTTCATTTGTCATTTTAATTTCATGGCGATAAAGTGTAGCCGTCATCTTAAATTAACATGAGTGTCACCTTGTCGCTAGTCGAAGCTCTTATCTCAATGTACCATTCATGTCAATGAAACGAGATTTATTAAATACTAGCTGGCCCAGCAAACCTTGTTTTGTCATATAAATGATTTATAGGGATTTTGTGAATCTGGACACATATAAAAAGAATTTTCGGAACGCACCCATGACAGGTAGGAACAGTTTGTATGGGAAAATAATATTGTTGCTATTTCGATTTTCCATGCAATTTTTCCATAACTTCTCATCGCTTAAACCTTCCTTGGACTGCCACAAATATTTCAAAACCAAAATTAGCCAAATCGGTTCAGCAGATCTCGAGTTTTAGCGAGACTAACGAACAGCAATTCATTTTTATATATATAGATACAAATTACATTAAGAATATTGCTTATATAGGTGTCAATATGATTAATAAATGTTTAATAAATATAATTTAAATGTTAAACATTTATATGTTAAACATGTTATTTTGCTTTTCGCGCTACAATCATCTCAGCGTTTCGTTACAACCGCGACAATAAATGAACACACGTCAAACGCTACATGCCAATATTCATAAAAAATATAAACGTTAAAAAATCCATAATAAAAAAAATTCAAACATACTAATTTAGTAAAAAAAAAAACAAAATTTGTAACATCCTATACAACTACAACTGACTGCTTCATACATTTAGAGTTTTTCATTCGTTGCCACAGCGTCGCATTACAAGCGTTTGGAAAATTTAATAGTTCGGTACATATTGATGTTTAAAGAATGTAAATGTTTAATACAATTTTAAAAACTTATCCTCTATGTGTGTATTCATTCATTGTCGCGATTGTAAAGATACGCTGTATACGTCAAACAAAAACTTTGTACCCATTTTTACGAAAATAGTTTGTTAGAAAATAGTTGCAGTTGATGAATTTGCAAAAATAAAAAAATAAACATTAGGTTAACGGGGGTATACAGAAAAACGAAAAGCATGGCAAGTGGTTGCAAGCCAAAAAGTCTGGGATCGCTGTTTTCCAGTAATATATTCACTAGTTTGCTTGTACTACGAGTTTCATGTCGGTGTTTTTGTCGTATTATGAAAACGACACAGCAACGTCTGCCTTTGCAGGCCAGGAATTAATATGTGCATAACATAAGAGGCATTCACTTACCCGACGGCAGATAGACAACTTTCGCACCGAACAGATTGTGCACCAACCACGTCCATAGTCCGTAGAACAACGCCATCTTGAATGACGCCCTAAACACCTGCCGAATCGAAACAATTAAATAACTATCTACGGCTATACCATAGCTTATGTATATATTCTTTAATTTTTATTTTATTTGAATGCTATTTCATTGCGAATTAGGATATTTTTTTCCTGTAATGCTAGATGTGAGGTGTTAATTCCGTGCAACAGGCACTGTTCTATCTCTACCACAATAAACCCAATTGTCTTCTATGATCTTCTCTATACGTAGTCTAAATCTGAGGGTTGTCTAGAACGGAATGGAACGGAATAGGTTACCTGATTGATGGCTACTGACAACGCGAGGCCGAGCCGCGGCCCGAAACTGGCTTGAACCCTGGTAATGACCTCCACCGGCTTGTAGAGGGCGTTGCTCGAAGCCAACAGGTAGAACAGCGTCGTGAAGAATACCACCTACGGGGTTTATAGATACCGTTTCTGATTCAAGAGAACTTAAACATGCTTTTGGAACTGATACAACAATTGCGAAAAGGCCACGAAGCTAAGGTTACAATATACTATCCGGATATACTGACCTTAGCTTCGTAAATGAAGTTTAACCATAATAAAGGAATTTCAATTTCGCAATTTGTGATTGAAAACCAAAAGTTTCCACCTCATGAACACACCATCGAGAATCTCAATATAATTTTTTGTCCTAGATGCGGTTTTGCGATACTGTCTGAACAATATATATTGTAGAATATTCAGCAAGCAGCGAGTAGCGTTCGCCCACACCAACGTTCACGCACTCACCAGGTTGATGAACATATTGGATGATGGCACCGCCACTGCATAGCAGCAGCGAGTTAACCACGGCCAGCAAGCAAGTAAGCAGGGAGTAGCGTTCGCTCACACAAACGTATACGCACTGACCACTGCCAGCGAGACCGTATAGCAGCAGCGAGGTGACCGCCCCCAGCGAGCGAGCAAGCAGCGAGTAACGTTCGCTCACACCGAAGTATGCGTACTCACCAGGTTGATGAACATATTGATGATAGCGCCGCCGCCGCATAGCAATAGCGAGGTGACGGCCCCCAGCGAGCCGGCGAGTAGGGAAACGTTGCTCGCCAGCGGCGCCCAGGCGCTAGTGGCGATAGCGCCCAGCGTGCCAACGTTCGCGTACACCCAAGACACGATACCAGTATAGTCGAATAGACCTATCGGGGTGGTACCACGCTATACGCCAGTTGCACAAAAATTCTATATTTTTATAAAATATTTTTTATTGACGAAAAACAAAATCGACTTCAAATATCTCGCTCCGTATTCATTTTATAATTGATTTTCCTAAGTATCTACAGATTCGATAGCCATGAAATTAATATGGGACCACATGGGAAGCACCAGCTTTCAAATAAAAAAAGAATCATCAAAACCGGTTCACTGAGTTGAATGTTGTGAGGTAACAAATATAAAAAAAATACAGTCGAATTGAGAACTACCTTCTCTTTTCGTACAAGCCGTCCCATATGAATGATACCACAAAACAGCATTTTGCATCATCAAACTTCATTTTTAATATGTATATAGTTTAAATTTCCTAAAGTCCTTATCTCTGCACTTAAGATTAATCATTCAAATTTGTATAAAAAGGACGAAAAGTTTCTCGCCGCTGCATGCTGTTGGAATCGAACCCACGTATTTCGGAATCGCGCCCACGCGCTTTAACAACTAAGCTAAACGGCCGATTGCCACACCAACGAAAATCTCAACGTCTTTCATATTTGTTTTGTTCACAGCGGCGAAAGACTTTTCATCCTTTTTTATACAAAAATTTTAATATGCATTAATTATGAGTCTTCAAGAATTTTTAAAATACTACTTTAAAAATTTAGCTTAAATTTTTTCGAGGGGGATTTCTTACCGGGGGTATAGGCTCCGTTGTTTTCAATTTTTTCGAGGGGCACTTACCGGGGGTATGGGCTACGTTGTTGACAAAGTCGTCCCAGGAGTCCTGGACGGCGGTGCTGTCCACCTGCGGCCCGACGTTCCCGGCGAAGTGCAGAGACACCCAGCTCTGGTAGACCCTGTCCCAGATTTCCAGTATTTGCTCCTCCACGCGCGCGATCTTGTCCGGGTCCCCCTCTTTTAGGATGCTCTTCACCTGGCGGCGCGGCGGAACGGAACGGTTGAACTTCAGATTTTTTTTTTCACCTTAGAAGTTGGCAGGCGAGCTTTTTTTATGTGAAAAAGTGGCAAACGGGCTGGCGGTTAACCTGATGTCAAGTATAATAGTCAAAACCTCCTGCTCATGGACATTTGCAACATCCGTAGCTTTGCATATGCGTTGCCACCTCTTAATAAAGTGGGCCCCGGCTACCACACTCACCAGACGAAATGCGAAAGTGTAATACCCCACTTGACGCCGGTCTTCTGTGAGGTCGTGTGTCCCCGGACGGATCTGCCTATTCGTGCAACGCTGAAGACTGTTGCGTGGCAACAATGATCAAAGGTTGGCTTTAAAAAAAAATCAAAGCTTAATTGACCAAGGTTATTTGCGTCAATTGTAAAATGTTTCATCGTGTCAAGGCTAATAGGCTGTCATAATTCGCTCACACCAGCTGGTGAAATCTCGCTATATTAGCAAATAGTAGTCTTTACAATTATGGTCTATATTTTAATTTTAACTCATTCTTTATATTGCGTATTTGTAAAATATAATTACTTACAAGACGTAATCTACTTAGTTGGAATGCTAATAGCTAAATTAAGGTGAAATTTGAAAACATTTTAAACTACGGGAAACTGGATTAAAACACATGGGCTGATATTCGCTAATGATTTTTGATTCTGAAATGAAACTATACACCTTCTAATATCTAACAAAGTCAGGTTAATCAAAGCTTAAATATGTCTCCCACCTTATCGCCGAAGTTTAAATGTTGTAATATCTGAAATATTTCATTAAATTTAGCTTCTTATTCTAAAGAAACAAGAATTTATATATATGAAAAATAATACGATTACAACACTTTGCGACAAGTTTATGCATAATAGAAATTTGTTGTAGTTAAAGATTAGCTGATAACATTAATAAAGTTAAAAAGAAAGTTGTTAGTACTCTATGACGATACAGCAATGTACATATGTAGTATAATACATAAAAAATTTAAATAAAAACCACATCTAAGTTTCAGTCTTAAACCATATCTAATTTGTATTTTAACTATCTTAATCTACAATATCTGGAATTTGGAAGACTCAAAAAGCAGACTTATTCTATCAAATTTATTTCACCCCATTTTTGTCAGACTTTTAAATAGCGTAGGGCGGGAATAGTCCACAACGCGACCCTAATGCGGATTGGAAGACTTCATATCTTGGAAATATTTTTTTGGTATTATTTTTTATCCACGACATTTTCCGGCACAAATCCCATTGCCAACACTTGGATTAAAACCCATGTTGTTAGAGTATAATAAATTAAATATAAGAACTGAGCTACCCCGCTAAAAATAAGAAATGTTGATGATTAATAAAATTAGATTTTAAAGAAAATACACGGTACAAAAAGCAAACAAATATACACTTACATAATTTCTAATCTAGAAGTGTAGTTGCGTCCAGTGGTAAGCAAAAATGAAATAAAATAAAAATTATTCACAGAGAAATTTATAACACTTAAAACCAGACTAACATGTCCTAAAAGCGATAAACAATTATCATTGTTATATTCCTACGAATAAAAAAGATATGAAATTATTTTATAATACAAAAAGAATTTAATATGAAGGTATATGGAATAAAAAAAAAAAGCAGAAAACTATTCAGAGACTAAAGCTTTAATCCCTACATACTGCAAATGAATTTATTATTCAGCGTGTCGTTACAACCGCGACAATAAATAAACACACGTCTAACGTTACATGCCAATAATCATAAAAAATTTAAACTTTAAAAAAATCCATAACTAAATTTTTTTTTCAAATAAACTATTAAATAAAAAAGAAACAAACTTTGTAACATCCTATACCTCTACAACTGACTGATTCATACATTCAGTCTTTTTCATTCGTTGCCACAGGGTCGCATTACAAATCTCTCCTTCTCGTATGTTTTATCTCTTTTAAATTCATTGAACCTATGCATATGCTTTGTGACCTCTACAAATGAACTTTACGTTACAGTTTTATACGTAAGGGTGTTCTAAAATTGTTTGTTTTGAAAAATTTAACAACTCGGTAAATATTGTTATTGGTTGCTATGTTTAAATAATGTAAATGTTTAATACAATTTTAAAAAGTTATCTTTTATATGTGTGTTCATTTATTGTACGACACGCTGTATAAGAAAATTATAGAAGGATATTTTCAAAATATGTATATAGTATGTTCAAACTACACAAAAAACGCTAGCTAACCATTAAACACTTTAAAACCCACCTTTATAAGTAATCGAGGCTCAAAAATCCGTTGTAAATTTCGTAAAGGACAAAGAAAAAAAAAAAAGCTGTAAGCCAAATAAAATAGTATTGACAATGTTAGATAATATACTTACAGCTGTCGATATTCCCTCCCTTCCGTATGTATAAGCATTATCAATAAGCGAATCGAGCTGCTCGTTCCATCCCTCGGGCAGGTAATTCTGCAGTGGACTGTGCTGAACAAACGTACTGTTGAGGAGGCTGCCACTCAGCTGTACCACGACAATCGCTTCGGAGTAAATCTGGTAAACGTAAAATGTTTCAATAAGGCACTTGCAACTAGTATAGAAAGCGCGACTTAAGTTTGGTGAAGATATCGCAAAATGAAATCATATAAAGTAAAAATTAAGTTAATCACTGTTCACAAAACAGACAGCATCGTTTTTCGAAATTTCACATTGATTGAAAGAGACAAAACGATCAAGACATATTAATGAATGATTGTCTTCAGCTCTTTTTTACAGCCAATAGTATTGTTTCGGTAAGAGAAAATTTTTTAATTAAAGGAAAGTTTACCTTAAATTTTTCGTATGAAAGATTAGGGTAGAATTACATTAATTACTAGCTTTTCGCCCGCGGCTCCCACTGAACCCTTCGCAATTCGCAGATTTTTTAACTTTATATTATAAACTTCATCATCATCATTCTACAGACCATAATTATGCAGTTTAAAATAGTTTCAACTAATTTAACTTATAAAAAATAGTTTTATCCAATTCAACTGAAGCTGTTATAATAAAAAATTATTAGAATGAAGAATTGGATGGACCCTATCATGCTAAACTAGAGGTATATATATTTTTGAATAACCTAGGAATTGGATAGGTATGTACCTGAATGCAGACGAATACAACGGCGACGGTGACGAACAGTATGAGGCCCACAATCACTATGCAAGAGGATACAGTGTCGACTGAGCTGTGCGCCATCTCAGTGACGCTGCTGTTGCAGATGGATAGCATTTTGCATACGCCACGTATGTGTGCCGGCATCAAAGCAGATTGTCTGGAAATTAAGATCTTCACCATACACATGGGTAAGGTGGCAAAGGCATTTTTTTGCCGCACATTGACATTTGCAAGACCCATAGTCGGTATAGGTTGCAGATGCGATGCTTTCTTATACCTTATATGTAAAGTGGGCCCAGGCTACTTCACTCACCAGACGAAACGCAGAAGTGTAACATTTTCACTTCACGCCGGTCTTCTGTGAGGTCGTGGTACTTACCGCGGACCTGCCCATTCGTGCAAAAGCGAAGACTGTTGTATATTATATTGTTTTATACAGCGTGTCGTTACCATCGCGACAATAAATGAACACACATATAGATGATAACTTTTTTAAATTGTATTAAACATTTACATTCTTTAAACATAAATATTTACCGAGTTATTAAATTTTCCAAAACAAACAATTTTAGAACACCCTTACGTATAAAACTGTAACGTAAAGTTCATTTGTAAAGGTCACAAAGCATATGAATGGGTTGAATGAATTTAAAAGAGACAAAACATACTGTTAGAAGGAGAGGCTTGTAATGCGACGCCGTGGCGCGAGTTGTATAGGATGTTACAAATTTTGTTTCTTTTTTACTCAATTAGTTTGTTTGAAAAATATTTTTTTTAATTATGGATTTTGTTTAACGTTAATATTTTTTTATGATTATTGGCAAGTAGCGTTAGACGTGTGTTCATTTATTGTCGCGATGGTAACGACACGCTGTATAAGTTATATTTGTATTCTGACATATGTTTAGTGTGCTCAATAAAATAAAATAAATATAGAGAAAATTAAATAATATGCCATAGTGGTAAGTGAAATGAAACAAATGAAAACGTCTTGAAAATTGTAAGTTATCACTAACCTGTCTCCCCACCAACCTTTAACTTTTGCCATCAAGTTATTATAGTAATTTTCAAAGAATAACCAAACTCCAAAGAAGTTCAACATCCATTTGAAGAAATGTATCGCCAAGAAGAACAGCATTACGGGCAGTAGCCATATGTGTTTCCACACGAGCATGCAGAAGCATGCGAAGAAGAGAAGCTTGAAATATATAGCGGATTCATCATCATTGTTGAAATTGTTTCTCATATAGTTCTCGTCAAGTGATCTTTGCTTGAATGAGGCCAAAATTCTGTTCTCTACAGATGGTTTTGTTTTAAGATTCGATAGGGGTAAGGCCGATAATGTTCTGGTTTTGAATAACATTTTTGCATGTCTAGGTGAACTCTGAACAGACTCATTTCCAGTCCAGCTTCCCCTCTTTGTAGTTGCGTCTGGAGTGAGAGGACTATCTTTATCGGGCGTTGATTCCTTATCACTGTACTCCTCTGGAATTGTATCGGTTGTTTCTGATTTGTCTATCTTATTCTCAGCTTCTTTTGCAGCAATTTCTCCATAGGAGCCATTAGTGATAGCCACATAAAGTGCAATTAGTATTGAAGTGTCAGGATCTGTAAAGCATTTATAATCATAATATGTTAGTAAGTACAAGTAACAATTATTGAATAATATATGAATAGAAAAGGATTTCATTTTCTTAGACTTTTATGAAGTATATTTAAATTTGCCCAATTAGCGTGGTCAGAGAGTGCTTCTTTTTCGTCAAAATAAGATTTTAAATGTAATATATACTCTGAGTTTAGCAATACACAAAAATTTATAGCATAATTTTTTACAAATTAAGATCCAAAAAATGAAAATGCTCTGTCTCTCTTGTAGATACTGTGTAATTCAAACATGATTATTTATGTATGATAAAAGTTGCGTTCGATGAAGACTTAAAGCCCACGGACTGAAAGCAACAGTAACATCAGTTTAAAAAAAAAGAAATGATAAAATTAAGGAATCTATTACTATGCTGAACTGCTTAAATACTATGAAAACTATAAACATATACAAATTAACATGAACAGAGTATAAGATTCCTATGCAAATTTTATATAAATTTTGCAGCAATTATATATTTTATACAAACCTTTTTTTAATTGCAATTGTTTATGAACATGAAGCACCTCAAGTACAAAACCTGTTAAACCAACTGCTTGCAAGACAACAAACATGTACACTTGGTATGAACCACACAAACTTGCCAAGTAACTAGCGATGACTAGCCAGAGAAGGTGTGATGTGGCCCGAAATATTCCAGACCTTTCAGGTGACCATAATGTATAAACACTTATGATGTATGCTAAGGCAAATGTTAGAGTCTGGAAAAAGAAAAATTATCCTGACATCAAATAACAGTCTGCAAGTAAATGTAAGTATACTGAACATATAAGATTTAATATCTTTATTCATTACTTATGTATAAATAATGTTAATATTAATAAAATTTAAGTTTATAAAAATACCATATAATATTATTAATATGATATGTTACACATTTGTATAAACTTAAATCATTTAATATGCCAATGCTATCTTGTGATCCTCAGTTACACAAACAAGTATTTTTGTGAAATGCAATCACACTGGAATTTGGAAGACTTTTAACAAAATACTATATATTTTATAATTATATTTAAACTTACTGTATATGAGCTGCATAAATGGATTAGCAATGTGGTTGATACTCCAATAAAACCAGTTATTTGCCAAAAAATGCAACATAGACTTCTCGGAATAGAGTTATACAGCCAGGGAAAAATGAATATAGCTGAGAGAAGGCCTATTATAGTCTGAAAATAATTTTTTTTTTCCTAAGTTTGTTTTTTTCAACTAGATATGTTTGTATTATTATCTCAGAATAATAAAATGATTAGTGATGAATGGTGGCACAAAATGCCAGCTTTTTGAGCTTATTGAATGTGTGTGGAGGGTCAAAGGCTCTAATTCATAATGTTTTTACAAAAATGGATGGACAGTTTTTTGCTACTGAGGGAGTGAAACCCACGTCTTCCAGATCGAGCTGTCCATGAATCGCATGATCACACTGTACATGGTCAATGTCAAGACAATGTAAAATTTTTATGTTTCATCTTAAGTGCAGAGATTAGCACTATAAAAAATTAGATCCTCTTATTCATTTCATAAATTGAATTTATGATACTTTGAGAAGCATACAATATAAAATACTGTTTCACCCAATTGTGTGTCAGTCTCAGTAAATTAATATGTAATTGGTAAAGGTAAATTTTATTTTAGAGTAAAGTTCACTTGCAGTGCATCAATAAGCAAAGCTAGAAGAATAAATAAAAAAAATAAGTATTTCAGTATGCATTTTTTATTTACATAACATTTTCTAGTCCAAAGCTCAGCAATGCTTGTACTATGGGTACTAGACAATAAATAAACTTACATAAAGATACTTTTCGTATGTAAATAAATACTTATATAAATATATACACATCCACTGGGAAAACACTATATTCAACCACAATATTTTTCCAGTAGTGGGGATTGAGCCCACACCCTCTGGCATACGAGACAGGGTCTCTCCTACCATATACACCCATTAGGCCAATTGGGTCGACACCCATTAGGGCCATTGGGTCGTCGTTGGGTCGTATATAATGTAATATCAAATCTTACCTTATAATGTTCTTTAAATTGATTTCCCACTGTGTCAGAGGCAAAGTTTACAATATTCACAGGTATGGCCATTAAACCAAATATAACTAATGTATTGGATTTTTCCAAATCCTCGAACCATGATTTTATCTGCTTTGATAATTTATATTTAAAAGGATGAAGTATCGATCCTACTAATAATGCCCATAGAAGAGGCTTGAAAAATGGTTCCAAAATAAGAAATAGTACGTATACCGCTCCGCAAGAAATAGCTAAAATGAACAAGGCGAAAGCGTTATAAAATCCATGTTTCATGGGCTTTTCGTTGCCCTCAGAGAGACCTCCTATTATATTAAATAAATTTTCAAACGGTGATTGCTGCATTTCTATACAGTTTGACAGAAAAGATCACTAAAACATTTATTAGTCTATTGGAAGGTGTAGTTCGAAATTGTTTTTAAATGAGATCATAGTTTTTTATGATTTTCGGTAACATAATCATAAACACCGAAATGTCAGTGAATTGACATTTGGCATTTGACAATGACATAACCCTATCATTTAGAAAACAATTTTATTGAAGTATTCTAAACAAAAATACAAAATGCTAAATACCTATTTTAATTTAAAGTTTTTTGAATATGTACTTTATCTCTTTTAATATGTAATATGTATATTATCTCTTTTTTATTTTTTTTATCTTATCCTTTTTAAAACGAAATGGGCACCGAAACTAGGTCTATCTCTGTCTATAATCCTTGAACAAGTGTTCAATTCAAGTGTAAAAAAAAACTTTTCCTAAAATATGTTTACATACGACATCGTACCTACATATAGCCAGAAATTCATGACCCAAACGGGCAAAGGATAGAGCCCCCTCGATCGATTTGGAAAAGGCTTTTACTGCTAAAGGTGGACCTACAACCTAAAAATACTAATTTAAGTACTAAAACTAACATTACAGCTTGTCTATAAAGTCTTGACATTAAATGCCGACATGCGTGTTGCAACCCTGTATAGTGTGACCAAAACGACTTTGATACTAGCAGTTCATTGAAGTAAAATGAGTAAATAAATAAGACAGTCATATTTTGTTTGTTTTATTTACAGTACCACTTATCAAAGCAGTTTTAATTAAACCAAACTAAAATTATTATAGTTATAAAAAGTGAGAATCTCTTTCACTCATCATCGGATTCTCAATCAACATCAAAAAACGTTTCGTCGCCTCTTTCATCAGCAGCACTGTCATCACTACAGCTGCTGTCACCACTGCTATTATCATCGCCTAAGCGAATAATCAACTCGTCTATGTCTCAATACAAACTACGTCCTCGCTCGGAGTGCTCTTTTTCGAGGGTCTCGACATGATGTCAGCCGTTTTTCCATGTTTCAGCTGTTAAGCCTCTTCAGCAAGTTGCTTTACATCACGTGACCCAACATTTTGTGCTGCTACTTTTTGTTTGGGCTAACCAAATGAGCTCAATAGAATTCAAATGACAGTGATACGGCGGAAGCCGTACCACTGTGTGCCCGTATTCTCCTAAAAGTTTATCAATGCTTTAGATGGGGCGAGGTTTGTTTTTTTTTTACTCATTAAATTTGGCTTTCTGAGCGTGTGATCAAAATCAATATTATTCTCGAATAGCCAAAGTTTTATCTCGTCTACGCGGGAACTAGAGGTGGGTGTCTTATTTGTCAGGACGGAGTGGTATGGCGCGTTATCGATAACTATGATTGAAGGATCGTGAAGATTTGATATAAGCTTTTCTTTAACTCATTTGGTAAAGTTATGCAGATTCATTTCAGAGTGGTAGTCTTCTAGTTTATTTATACCAGAAAATGTAAGGAGGCAGTTTGGCACACCCCTTTTCACTTCCAGCATAGACTATGATGTAACGCTTTCCTTTGATATGTCTTTTGTGATACCTTCGATGTTCGGAGATTGCCAACATTTTGTGACCTGGTGAGAAAATAGGTTCTTATTTATTGTGAACTAGCATTCACCCACGGCTTTGCCATGTATTTGCCAAGTATTTCATGTTAAGTTGGATAAAAAGAAGCCTAATATCCGTGTCCAAGTACCCTCTCATATGCCAAAATTTTACGCAAATCAATCTGGTAATTTTTTGTTTATTCAACGTGTCGTTACCACCGCGACAATAAATGAACACACATATAGAGGATAACTTTTTAAAATTGTATGAAACATTTACATTCTTCAACCATCAATATTTACCGAGTTATTAAATTTTCCAAAACAAACAATTTTACAACACCCTTACGTATAAAACTGTAACGAAAAAGTTCAATTGTAAAGGTCACAAAGCATATGCTCATTTAAAAGAGACAAAACATACTGTTAGAAGGAGAGGCTTGTAATGCGACGCTGTGGCGCGAGTTGTATAGGTGTTACAAATCTTGGTTCTTTTTTACTTTATTAGTTTGTTTGAAAAATATTTTTTTAAAATTATGGATTTTGTTTAACATTAATATTTTTTATGATTATTGGCAAGTAGCGTTAGACGTGTGTTCATTATTGTCGCGATGGTAACGACACGCTGTATAGTAACAAATAGATAGAGAGAAAACCTGCACATTTATAACTAAGCAGGATAGGATATATAATGTGAGGTAATAACAAATAAATAAATAAGTACAAAATATAAAACTATAACAAAGTAGCTAAGAGTTATAAGTATGTATGGGACAAAATAAAGCTGATAAATGAATAAAGAAATAAAATAAATAACTTTTAATATAAAACGTCTACATAAACTTTTGTATGAATGAATCAATTATTCCCTTTGCAATTTTGGGCTTGTCAGTTGGAACATGTTGTCCTGCACCACGAATCATAACTTCCATAAAATTTCCTGCAGTTTTCAGATATCTGAAATAAAAATAACTTTAATAAAACTTTAAAACTAACTTTTAATAATAAAATACTGTAATGTAAATAGTATGAATCCTAATTCATGAAGTAGGTAAACGACAATTGTTTTAAAATATATTTTTTTCGTAGGCATTAAATGCATTGAATATTACAATAAAATTCAAATTACACGGGTTGATTTTACCGACATTACAAAAAACTATTGATTACATAATTTTATGTAATTTCGTAAAGTTATTATGATGATGTTAATCATATGAAAGGTAAAGAGCTGTTGAACGACAATCACACAAGTGCCTAATTAAGTATTTTAATTGGTGATGTAAAGTCCTTAACAGCCGTTACAACACATGTCTTTAGAAATGAGCTAAAATTGCATTAAGGATTAGGGATAAATAATTATAATGATTAAATAAATGATATATATAAGATACTAATTTTATTGTTTATGAAAAACAGGTAAAATATTTTTTTTGTTTAGTTTTACCTTCCTTCCCGTTTGTTTCAATCTTTTTGCCTTCCTCTTGTAGTTAATGATAAGGTTTGCGGCAAAAGAGACCATTTTCGGTAATAACATATAATTTACACATTATTAACATTGTATTGCAATCTTTTGAAGTTAAATGCATGTCAAATGCCAATATTAATAAGACTTTTAATTGGTATTTTTGATACGTGTAGAATGCTTGGACAAAAATTTGATTAGTAGCCGCTGCTGAGATTTAACTGTATTGAAGTAAAATGATGACAGCTATTGATTTTCATGTGTATGGTTAAACTTACCCACGAATTGTGTTGTCGGAATCGAAAATTGGCTCCCTCCTTGCTTTAATATATGCTTCTCGTCCAGACCACTCAAAGTTTCTATAAGATTCTGCCAAAAGTGCATATGCCATAAGCATGTCTTGTTGTCCACTGAATTTTAAGAATGTGTTTAGTTAAAACATATAAATAAATACGATATTGTAATGTCATGTAATGTAAGAGAAATTCATACGCATTTTGATAAGATACAAAACAAAGGCGGACTAACGTTGACTGTATTTCCTACCAATAAACCTTCTGCAGTACCTATACACGGATATGGATATAAAATGATTGTAACATATTCTGTTACAATAACATATTATGATTTTATACATCAATGAAAATATTATTTGCTAATAATGGAAAATAATGGTTAGATATTTGCAGCAACAGGATAATATTAGTTAATAAGTTACCTGTAACACAATACTCCATAATGCTCCAATAATTCTTCCAACCATGGCTTGACCGTCAGATAGATTTCATTATATATTTTTGTTTGTACTTTGTAATGAATCAAATCGAACCCTATTACCCCTACATGCAGTAGCTTCTTTATTTTTTTCTGATTTAAAAAGACCATGATATCAGTTTCCCAATTTTCTGGGAGGTCTTTCAAAAAGTTTTGGTCGTCGAATGGTGCAAATGTTTTCAATATATTATACGCTTTTTTGGCATTCTACAAATCGGTTAAATTGTTTAATTAGATTCGGATTTAATTAGATCGGATTATATGGCTGATATACTCGTATTTATAGTATAATAGACAGAAATTCTAACATTATTTCGATTAAATGTAAACGTAAAGTAGAAACTCACAACAGTTTTTATTAATGTACACAAGTAGTTTTAAGTTATTTTTTTAGTTTTTAGCTGTGTACACGTAATTGCTTAGCGAATATGCTGTCACAGTTTTAAATCACGGTTCTAGACGCGTAACTGAAAGAAGCAGGTTCGAATCCCGCAGCGCCGAAAGTTTTTGTTAATTTATCTAGAAAAATTTACAATTTAAAATCACTGTTAAATCTTAAAAAGACATTCATATTACATACACCTGAATAGTGGTATACGTTTCCTTCGTCCCAATATTTCCGCGCTTTATTCTCTACTTCTCTTATAAGCTGCGCTTGATTTTGATCAACAAATCCCTGTTGAAGCGCCCACTCGGAATAGTGAAGAAGATTAGGCGGATCTAACCAACCATCCCCGATTATCAAACCCTGAAATTATTAGTAATGTTTTGTGTTACTTTTTGTTATTTTTCTTGCGAGAGAATTTTACTCTTGGTACTAAATCGATATTCAATATTTATTCTTCAAAAAAGAGCTGTCCGAGCAATTTATAACATCGGAGCCCGGAATACACTCAGAAATCTTTTTAAAGAGATTAATAATAATAAAACTTAATAATAAAACTTTTGCGTCTCAATATATTTATTGTAATATTTTGTATGTTAAACATAATATTAATAATTATCTAAAGAATAGTGACAGACATAAACTACATACTAGAAATAAGGACAAACTAACTACGCCATTGTTCCGTCTACAAAAAGTAAACAGGTCATTCATGGGGCAAAGTGTGCGCATGTATAATAAAATCCCACAGTCGATATTAAGTCTGCCATTTGATGAATTTAAACGAAAAATTAAAAATAAACTTATGGTACCTGTACTATTACATTGTAAACGGATTTAAAAAAAAAGAGCAACTGTTGAGTTTCTTGTCGGTTTCTTCTCAACAGAAACTGCTTTCCGAACCGGTGGTAACTTACGAACGTGTTTTCTTTGTTAAATTTTGACGTTTCATAAGAACGCGCAAGCGTCTATTGGAATAAAGATATTTTATTATTAGGGGTGGTGAGAATGCGGTATTCTGTGATTTTTTTTGTAATAACGATTGGATTACCGAATTTTTAAATCCCGTAACCCGATTGAAGTAGTAAAGATAGGACAACGAAACAGTTTTCGCTGTTGCACGAATGGACAGGTCCGTCCGGGTAAGTACCATGACCGCACAGAATATCGTCGTAAAGTGGAAGTGGCATCTTTCTGCGCTTCGTCAGGTCAGTGAGGTCGTCAGAGCCCACTTTATAAAAAGGTGGCAACGCATCTCCGTATGCAACTCGGGCGGCGATGGAACTACCAGATCATTTGCCACCTCCTAACATTAAAAAAAATATTACATGGACATTTTCTCACAAGTCAAAAATTATAGCTGCGGTTCACTTTATTATAAGTTGGCAATGCATCTGCGTGTGTTGCAAATGTCAATGGGCGTCGGGTATCACTCAACATCAGGTGGACCGCCAGGTCGCTGGCCACCTTCTCACATAAAAAAATAAACTGTTTATTCCTTAGCTCGCATGCAATGACATATTTGAACTCATACAAATTAACAGGAAGAAGGGAGATTTGCAATGTTAATGCTTTAAATATGACGTAGACATTATAGTCTACCGAGTATTGGTTTTATTTTTAATTTGTATAATCAAAGGTCATGTATTTATTTACGTTTTGAACATATAACATTTAGTTTCATAATAATAAAAGTACCTGGAGGACCACTTTGTTCGGTTTTTTTGGTAAATCTTGTATTTTGGAAATAAAAAAAAATAAAGAATGAATTCTAGCTAGATCGAGTTTTCGCCCCCGAATCTACACACATACTAAATTTCATGAAATCGCTGGAGCCGTTTCCGGTCCTTATATATATATATACACAAGAATTAAAGGTTAAGATTAGCTTCTTACTTTTAAGTTCAAAATTTGGGAGGAATTTTCATCGTGGTGAATATAATGTGCTAATGCTGTAACATATTTCCCTCCGTATTCTTCACCAGCAATGTACAGTGGCGCTTCACTCAATTCTGGGAACACTTGAATAAATTGTTTCATAAAGTTGAGCAGACTTTCGCCAATCTATCAAAGTAATAAGACGATATGTATAAATTCAATTGTTCAAAAACATTTATGTTGAAGTCTTCTTAGAATCTGCTCTGATTATCCGTAAATTTTTAAATCTTTACGTTATTCATAAATTACCGCGCACTATTAATTTGTGACTTGAAGACCTGCAATAAAATAGTATTATTTTCCGAATCGACCGAGGCGATCAGATATAATCAGGAACAGCGTTCGTTCGGTGGACAGGTGGACAGTGTTGTCAGTAACATTTGTATTAATAGGTACAACGACTTGCGAATTTAATATTTACTGATTTCAGGCTGTAGGAACTGTGCCTATAAGCTCTGAGTCCAAACATAACTGGGCGCAGAAACACCATCCAATAGAGACTAGGTCAATATTAAATAAGAGTATTTACGCGCTCTTGGACTTCCTTGGGCTTTATATTGCAGCAACTTCAAACACTTCTTTAAAACAAAATGCTCGTATAATTGAATTTATTTACCTATAACATAGTCAACATTCATTTGATTTTAAGTATTATAATTTTTTATGAATATTAAAACCAACCTCTTCTTGGCTCTTTGGATATCTACCACTGCCCGAGAAACTGAATCCTGATCCAGCGGGGTTATCAATGAATAAGAGTGAGTATTCACTGGCCCAGGTGACGGGCATTTCTTCGACTGTAAGCAAATACCGACCGTTACATATTTTATGATAAGAAAAAAGTATTTATAAAATCATGTCAAAAATGTACATTAAGGTGCTAAAAGCAACGGGTGTGAGACAGGTAAACGTTAAAAAAGTAAACAGTAACTGAAGTTTTTTATCGATTAAAATTTTCTGTGTTTAGTTTCTTGGAAAGGTTATCTATTACCAGGAAAGTTGCTCTATACGTTGAAAACGTAAAATAGAGTCGGTACCTTTTCCGTTTACAATCTGCAATGGCCCTATTTCCTTGAACAGCCCATACAGAGAAGACATGCCAGGACCCCCTTGAAGCCAGAGTATCCACGGCGCTTGTTGCGTCAGATTCCTTTTATTAGGAAAGTACCAAAAGAAAAGGTTCCAATCTACTGATTGGTTAGCGGTGATGTATCCCGAATAACTTTCAAGGTTCTTAAGTATAGAAGGTTCGTTTCTTGATAAACTTCTAGCGAGTTTCGCTTCTCCTCTATCAATGAGCGGTGTGAGCATAAGATGATCAGTTTTATCGTTGTAAGATGATCTACTGCACTTGGTGTTGATCACACTGTAACTTTAATTATTGTTCTTATTATTATTTTTTTATGCGAAAAGTTGTCAGACGAGCATACGGTTCACCTGATGTTAAGTGAATACCGCCGCCTATTGACATCTGCCACATTCGAGGGTTACAGATGCGTTGACAACCTTTTGAAAATCGGGCTCCGGCTACCTCACTCACCAGACGAAACGCGGAAGTATTTGTTATACTTCCACTTTACGCTGGTCTTCTGTGAGGTCGTGGTACTTACCCGGACGGGCCTGCCCATTCTTGCAACAGCCGAGGCTGCTACGTGGCCCTACCACCGTAAAATTAGTTTAAAAGAAACGGCGTTAAGCTTAACTACGTTCCACTTAATTTTTTTTCTTTCATGAAAGAAGTTGCCAACTATTCCATCAGCTTGCTCGCCTGAGTTATCACATGATGGTAAGATATTCGCTATATTGCAGAGACTACAAATACGTCGTCGACAGCCGACCTTTATGGAGTCTTCAGGAAGAGAATGTAGTCCACATTCTCTTCCTGAAGATTGTCGCAATATATTAAGTTCATTAGCGTAAAAACCGAATCTTGTCTTATACTCAGTGATGAAACGTAAGATTCACCGAAGTCATTGTTTTGTGAAGTGTCTAATATTTTACATGGACACAAAAATTGGAAAGGATTATATTTGGATAACGTACCACTTATAATAGTCTTATAAAACTTATAAAATACTAGTCGAATTGTGAATCTAAACCATTCTCGAATGGACCTGAAGACACACAAAATTTCATTAAAATCAGTCCAGCCGTTTAGGAGGAGTTCAGTGACATACGGACGTACAGAATAATTAGGTAAATAATTTATTTTTAAATACTCACACGAGAAAAATTATGACTATGGTTATACGAATCATTTCGCCGACTGTTGAAATGAAACAATACCGGGAAAATTTCGCGCGTTGATAAAAAGTCATTACATGCCATTGTTCCCAAAACAACAGCAGTACCAATAACATTATTGATAAATAACTTAGTTTAATGCATCAAGAATATCTCTAATTTTAACTTATGTTCGATTCGATGTTAATTGCGATGTTGCTCATCGGAGGATTTAAAAAAAAACTATTTAATTATAATATTTAATAGAGGATTAAAAAAATTATATTTAATGAAGGATTACAAAAGTTCCTTAACCAAGTTTAATACTATAATTACTTAAGACACTAAGGGCTGTCCAAATAGGTCCGAAGTTAGGATGACTAAAGGAGCCGCGCTTTGCCGGTGGTCGATTATATTGAAAGAAGCACCGGTTATTGCGCAATTGATACAGGTGCATTTACTACTATGTACTTAAATATTATTATTAACATATTACTGAACTATTTTTGTTTTTATTTTGTGCTGAAAACAAATTGATATCAGTAAATTGAGGTCCCGAGTAGTACAAAACACAACAGAATAGGATATATATAGATTTAATGTGCGTACCTACTTAATTTTTTCAAAACGTAGTAAATCGCATTTAATTTACAAATCAAAATAAAAAAATGAACTACGAAAACAATTACCGGGAAACGGAATTTGGGGATATTGTCAATTAAATTTTGAGTTAATCTTTATAGAGCTATTATATAAGCAAGTCGAACTCGCACACGAAGGGTTTCGCCAAGGTACCATTATCTATAAAAACGGCAAAAAATTCGTGTCTGATGTATGGGAGCTTCACCTGAAGTAAATATTTTTTTATTCTGTTTTTTAGTATTTGTTATTATAGCGGCGACAGAAATACATCATCTGTGACAGTTTCAACTGTCCAACTATCACGGTTCATGAGATACAGACTGGTGAAAGACGGACAGACTGACGGGACCCTATTACTAAGACTGACAGCGAAGTCTTAGTACGTACTAAATACGAGAAACGATAATTCGGTGGCGTAGTAGCTAAGCTATTTGTTTTTGTGCGAACCACAGACAATAATTGTTCCGGATCTTGAAGCTAGTTACCAAAAAGGTATCCCACTACTAGAAAAATATTTTGTGCGATGAACATAGTGGTTGTCCAGTGTCTGGGTGTTAATGTTATTTATTTCCAAAAGCATGATAAGTATATTTGTCAATTATCTTGTACCTATGGTACAAGCGTTGCCTAGTTTGGGACTAGCGTTACGTTGTTGAAAAATTTGTCTTGAGATATTTATTGAATATTTATTACATTATTTGATTAAATTAAGTGGTAACGCGGAACTTCAATGTAAAAGTAAGCCGGTATATTACTGCAGCTTTTAATAAAAATCGGTAGAGTAGTGATATGGTATCCCTTTCCCTGTCTAAGGCGACTATAAGAACAATATCTCGGGTTCACGGGCGATAAAGATGGCGAATCAGGATCCCCACCGTAGAGAACCGAGGAAGGAAGGCCACATACAGTTCTGTGTTGCCTCAGCAGACGATCACCCGCTGAGGCAGTAATTGCTACTCCCCTGGTAGATATCAGGCTCAGCGTAGACGGGCTCGCGTGTGTTCGACTGGAGATTGCCCGAAACGACGCCAAACGCACTTTAGCTTGCCAACCAAGAAGTTATACTGCGTATCACATAACCCTATCATTCCTCCGAGGAGTAGCTTTTGTTCTTTTCCCTCTCGATAGAAGAAAATATTATGGTATTATCGGCTTATACAGCGTGTCTTTACAATCGCGACAATAAATGAACACACATATAGAGGATAACTTTTTTAAATTGTATTAAACATTGCTATTTAGCGAATTGTTAAATTTTCCAAAACAAAGAATTTTAGAACATGCTGATGTATAAAATTGTAACGTAAAGTTCATTTGTAAAGGTCAGAAAGCATATGAATGGGTTGAATGAATTTAAACGAGACAAAACATACTGTTAGAAGGAGAGGCTAGTAATGCGGCACTGTGGCAATGAATGAAAAAGTTTCTGAATGTATGAAGTTGTAGTTGTATAGTATGTTACAGGTTTTGTGTCTTTTTTACTTAATTAGTTTGTTTGAAAAAAAAAATTAATTATGGATTTTTTAACGTTAATAATTTTTTATGATTATTGGAAAGTAGCGTTAGACGTCTGTTCATTTATTGTCGCGGTGGTAACGACACGCTGTATATGCATGAAAGATATATTATAATCTTGTTGAAAATAACACATAGTTGGAATTAAAACTGCCCGTTTGTATAATTAGATTACTTCACAGGTCCCTTTTATTGTTTTTATAATTTTAAATATTTCTTCAAACACGATAGATACCTTTTGAATTTGAAAAAAAAAATGTGAACAGAGGGAATGTTAAAGAGAAAAATAAATTAGAAAGAGCCGTCAACGCTTTGCGGTGTCATGTCGGTCCAAGCGGAGATCTGAAGAAACGGGTCAATGTCGTCTGAAAATAAAAATCTCCAGGTGCCCTCGTTCATTGTATAATACCTTTTTCATCTTCACTTGGGCAGAAATAAGAAGTTACACAAAAACCCCGCTTAGCAAACTGGTAAAGTGTTTCAACGGCTTATTTATGTTCGTCTAGTTTACCTCGCCACGTGTAAAGTATTTAGGATTTAGATGTGACGCAATTTTCAATGTCTTGCTATGGCGAAAAATGTTCCAATGCCTTTACTTATATTTTGATGATGGTTCTGTCTGGACTCTCGCTTTTTTATCAGCTTTTTATCGAGCAACCAGAGTTTAAATATCTTATTGACGTACTCCACTGAGTAAATTATAATGAAATAACTTTCAGAAGAATGAAAATAATTTTTTTTAAGACATGTCAATTTGGCCAATCCGTAGAAGGCCTTAATACTCTTTGTATAGAGGAGACACATAATGTTACTGCTAACTTAACGAGTTGCTGTTATTTGCACCTAATAGGGTGATATTTATTTAAGGAAGATTTAGTTAGAAAATCGACATACTAAGGCATTTTCTTAAATGAACAAACAAAATAATTATATCATTGGAAACATTTTATGTAGGTACTTCATCTGCCTAAGTCATTTTCAAAAATGAGTCACGGTGCTAAATTAAAAAATATTTACATTTAGCATATTTACTTAGTGGTCACTGTAGAAGGGATACTAAAGATGCTTCGGTAAATCTGACATTGATTGACAGTTTTAATTGGAGGTGATACCGGCTCTGACACATTGAAATTGCTATCTCTAAAAGTGTTATTTTATCATGCTCTTGAAGAGGTCGATAACCTGCAGTGTTTTCTAAATGTTTTTATAGCGTTAGCGGAACTTGTGTGATCACTCTTTAACAAGGTCAAGAAACGGTTGTTTAGATGTAATTAGATATTAAGTATAAGGTATACAGAACAATCGAAGGAATGAACGATAGAGGAACTTCATTTTTGCTTTTAAAAACCTGACGATTTTTTTTAAACGATTATTACGACTTTAGAAAACTATTCCTCATTTATTGGACGACCCTCTTTAAGGCTGATCGAAAATGCAGTTTTACTTTTGCGGAAGTGCATGGGGCTGCATCAGCAGCAGGTGTTCAGCAGGTGTACAACCACCGTTATCACATTCGCTCTTAAGAAATTCGACCACTACTAACCGTAGTGACAGTACGCGGAGTATAATGCAAATTTAATGAACGTCTAAGTCAAAATTGTCCCACGTCGCCTCGTGCGTTTTTATTTCAATTGCTTTTGTCGTGACGAGTGACGGACGCTGACCGTGCCATGTGCACGCGGAGATTAATCAGCGAGCGTAATTTGCGGAGCGTGCGTAATTATGCACTAGTAGTACTGTGGGGGAAACAGAAGATAAGACAGCACGAGAGAGAAAGAATACATTGTAATTGGTGAAAGTGTGGATGGAACTAAGCGGTCATGCTAATATATAAAAAAATAAGATAAGGTAAAAATAAAAATATTTATTTCATCCCATCATCGGAATCAGATGCTTAAAATTTTGTAAAGAATTAGTTTTATGAAACTACTATGAACTCATAGTATATCAGAATTCATCGAATTACCAATACCTAATAAAGACTTCATAATTCCGAACTAAAAAATAAAATGTAAGTGGGTGAAAACTGTACATAGATATTTTTTTTATTTCCCTTTTTTTATTATAATACTACGTAACGACGTAGTACTATTATTAGGGAAATATTTTTAAGGTAAAATATGTTTAACACTATTTTTAAGGTTCGGTCGGTAGATGGTGGTAATAAAGTCTATTATTAAAGACTGTAGGTTGGTCGGCCAAAATAATATAGCGTAAACAACTTTATATATTAATTAGACTACTTTCTACTTATTAGGACAGAGTAACGTCCTATACAAAGGATAAGAGTGTTCTACTCTATCATTACGCGCTTATATATAAAAATATAATGAGTCATCACAACTTAATTACAAATCAATGCACTTATTAAATTACTAATACAGTTAATAAGATTGACCTATTAAATTATAAATTATTATTAAGTATGGTTTATTATATAATATTATACCAGATATGGTTCAATGTTTATTATGTATAATTGTTATTGCTCGTATATTAAGCAGTGTTGCCAGTGGATTGTAACTCTATACACCTACATTAAATAATAATTGGACAAAAAATTACAAATGTCAAATCTTAAGTGAAAGATTAGCAACAAAGATTAGCACTAAACAATTTAAATTTATCAAAAACGACATGTTTATTTCTCTTAAAATATTTACGGTATGTATATGTCGAAAATGAATGGGCTACATAGGACAACTCCTTGTCAGATCCCTCATCGGACATGTTGTAGGCGCAAAATAAAAGTTGTCACGTATCACTGTAGTTTATTCGTTCGATTGAATCAACAATCACGAAAATAACTATCAACCACGCCGATGTAATTGAATGGAAACGCAGCAAGTTCGATATAGGAAGATGACCGTTCACTCCG